TCATTTGGTGTAAATAAATAATTCATGCTATAGGCTCCAAAACACGGATCAAGAAAAAGAAACATCCTTTTAAGTACAATTTATTCAAATAGAATCTTCAGTGAACCAAATGTTCTGTCTTCTGTATTCATTTATAACTATACAGTGTCAGGTCCTTGTTCACCAAAGCACTCATCTTCATTTATCTTTGAGCACTTGAGTAACCAAAGCGCTGCTCCTGAGAAACTAAAGCAACTGCTCTGAGCATGTGCTTTAAGTTAAACACATTAGAGCTGCTGCTACAGCTAGGATCGTAGCTTCTAGTTACCCATGAGCTTCAGCAATGTATTGAACTGGGAATTCGACGTTCAGGCTTATATACCTTCATGTATTTTAACTGCGGTTAAATTCAGAAATAGAAATGAATGCTACAACCCTCATTTTCCATATCAGATGGAAAATATATATTTAATGGCAAACACGTGATTTCTTATCAACCCGTCTCTCCAAATTCCTTCTGTACGGCACTATTTAATGGTATCTAATGTAAAACAAGAACATGATGCTTAACGAATGCAAGTTTGTAACATAAATAGTAGGAACAGATCAAGTCCAAAAGTCCCCTGTAATCTGCTGGGAGAGAGATCTGAAATGCTGCAGTCAGCACTACCAGGAAGTCAAAATATATTTCCCCAGCTCTAATTTGAAAAACTTCACCAGCAAAGTTTGCCCTGAGGAGAAATTCTGCTAACCACAGATGTATTTATTTTCTGCCGATGAACACAGCCGTGTGAACAATTGACAGAGACGTCTTTTTTCTGCAGGAGGATGCCAGAGCTGCAGAGTTAAAAGCTTAAGTTTCAAAATTCAGAGTGACCCTATTTATCAACACAAGAATGGGCTTGTTGTGGCTCACGCGGCTTTTCAGGATTGCCCTGAGCTATGTGTAAGTGTTCTACTGTCTTGTTTAAGGTGACTGGCAATGCACAGCATGCGGCTGAAAATACCTCACGTGGTATTTCCGGAAAGATGATTCCATTAGTGGCGATCCTCGCTTCCACGGCACAATGAAAAAAAATTCCCTTAAGAAACTATTTATCCATAAGAACAGCTGACTTTATTCTTTGGAAATCTGTGATGTTTCTCACGCAAGACTTGAGGAGAGGAGCATCAGTCTCTTTGGGAGTGCAGGCAGCAGGTCAGCTTTTCCCTTTGGGCACTGCAGCTGGTCACTGCCACCCTTTCTGCCCTGGCAGCAGCCTTTTATGGGAAATGTCAGACCTGTTCCTACACCCAGCTCCTGCCTGGCTGGGGGGCAGCACCTGGAGCCTGCCCTGCCAACCTCGCTCACATCCCTTCAATCCTCAGGTCCCTTCTCAAGGGAGTTTCCTACTCTTCAACAATTTCTTATTATACAGTAATCCTTTCATACCAAATTGTATTTGGTATGAAATAGATAATTATAGGATAGCCAGCAAATGCAAAACCAGCTGTAGGTAAGAACATGAACTGCTGAAATTAAAATTATATGATTTTTTTTTTATGTCAGTACAAGTTTTCCTGATTATCTTTTTGATTTCTGAGGAGGAGTTCACCTGTTTTCAAAGCACATTATCTTTAGGGTTTTTTGTTTGTTTAGGTGGGTTTATTTTTTTGTTTACTTTTAGTTTTGGGGGGGAGGGGTGATATTTTTGTTTCTTTGAAAGTGACACCTTTTTCATATACTGCCTGGAGAAAATGAAAAGGTTTACTTTTTTCCAGACATCTCTTGTTGGTGCATATCAATCCTGAAAAAACAAAAGTGGTTCCTTCAGGAATCGTTGTGTTGACATTACATAGAATAGCTGAGATTGGCAGAGACCTCTGGCGATTCTTTAAGGCAAAACCCCAGCACAACAGGGTCACCTACAGAGGGTTGCTCAGCACCGTGTCCAGTCATGTTTTGAAAATCTCCACAGACAGAGACTACAAAATGCTCTGAGCAACCTATTCCACTGCAACTACCACTATACATGTATATATATATATAACACTTCAGTGAAATGTCTCGTATTTTGGGTTGTGCCCATCCTGTCGCTAGGTAACAGCCAGACTCAGTGGCTTTACTCTCTCAAGTCCATCAGGTAAGGTCCCTCTGAATGGCAGCACAGCCAGTGGTTTTGTATCATCTGCAAACCTTCTGGGAATGTACTCTGTCCTACCATCCAGGCTATTAGTACAGCTGCTAAACAGCACTGGACCCAACTCCAGGTGCTGGGGACACATCACATTTGAACACAATGCCATGAAGGAAAAGTGCATCAGAGTTTAAAAGCAAATTTTTCTGTGTGCATTTGGCTGCCATCTCACCAATAAGACTCGCTGTCATGCTGTTATCCATGCTTTTATCAGCGTGAGCTTGAACTACTGCAAAAGCTCAGCCAGCTGCTTTGAAGCTCTGCAGTAATATGATGCTGCACAGCGATTGAAGTTATTGCCTTCCTGTCTGAGAGAAACAAGTCATGTTACAGCAGTGCCAACAGAGAGGATGCAACCTGCTGGTTTAGACTCACAACCTCCTAGATGGTTTGGGACTTGCTTGCATAAGAGGCCGCTATTTTCTCACTCGTGCACAATCAATGATTTCGTTAGTTAGAGCACTTAAATCCATTGACCACCTCATAGAAAAGGATTATCTGCTAGCGGTCAGTTTCTGTGAAAAAGCATCAACAGGTGAATTGCTGCCATGTGGGTCCTTTGTGGGTTTGGGTTGCTTCTGGCAAAACCATCTATTAAAGAAACAATTTGGGACAGAGCTGGATTGAGGATCTTATTTGAAAGTCCTAGGAGACTTTTCTACATGATTACATGCTGTAGCGAGAGATAAGTTTGATTCTTTGCATAAATTATTACTATTAATAACTGAATTACAAATTTAAATATTAATTATTATAATGAATCCTTTAGTACCTAACAATTATTGAGTGTTACAAACTCTGAAATAAACACTAGAAGTTGCTAAATAAACAACATTATTTGTAGTCTGAAACTGGCTTTTTTTATTCCATTGTAGGAGACCTTGGGGCTACAGACTTCAAAGCTCTGGATTTTGATTTACTCCAAAGGAAAGTAAACAAGCTTCAGAGTAAGTAAGAATCAGACTTTGAATCCCACAAGGTTTGGCCCTCTCACAAGGAATTTCCACGCTTACGTAGCATGTTCTTCTGCCTCGTTCTTCTCACTTAAATTCTATTTCACAATCCTATGTGCCAGCGCATTTTAGACCTCTCGCACATCTGATCTCTTTTATCTTACTTTCATTTTGCAAAGTAGTAGTTCACTATGTTCACTTTCTAACCGTTTAAACAAGGAAACTCTAAGGTGTAGAAAGGCTAAGATCACAATCCTCAAAAGTTTATTTGTAACTCTCATCCTATTTTTCTACCTCATTCTGTATTCAACACCTTTTCTTTCTTGTTACATTTGTCTTTGATCCTGGCTCAAGTCTCTCACAGTCTGTTTTACTTGGCTGTGAAGAACCATGCCCATATGTAGCGTTGAGGCTGAAAGAAACTACAGAGCTGTAGCTGGAGTGGGGCTGGAGAGGGGCTGCCAAAGCAAACTTAGGGCTGCCAAAAGAATTCTCTTCTGAAGAATATCGTGTTTCTCGATAGTGTCTAGTTTATAGCTCAAACTAGGGTTAGGAATAGCATTGAAAGTCTGAAATGCAGACGGGATGGGGCTAAAGAAGGTTTGGCAAAGGCAAAATAAGTCTGACAAGATAGTTTTTCTCCTAGTAAAATATTACTAGGGTCTGGACTGAACAGCACCACTGACCTTTAGCTCAGCCTAGGGTTTAGGGTCAGGGCTGGTGAAAAGACCAGAGCTCCAGCTGGAGCAGAGCTGCCAAAGAAAAACAATGGCTGCAAAGAGATTATCCCCCAGGACTCTTGCCAGAGTCCAGGCAAGTGGTGCAGTGGCTTTTTAGGGCTCAATTTAGGTTTAGGGTTAAGCTTGGAAAAAAAAAGCTCAAGGCTCCAGCTGGGCTGAGGCTGGAAAGAAGCTGCCAATGGAGAATTAGTTCACCCAAAAGTTCTTCCACAGGGAATGTGTAATCTCTAGATGGGCTGGAGTGCCCTTGCAAGGCCCTGCATTGAGCAGAACTAGGATTAGGGCTGGAAACATGCATTCCTCGAGGCCCTGGAGCGTGTCCAGAGCAGGGCTCTGAAGCTGCTGAAGGGCCTGGAGCACAAGGCCTGCGAGGAGCGGCTGAGGGAGCTGGGGGTGTTCGGTCTGGAGGAGGCCCAGGGGAGACCTCATTGCTCTCTGCAGCTGCCTGAAAGGAGGTGTGGGGAGCTGGGGTCGGCCTCCTCTCACAGGTAACTAGTGATAGGACCAGAGGGAATGGCCTCAAGTTGTGCCAGGGGAGGCTCAGGTTGGCAATGAGGAGACATTTCTCCTCAGAAAGAGCAGCCAGGCACTGGGACGGGTTGCCCAGGGAGGTGGTGGAGTCACCGTCCCTGGGGGTGTTCGAGGAGAGGCTGGATGTGGTGCTTGGGGACATGGCTCCGTGGTGACACTGGTGGTACAGTGCTGGTTGGACCAGGTGGTCTTGGAGGGCTTCCCCAACCTTTACAATTCTGTGATTTCTCTAATATAATTTCTCAAATTTCTCGCCCGTTTATTTTCACAGAGCCGACGCCCTCTGCCGGCACACGGCGGCACCTGCGGGGGCCAGCGGCGCCGGGAGCGCTGCCCGCGGGGAGCGCCCGGGTGGAGGCGGCTCCCGGACCCCCGGGCTCCGTGAGGCGCTGCGGGGCGGGGCCCGCCCTCAAAATGGCGCCGCCCTCAAAATGGCGCCGCCCTCAAAATGGCGCCGCCCTCAAAATGGCGCCGCCCTCAAAATGGCGCCGCCCTCAAAATGGCGCCGCCCTCAAAATGGCGCCGCCCTCAAAATGGCGCCGCCCTCAACAGGGTCTCCACCGGAGGCAGCTTCCAGAAGTTTCTCTGCCCTCGTTAAAGATGGCTTCCCGGCGTCCTGTGGACTGCGTGACGTCACACCTCCCCCGCCTCCCGGAGCCAATGGTGCGTGCGTGCTCTGGAGTCACGTGGGCTGAGCCAGCCAGTCGGCGTCTGCGCGCGGCGCGGCGTTGCGTCATTGTGCTGGCGGAGCGGCGCGGAGCGGGGCGGTTACGCAGGTGCGGGACGGGGGCGGGCGGCCTCGGGGGCACCGCGGCGGGACCGGCACCGGCACCGCTGACTCCCGGAGCCCGCCTCGGGCCGGCTGCCCCGAGGGGAGAGGGCCTGGAGGTCTGGGGGCCGTGCCGGCCGCACGGGGGGGCTGCCCCGGCCGGCAGCGGGGCCGGTTTCCGCCTTCGCTTTTCCGTTCTTAGCGTTACGTTTCCAGCAGCGCGGGCGCTCGTTTCGGGTGCGTGGTTGATATTTGTTACTTAGAGCACGCAGGTTGCGCTGGGCAGTGTTCGCCTGCGTCAGGAAGGGCTCCGCGAGAAAAGCGCTGGGAGTCGGCGCGGCTGCTTACATCAGAGCTGCGTCAGGTCACGGAGCTGGGCCGGGACGGGCTCCAGCGCCTCGCGTGTGGCACGCGGTGCTCGGGGAAATAGGGTAAAGGGGCCTGGGGAGCCTGCAGGCTGCCGTGCCCGCTCGCTGCTGGTAGCTGCGAGTTACGTCAGGGCCTGCTGCTCAGAGCTGCTACGGAGTAACCGGAGCTCCTGCGCTGGGCGTGACCTTGACTGGAATCTGACTCTATAAAGATATTTAATTCATCAAAAGAGCAACTTAAAAGGGAACGACCTTTCCTAAAGGGTTCTCCATCACGTGCATTACACTGTTTAGTCATTTGGTGTTGTTATACCTGACTGACGTTTATATAGAGTTTGGAAGATCTTACACTCTTGAAGGAAGAATATTCATGCAATGTTTTTCAAAATAAAAATTAGTTGACAAGATAATTCAAACAGAAATACATAAAGGCTCTTGGTGATAACTTCTGTGTAAAAAATTTAATGTGTTTTTCTGTTTTTTGGTAAGCACCTTGTTGCAGAAGATAACCAACAGAAACGGAAAACAAATACAGATGGAATAGCAGCTAAATTCTGGTTAAGAACGTTCTAGTTCTAATTACAATACTCAAGAATCAGGATCCCTATGTATTGCTATTATATGGCATGGAGTAGTTGAGAATAAGCAGTAAATATATGTTTTTTGTGTGAAAACCTTGTAACAAAACTAAAACACATTTTCTTGTGCACTTGTAGGACAACTGTTAAACTAACTAAGCAACCATGTTGGCTGCAAGGCTGGTGTGCCTGAGGACGTTACCATGCCAGGCGTTGCGCCCCACCATTACTCAGGCTTCCCCAGCATTGAGGAATTCCGGTATAAAAGCGTACCAGCTGTGGCAGCCTAACCAGGTAAGGTAGATGTCAAGGGGCTGAGTGTTTTGCCAAGAGAATTGCTTGGCATGGAGTACCTGTTTCCAACGCTCCTAAACCTTTGGCTTGTTTGAGAAAGCTACTGTTACTTAGTGAAGGAATAACAATAATCATAAACAGAATGCCTAAAAGTAATTGAAGTAATATTTTTCCATTTAAATTATTAGAAAAAGAACCTGAAGCAGGTAATTAGCATTGGGCAAGCCTTATTATGCAGGGTAGGGAGAGCAAAAGTTCTACCTCTTCCAAGGTCCTTGTTTCCTAGTATTTTTCCATCTTAAATGTTAAGTTAAATGAAAAATTTATTTTCAAAAGCAGTAGTCCTGGTATGTCTTTAGAGCCGTTGCCCAGGCCAGAGTAATTCTTGAAATCTAGCAGGACTATCCGGAGTCTTACTGGCAGTTTCAAAACTGAACTGTCATTATCTAAAGACTTCATGGAGAGAAGGTAGTTGCTTCTCCTTTCTGTTTTCATCTTATGCATAGAAAACTCTTTTAAGCACCCTAAATTGCAGGCTGTGATTTTTTTGCTTGTTTGTTTTGGTGGGGTTCTGATTTTTAGGTGGTTTTGTTTGTGTTTTGTTTGCGTTGTGAGGAATGCTACATAATTATAATGGTGGAGTTAGATGTTGTTAGGTGGGGAAAAAAAAGTGCCTGAAATGCTTTAGTAAACTTCCTGGATTTTATTGCTCGATCAGCTGATGCTTGTAGTAATGCTTGTAGATCTCAATTTTTAGTATTAAAACAAACTTGCTACTTTGAGCAATCCCTTGGTCAAGTGCCCATATAATAATTCAGAAATTTCTGAGCAAATGGTTGACTTCAAAAGCAGTTTCTGAACTTAAAATAAGAGTTCTTACACCTCTTGCAGATTGTGAAGGGTTCAGTAGAAAAGCGTGCCTTATTTGCTTGGAGCTTGTTAGCCATAGATCTTTAGTTTATCGGCCTTCATTCAACGTTTGTTCTTGAAATAAAGGTTAGATACAAAAGTGAATTCACACTGCTCTCCCAAATTCAGTAGGCAGGAATGTTGTGTTATTTTTTTTTTAACATAAAGTTAAGTAAATAAAGAGTATGTTTTTACATGAAAAGTAAAATAAAGGCTTATGGCCTTGCTTAATACAGTGGGAGTAGAATAGAAATGCAAACATTAAACTTTTTATTTTTTTAGCAGAACTGTTAACTTCAACTTCTGCATTGGTTCTATACTGCTGTCTGTAAATGTCTCTTACAGTTTCCTGAACTTTAATATTCAGTTGTTTTCTCTGAATGTTGTTGCTTCATGTACTTCGGAGGGAAGCACAAATTAACTAGCAATAGTAGGTGTAGCAAGTAAATGGCAGTGCTTTGGTGTGTTAAAAGCAAATTGCTTTCTCTCAAAATTGGATTGTTATTAATTTGTCAATACAGTTCATCATAAAGAATGTCTCCTGTTTTATTTCATTGAATCTGTCTTATTTTACCTTTGAATCTAACAGTGTTATGCCACTAGAGTAAGAACCGGTGTAAGGCGTGGGAAGATTGGCCAGGAAATTAAAGAAGCAGCGTTTGAGCCATCTGCAGAAACTGCACTTAAAGGTAGGGTAGCTCTGCTTTATATACTCCCAGTGTTTTAAAGCTTATCTTAAAACTTCCTTGAAGAAAATGGTTTCCTTCAAACCACTAAGGAGACTGAAAACATTGCTTAGTATTTTAAATTTACCAGCAATTTGGAGATAGTTTCTCTGCTTGTCTTTCTCTGTAATGTTCAAAGCTGGAAATACCTCACAGTTTCTCACAAGACATTTGTTGTTATCTCTGCTTTGAAGTGCTGGCAGGTACTATAAAATCAAACTTGTCTGCTACTTAATGGAGACTAGTACTTCCTTGGTTACAGATGTCTTTAAAATAATGCTAACACTTTGCTCCAACTACTTCTTATGCTGTTTCAAGGAAGTATTCTGCTCTGTGTGGAGTTTGCATATAAGGTGGAAAAAAAAAGAAAGAAAAAGGCCTAGGGCGCTGTAGGCATGTAAGATATTGGTGTTCTATGCTTGCTGGTACATTTAGTGTGAATCAGAGCTTTTTCTCAGCAGGTCACAAAGTGATTGGTATTAGTAGTTCAGCAAGACTTGTAAATGGATGTTAGCAGGACTGAATTGGTAAGTAGAATATACATAGATTGAGAAAAGAATACCATGGCTATAGCACACTGAGGAAGAATGTACACAAAGAAGTGCACAAGTGACAGCATTTGGTCTCAGCTGATAAATACTTTTCTGTGTATTGTGACACAGAAGTAGTATGTCTAAAAATCAGACAGTAGAAACTGATGGTAAATCATGCCTTGTTGCCTGTGAGCTTTGTAAGTTGCATCTGAAACTGACGTGGTCTAATCTAATACCAAAGACTTGACTGAGCAAATGTTAAAGGTAGATGAATGACAGGAAAGGAAACAATATCTTATGTTGGAGGACTTGTTAACTGGCCTTTGTGTTAGAATTCCCAGCTCTTAGTGTAATAAAGGCCAATAAACTTGCCATGATACTAGCTGATCTCAATTCCTACTCTGTTTTATGAAACTGTATGGTGTTGGTAGGCTTAATCTGGAGCGTTCCGTGCGTAGCTATCTCAGAAATGGTTACACATTGACTTTCAAAGTTAAGTGGAGCTTTAATAAGCCTAACATGGATCAGGTATTACAGATAAAAACAAAGCCATGTGAGAATGCTTTTAACAGTCCAAGAAAAGCATTCATGAGAGCATGATTCTTCTTCATACAGTTGATCGTCTGGGAAAATTCGTTGTTGCTGGAGGGGCTGCTGTTGGCCTGGGGGCCCTCTGTTACTATGGAATGGGCATGTCCAGTGAGATTGGAGCTATTGAAAAAGCCGTGTAAGTAAGAGAGCTTATTTAAGTAAAGAGCACTTGGAAGTGGATCTCCCTCCTCTTTTTTTCTGCCCCTTCTTTAGCTAGTATCTCCTAATATGCATGTAGCTTACCTTTCGTAATCTCTGGACAGAAAGCTTTTGCTTCTGGCTGTGCAGGATTTTAAAGTATATAACTGAAAGGAAAATTTAAATAACTCAGATTTAAATAGATACTGATTTATGTGAATTCCTTTGTTTTGCTAAATTTGAAACTGGAGGTGTGCCACATGCAAATAATTCATAAATTATGAAGAGTAAAACAATTGTTAAGACCACTTTGCCTTGTGTTCCTCTGAGATTATTCATTAAACTTTTACACATTTCCTTACAGAACACTGTATTAAGGAGTTTCCTTTGAATACTCATGTTGGCTTAAACTCTTAAACTTAGATGTATTGCACAACAAAGCCTCGCTGATGACAGCATCTAGTTACTTAGACTTAAGTCAGTTACTGGTAAGCATAGGTGTGGGAGAAAGTGATGCTGGCGATGTCTTGATTTGCTTACTCTACTATTAGTCACTTCCAAATACAAATGTGTTCATTGTACTGAGGAGCTCTCATTCGTGTCCAGTTCTGCTGCTATTGTTAGAGCTCTCCAAATGACATGCCTGGCTTGTGATACCAGATAAATGTGCACACAGTGACTCAGCATTCTGTGAGCTGCTCTGCAGGCTGCTTACTGCCCAGTACATAATCTATAGACAATTTTCTTTACACTCATTTGTTGTGTGCATACACCACTCTCTACTTCTCCATATTTAGAAAAAAAAATATATTCTTTTGCATGTAAGCTTCCTGCTGTGTATACTTTCTCCTCAGAATTGAACTATCATTAGCATTCTTTGTAAATCACAGTGTTGCTAGAATTGTTATATAATATCTGCATGTAATGGGGAAGATCTAAAAGTTCAGACTCCTGTTGTGATCTGAACTCATGATACAAGTTGCTAAACCACACAATTTTATGATATTTCACTTTTATCCGTAACTATGAATATATTTAACAGCTTGGATGTGCTTTTTTTTTTTTAATTGGTTTTCATTCTGGTGTTGATAACTGCATAAATCTGTACAACTACTTTTTTTTTTTTTCAGTATTTGGCCACAGTATGTGAAAGACAGAATTCACTCTACTTACATGTACTTTGCGGGAAGCATTGGCTTGACAGCAATGTCAGCTGTTGCAGTAAGCAGATCTCCGGCACTCATGAGCCTTATGACAAAAGGCTCCTGGCTGGTAAGCTCATGTTATATAAAAAAAAAAAAATCACTGAGAAATGACCCTAAATGTTGTGGTTGATAACAAAAATGCTAAATGGTAAACTGTTTTGTGAAAAGGAAGGTGGAACTTTTATTATGCTCTTGTCCTTATCTTTAAAGATCACAGACGTTCCCTAATGATGTTTTGTGTTTTATAATTCGATGCATCTAATTGCATGCTGTTGTGCACCTTCTGTACCTCATCAGTAGTGTGTTTTTGACAAACTGCGTACATAACATAAAATGCTGTGCTGTGCTGACCAGCTACATGTAAATATGAACCTGTTGCAAGTGGCCATTTGAGCTTAGCAATACTATTTCTGTAGCTTTCTAAAAATGGGATTAGAGATCCTTATATATTTGTACTCCTCCCTGTGCTGTTTTGTGTAACTCTTCCAAAGCTCTTGTTTGCCAAGGCCAAAGTGATACTGGTAGGCAAATCATCCAGGCAAACTGCTAACAGAATCTCTGCTTCCTACATATTTGGTGTGCTAAGTGTAGCAGAATAGTAATAGTTAAATGCTAGCGTCTGCACAGCTCTACAGAGATCAAATTAATAATGCTTCCTTGGTAGTAAACCGAAGTTGTGTGTTTCTCTGATCAGTTGGCTAGCTGCTGTGTGTTTTTTTCAGAATAAAAAGTAAGAGGAGGCAATGAGGTTTTAAAAGGTGATAGTAAAAGCATGTGAACTGAATACTGGCTTTGGGTGGAGAAATGTACAAGGAAAAAAAATAAAGCTAGTCTTGCAGGTACTCTAATGAAAATGGGATTAAGTGGAGGAACTGTATGTTTTCCTTACACGAGTAAGAGATTCTTGCCATTTCTCACTAAACTTGGATTTCTAGAAGACTTGGTATAAGTGAAATGGGAATTACTGCAAGTTAGAATCTGCAAAGATTTTAATATCTTTTACTAGAATAGTAAAGAAATTGACAAATGTTCAAATTATGATTTAGCATAATTCCAGAAAGAGCAGTTTATTGACTTTGAGACTAGGAGGTTCAACAAATCATATGGTAGAATGGCGATCATACATTCTTATACCAACTTGAGCTCTCTACTGCTGTTCTTACAGGCAATAGGTGCAACTTTCGCTGCTATGATTGGTGCTGGAATGTTGGTCAGGTCCATATCCTATGAAAATAGTCCAGCAGCTAAACATCTTGCTTGGATGATGCATTCAGGTATGTGGCTATAGTCTTCATTATAAAATAGTATGTTCCTGTGTGACTGCATTCTTACTTGAAGAAAACTGTTGATACTATAATAAATTACTGTGTTCTGCTGCTGGAGACTTGAGATTTTTCAGAGACCACTGGGATTTCTTAAGTGTCCTTAATGTACCTCTAATTTCTCATACTCTTGTAAAAGTCATGCTCAAGTTGAACTTGAGGTACGTGTTGGATAGAACTGATTTATTAATACCTGCGTCGTTTTTGTGACTGCTTTCTGGCACTATAGCTTGTGTAAGCACTGTTACCTACACTTACTGAAATTCATCTGTACAGGATACGAAGATATTTGGAAACTGATCAGAAAAATACAGTTTTAGTATTAAATAACAGCTTCTTAGATACACATTCCCATCAGGTTTGTAAACCAAAGATGGGTTTGCAAGAAACAGATCGGTGTCTTACTGATGTTGCATACTTCAAATAATAATTAGACAGACATGTTAGGCACGGAAACTGTACTAGATCTCTAGTAGAATTATACTCTAGAGCTAAAGTAAATTAGTTCTAGAGTAAATTACTTTAATTGTACTCTGTAAATTCATTATAAAGTTTCTGTTAAGAAGTTGAATTTATTTCAGTGATGTGTTATTGATCTAGTATGACATTAACAGAACAGGTATAGTTTTCATGCAAGACTAGCAAAAAGTCTGACTTAATTGCTGGACTAATTCTTACTGCAAAAATCTGTCCTGACCTTCAGTTTTCAGCATTCCTATGGCTATTTTGTAGTTGATTAGTCCATTCAAAGTGTCTCTTAACAGCTGTTTTTGAAGAGATCAGTACGTTGTCTGCTGTTAAGCTTTCTTCTAAAGACAAGCTCGCTAAAGTACTCTCCAAAACTAGAGGAAAGTAGGTCACTGAATTTAAGATTGTGCACCTATCTAGAAGGTAGTGTGATAAATTGGCAAGTGCGCTGGTGTCCTGTCATGTTAAATGGATTAGTTTGAGTCATGACTTGAAACATTGTTTTGGCAGGTGGTGTCTTTACCAGAGCTGTTCCAAACCTTACTGGTTTTGTGTTCCTTTGGCTAGGTGTCATGGGTGCGGTGGTGGCGCCACTAGCCTTCTTGGGTGGTCCTCTGCTGATCAGAGCTGCCTGGTACACAGCTGGAATTGTCGGAGGGCTCTCAACTGTGGCCATGTGTGCTCCAAGTGAAAAATTTTTGAACATGGGAGGACCCCTTGGAATAGGCTTAGGCTTTGTTCTGGCCTCTTCAATTGGTAAAGTATTATTTTAACTGTCAAATAGAGTAGCTTATAAACTTAGACTGCTAGAATGGGAAGCTCACTTCTAGTTACAGGCTAGCCCGTCAGTTCATAGGAGGAGATAACTCCATTACGCGTCTTGAAGACAGAAAATGAATTTATGATTCTGGCAAGTGTTAATTTGATGAATGGCTGACAGTAATGGTTTGTATTGATTAACTACTGGCAGTGAATCAGGAGAACAGTAAATGTTACCTTAGCTTCTGATTCACTTGTTTTTTTTTCCCTTTTATGTTTCTGGGCATTCTTGTATGAAAGTCCTAGGAACACGAGTACTTTCATGTGAAGAAAAGTATGCACGATTCCTTAGGGTGTTCAAAATTACTGCGTTGGCTTGTATGAGACATCTTCTGTTGGTGTATTAAAGTTCCTTGAATCAAAAATGCACTGCAAATTGAGAATTGAGTAGTCACTGAAAAACATGTGCTAAAGGAGTTGAAGTTTAACATTACTCAGAGTAGCAAATACAATAGCTTTCATCAAGGCTCTTTTATGTTCTTCTCCAGGGTCCATGTTCTTGCCTCCTACTTCTGCTTTTGGGGCTGGCTTGTATTCAGTAGCTGTGTATGGTGGATTGGTACTCTTTGGCATGTTTCTGCTGTATGATACACAGCATGTCATCAAGCGTGCAGAGACTCTTCCCTATTACGGAGTGACAAAGTATGACCCAATCAATGCGTAAGTATTCCGATCTCACTGTATGTGAAAGAATCAGCTTTGAGCTATATGGCAATATGTCTTACCGTAAAGAGCCAGACCTTTGTTTACTCTTCAAAAGTGTGTCGCTATCAAATGGAAGAAATCATAGGGTTTAGGAACATAATGGGGGAAAAAAACTAGTGGAGTTAAAACTGAAAGCGTCTGCCTGAAATGAGAGAGACAGGATTGAAAATGTGGTGTCATGTCCAGTAATACTGGCTTCCTAAAAAGCACTTGTTTTCTGCAGCATTGTTGAGAGGATTTATAGTTGTTCTCTGAAAATACCTCTCAGTATCAGCTGAGATGAAGTATGTTAACTCTTCTGAAGTTGCTTAATATTTACTGGTCTTTATCACTCTAAATAAAAAAACAAATGTGATAGGGAAAGAAGGATTAATTGACCCTCACTAAAGAGCAAGTCTGATGAACAAGTAACTGCCTTACTGTACCTGTTGTCTATTTGATCTTAGGTGAATTGTTTATCTCCTTGCATCCGGCCTTCTGTCAGTAAAATAGAACACTAGTTGTCTTCTAAATTCATGGAGACAACTAGTTGATAAAGCATAGAAATAGAGGTCTCCTGTAAGAAAAGCATAGTCTCCGTTAAGATTTTTTGCAAATAGGTGCTGCTGGCAGAGAGAGTACAAAAAAAAAAATAAAGGGGTGTTTCTACTTAACTAGGGTAGAGGACATGGTAGAGTTGAGTTTTGTTGGAGACCCTTGATGGATGCTTTTTTAGAAGAAAATGGTATGAAGTGCAAAATAATACTGTTTATGTTCAACAAGATTAACTTTCATTTCTTCTTTCCTAGGTGCATGGGTATCTACACAGATACACTGAACATCTTCATTCGGGTGGCTACCATGCTTGCTGGTGGTGGAGGTGGCCGTAGGAAGTAAAGCAAGACTCTTCGCAGCTGACAGCCAGGAGTTCTAGGTTGTCTGCCTAGTGCATATACTAAATAAAAACTTATGATTACAAGCACTTTTGCTGCAGGTCAGAAGTTTAAAGCATTTCAGCATATTGTTTAAGTGCAATGTGATTCAAACTTAATAGTGTTTCATCAAACACCTTCCAACAATGTGGACTGCTTGAAATTGTACATTATTTGGGGAGAGTAAATTATTTTAAATATATATGAGTAAAATAGTCGATATTCTTCTTAATGGGTTTGACAGCAGTTCAACTTTTGCTTTCTTTTTCTACTGTAAGTGCATAGTAAAGTAAGTCATTTCTGTAAACGGGTATCCTATGTGCAGATAAGGACGCAAGCTACTTCAGGAAATGCCGTTCATATGCAACAGTTTTCAGTTAAGTTGTAGACGCCATATTTTATTTGCATATTAAGAAGAACTGAATAAGTTGGATGTGGTATTGAATGTGACAATGTATTTTGCTGCTTAGGCAGAAATTTCAGAAAGGTTTGAGCAATTTTCAGAAAGACATTGGTCACCTCACCTACCTAGTCCAACAACATACAAAAGGCAATATGAGGAACCTGTGGCGCCTGTCCCATGTAAAAACTGCAGTCTCCTTCTGGAGCACATGAAAACTCCATGTCTGCTTTCCAGTGTTTTAATGTTAAGTGGATATAACAACAGCTGGGCTCTTTTGATACTAGATTCATCAAATTGTTGAATAATGATAGAGGTGTGTCTTTCTTCCAGTGACTAAATTTCAGTATGCAGATGAAGCACCATTCTTCAGAACAATTTCCACTGTTCATCTCCTCTCAGAAGCTTGTACAGTTGACACTAAAAGAAAAGGAATTGAGGACTGCTTGCTGTAAAGCCAAGTATCAATAATTTACCATTTTGATATATGCTGTAGTCTGCCTCTAACTTTTCCAAATTGATGTGTTTAGTACAATTGAAAATAAATGTTCCAATAGGTGGAATTGATTTAACATTAAGACATGTATGCTTGCTGAAGTACATCATCTTATGTTGGAAGACGGGGCAAGTTCTTGGGCACAAAAAAAGTTTGAGCTAATACCAACAACTCGGACTTCCATTTTTCCGGTGAATATGCTATGTTGATGTATTCTGGGAAAAATAAAATTCTAGCCTCACAAGTTGATTGCTCTTACTTTTCATGTGTTAATATAATTTAACTAACTTCACAGTAACTCAGTTAAGAGTACTGTATTTTTTTTGGCTACAAATTCCTTTGTAAAAGAATGCATACTCCTCTGTTTTACAAAATAAAAATTTAAAAAAATCCCCAAAGATGTTTTCCAGTTTCACTCGTTGCCATCTTTTGGGGGATGTTTCCCCAATGGAAGATGCTGATCTACACTTGCTTCAAGTGATCCTTCTGGTGTGTCTTGTTGGCTATGGAATACAGCCAGTACTGCTTTTTTATGTTTACTGCAGTATTTCTAGTTTCTTCAGTCACAGGGAAAAACAGTGGACTGTGAAGAGCCTTGTTGCACAAAATCCTTTGCGACAAAAGGTCATACAGCACAAACTAGCTCATGGCACTATTTTAAATGAAGGAAAGCTCTTAGTACTTCGAGAAGGTAGAAATCTCAGGATCACGTCACATTGTAGGTAAGTTTATAGGATCTTGGTCTTTTCAAGTAATTTCATACACAGTGGTATGTGTAAACTGATTTAGAGTAACTGTACATACTATATATACATATAGCGGTATAGTTGTCATCGAATTCTGTAATCTACACAAAGAGATTCTAGGGAATCTGCCTTATAACAAAACTAAAAAAGAAATATTTGTGCCTGTAACTAAAGAACACTCAAGCCAAGCTGCTTTGGGTTTTGGGGTTTGTTTGTTTTTTTTTAGATTCAGGGGACAAAGCTTTAGAGGTTGATTATGAACCACAAGGGGGATCCTGGATGGTTTGAAACAGTAAGGTGTAGAACACAACACTACAACAGGAAAGTCTAAAAACTTAACAAAAAAGAAAGTGTCTGCTGAACCATGAATGCTCTCGTTTGCATTGAGTCTTGTGAGAAGATGCAATTTGACGTTGGACTCCAGCAGGAAAATACTCTGGTGCTATCTAGTGTGGGTCTCCAAAAAAAACGGGAAAATAGGTTCTCTTATATGTGAAGTCCTAAGGAAAGAATCAAGGTTTACCTTATTTAAGATAGCCCAGATTGGGGGAAAAATAAAAATCTTGGTTGTGGTTTGATAGGCACAAGAACCTGGTGCTCATTTTGCAGTGACAGCATCTGTTAGGTTCTTATGCTGGTTTACTGTCATGCTATTGTTAAAATGGTAACTGAAAACTTGAAAACTTCCTAGAACTAAAAATAATAGGTTAGTTTTACAAATAAAACTTATTAGGATGCTGTTGTAAGTAGTTTGGTTTGTTTCCTTAAATTGAGAAGTACAGTTTTAAATCAGGAGTTTCTCATGAGTGAGTATTAAGATCCGTTAAGTATATCTTACTCCACAGCTTTGAGAACAAATACCACTGAGGAAGGGCTAAATACTTTTTTTTTTTTGAGGTCTACTCCTAAACACTGAGTATTTTCAAATGAAAATTAGATGTTTTACAGCCTGAAATTCATACATGTAAAAGCTGATCAGTACCTGGATAGACTAATTTTTAATGTCTAGTTTCATTCTATTCCCAGGAAAATGGGAAGCAAAAATGATTATTAACAGTAGGCTGTAAACTCATAGAAATAAAAAAAAATCTAGCAGTCTTAGCAGTAAAGCTGTTTTTGTTGTTGATTAAGGAATGTTATTTAATGTTCTACTGACTATTTTGCCTTCCCCTTTGGGTGCTTTTGTTTACCATGGTTTTGATAGTTACAAAGTCATAAGTTTTCATCTTTTGATGCGTTTTGTTGTGTCAGATTGAAGATGGTGATATGTAATTATATTTTCTTATGACTTTTAATTAAAACTCAAAAGCAACAACAACAAAATATTAAAACATAGAGTATTTTTAAATAATTAGTTTTAAGTTTATGGGGCATGAAATAAATCAGAAAAGCAAGTGTTACAGAATCATAGAATGGGCTGGGTTGAAAAAGACTAAGGTCATCTATTTTCAAGCCCCCTGCTCTGGGCAGGGTTGCTAACTACTAGAGCAGGCTGCCCAGAGCCACATCCAGCCAGGCCTTGAATGCCTCCAGGGATGGGGCATCCACAACCCCTCTGGGCAACCTGTTCCAGTGCCTCACCACTCTCTGAGTAAAAAACTTTCTCCTAATTTTCAGCCTAAATCTCCTGTCTTAGTTTAAAACCATTCCCCCTTGTCCTATCACTTCCAACACATGTAAACAGGCGTTCCCCTGTTTATTATCAGAAGCTTTCATAGTTCCCTCTGTTGTGAGTAAATAAACTTGTATTTAAGGAAAGCGCAATTCTCATGCCTTTGAGATTTAAGAAGATTCATGTTTAGTGAGAAGTTTAATCAGCAGCTTGACTGCCAATAAATATGGGAGGAATAGGTGTTTGTGAGCATAGCAGAAAGGAATTTTAAGTTTTATTAGCCAGAAATAGGGTCTTATTAAAATCATGATTAAAAATAGCATAGAACCAAAAAACATCTCAAGGGGAGAGATTTCAAAACTCACTTCTCAGGTTAATGGGGATTGCAGTTGGTTCTTTTTCTTGAAATCTTTAGTATAAGTTCCAAAACTGTGTTAAGTGCAGTAAGTACTGGAAACAATTGGATTGCTTCAGGATGATTCAATGGAGGTTGGGCTAGATGGTCAAGTTACAGCCTTTCTCAGGCTTGAAATGTAAAAGTCTGTTTAGTCTTTGCACAGTAGAGACCAGTCTGCTGAAAACGTTTTATTCTTTTGGACTGAAGTTGTCCATTAATTACAAAAGGGGAAATGGGATGGGGCAAGGAGAAGGAGACTTGTTTTTTTTGTTTGTTTATTTTACAGGCAGTAAAATTGAATCCACTGCAGCCACCAAATCCTAGATTCTCAGTCACGTTAGTAACTCCAGCTGGCAGAGGTGGATAGAGGTGCATGCCATGTTTCCCAACTGGTTGGTCAGGTAGTCCAGGGCTGTAAGAATTCCTTCAAGAGCATCATGGTTTGTCTTTTTGCATGTTATCTTACTCTTAGCGTACTCTGATGTGGGGTTCATGGCTAGATTGGCTGTAGTTTCTCATCCTTAGTTCCACTGTTGATGATGGCACCTGAGCAGTCCATTGCTACAGTGAAATGAGGATGACAACCTGCCCTTCATTTGGAGACATTGGTTGAAAAAGATGTCTGGACAATCCATCTTCACGTTTCAAAGGCAGGTGGACGCTTGTGGGCAGACTGCTTTCAGGACATCGGTTTGAGTGAATTCTGTCTGCGAGGTATTTAAGTGTTACATTCCAATCCTGCAAAAAAATTGTCAATAGCTACCTGCTGTCATGCTGTGCACTTAGCGGAGGACTCGTCGATATGCATGGCATGTGTCTGCCTTTTGGCTTTGGAGTGTGCTTCTTTGCGATGCTTATCTGGGGCAGTGGAACAGAGGTGGGTGTTGGAGGGCTGAAGTTCATTGTAAATGACACCTAAGAGTGGGAAGGCAAGGATCTTCTTAAGGAAACTGGAAATGGAAGATTAGAAGCTAGTGTCATCTCCAGATTTGCCCAGAAGAAAGGTCTCTAACAGATAAGATCTAAGAACATAATCTGTAAGACAAAAAAGGTCAGGGAAGCAGTTGGAAAATGGAGGTAGAGAGAATATACAAATTACTGTACAGCTTGCAGACCTGTGACTGTAGAGTTTGTCAGCTAGATGTTTGAGGCATTTATTAAAAAAAAAAAAAAGTCATCTTTAAAGCATTAACTTTACAAAAGAATCAGAAAATGTATTAAGTCTCTGCAATGGGAAAGAGATCGTTGCTTTTTGCCAAGGTGGGTTGGACTGGGAAAGAACCTGAGTGCAGAGGTAACTGTTTCTGAATCATCCAGGGAAATAAGTGATGCTTCCTCAAATTCACATTACTAATACCTCATGTTCAATAGTCATAAAAGATGTCGCTCAAAATGGTGAAAAAACAGTGTAACTCCTTATGGTTAAATTAAGGCACCCTCCAGAGTGTTTTTGATGCTTTTCGAGAAGAAAACTGGGTAAACTCTTGAAATTGCAGCCTTCATGTAGTCAGTATTCTGGAGGTGGTACGCTAAAATACTGTAAGGTTTATGAATGTTTTACTAAACGCTGCTGACATTCTAAGAATCTGCATTTTGTATGCAAGATTTCTTCTATCCAGGTTGAAACAGCTGCTGGTGGCATAAGGAGAATAAAACAGTTGGAGTAAATAGCCTTGTTTAAATTTTAACATAAGTTAAACTAACTTTTGGGCTGGAAGAAACAGAGAGAATTAAGAACTTTCAGGGAGCAAAGTTAATTTAATTCAACCTGACCAGTTATTGTGAGGCAGTGTAGTTCTCAGGGAACATATGCTGACCTCCATTTCCCAGGGAGAAGGTATGCATTGTAGAAACCATAGCCTGTAGTTGTATTCATTGTATTAAAAAGAGCAATGATGGTGTCTGGGATACAGAAGCTAGCTAGGACTAGAATAAAGAGCAAGACAACAGTTATTTCTCCCAGCAGTTTATGGTAAGTTGAGAATCGCTTGGGAGATTGTCCTGGAGCAGGGTTTAAAACATCTTTGTCTCATTCACAGAGCCTTTTCAGCAAGTCTCCTGTGACTCCTCAGTTTGTATCCTGCATCTAATGCCTCTGCAGTGCTAGCAGCTGCCTGTGAGTCCCGTGTGTGTCATTCGTGGTCTATAAGCTCTGTGCTTTCACTTTTCTGTCTCTTCACGCGTCACTCTTTTGGATAGCTTTGTTCTGTTAGTTGAGGCTTATACCTCTATTTATTTCACTTGTTTTTTTTAACTTCACTCCTGCAGGCAACGTAAGGAAGATGAAATAACAGATGTCCACTTTCCCTCTGATTTCTGACGTGATTTCAGCTCTTTTTGTAGTCTTTTGAGGTCTCAGGCATGATGAGGCCCAGCTTACTATGGTAGCTGTAGGCTTCTAAACAAAGTGCATAGCACAATGAAGCAAGGCTTTGGTCCTAAAAGGCTTATACTGGATGCTGTGTTAACTGTTCTGCACACAAGAAAAATGTTTTCCTGTGGTGCTCTGGTTTAAGCAAGATGTAATTTAGGAAGCTGAGTTTTGATAGCTAACCTGCCAGAGCTTGCACCTCTGTTAGAGGGTGGTAAGAGGAGCTGTGTAACCTGGTTACCGTACTGAAGCAGCTCAGTTCCCACAGTGCCTCCCTCCTTTCCCCCAGAGTGAGGAAAAACATGAGTGCCTATATGGAATGGGGGGCGGAAGGGGATTATCCATCTTTCCAGTTACTTCATCTGTAAGAAATTCCACCTTGTTTCACTTACAGGTGCTGTTGCAGTGAGAAAAAAAAGATGCCTCTTTCTTCTTTCAGAAAGATGGTAGAAGAATGCAGGACACTTCACTGGGTCTTTGTGTGTGAAGTACCTAATCTGGTTGCCCAATGCTTAGTTCCAGAGGACTTACTATGAGGAAATGAAGTGGTACAATGACAAATGTCTGGGTAGTCATCTTGTTCTTTTTCCTGAATAGATAAGGCATTTAATTAGCTGGCAAGCCTCAAAAGCAAAAAACACTGTGCAGCTGTTAGCCTCTAGGGCTTCCAGAAAGATTTTGTGATTAATCTGCATATTGATCTCTTTTCTTAAAGCACAGATAAACCTTGTCTTACTGATCTGACAGAAGCTGGTTGTAGGGCTGGCAGACGGAGTTTCCCCTTCGGAATGGGTATAAATGATGTTACTCAACCGCTGTGGCATCTTCCTGGTGGTTCTGCACATTGTAGGTATGGTGATCTTTAAACACAACCAAAACAAGTAAACACTTTCTCTTTTCTTGTTTTGATGATTTGAAATCCAGAATTTGAAAGAAGGCACTCAGAGCCACAGGCTAAGACTGTCTATATTTCTGTAACAATGAGAATTTCAACTTGTTCCTGCCAGCTCCTACACAGACAGTTGTCTGAGAATAACGTTCCATCATCTGATTTAGTTTCGATTACTTGTGTCAGCTTGCACAAACTAAAACCCCATGATCCTGTTCACCGGGCATCATTTCAATGTAGTGAGCACAATCTGTTCCTCAAAGCATTTATGGTCACTTCAGTTGTATTTATGTGACTGGGAAGGAAGAAAAAACATGCTTCATGAACAATGGTTTTACTTTTAGCCAGAAGTTTGGAATAGGAGAACTCTGCTGAAACTTCTACTGTGAGCCAGAGTTTTGTCTGAATCCATCTATGTAAGCAACATCAATGGTTAGAAAGTGAACTTCCTGTATTTCAGTTGAGCTTGTATTTCTCTCATTCTCTTGGGGCTCAAATAAATAATTTGCAAATGTCTCTTGAATTTTGTTTTCTTAAATTATATTGGAAGAAGAAAAATCTGCTAAATTACTTGCTCTTGTAAATTGTTCAAAAATCCTGAATGAAAATACTGCTTAAAGAAATGCAGTAGTTGTTGCTTGGCTTTGCAGTTGTGTTGGGTGGTGGGGTTTTGCTGTGTGTGTTTTGTGTTGTTTTTTTTTTTTTTAACGTTTTGTGATGTGTTTTTTCTTTCTTAGATTGTGATGGATGAGGATGTGTTGTACCTTTTAGGAGGAAAAAGTGAACGTCATCTCTGGACTGACCATCACTGCAAAAAGGAACAAGGTGAGTTTGTAGCAACGGTAGGTTTATGCTCTCCTGTGTTTGCTCTAGCTGAGGTATGGAGACGTTAGGCTTGTATTCAATAAATTAGGACCCACAACTTGAAAGCAGTTACCTTGATACAAATAAATTATCATGCTTCTGCTACCCCACCAGTGTACAGTTTGTGAGTTTAGTGCAGAGGAAGAAACATGGTGCTTCTGTAGATACCTAGATCACCATACAACTTGTAAATGTAATTTCCATGAAACGTACTAGGTACATGTTTTAGTCTTTAAGGTTCTTCCAGATAAATATTTAATGCATTTCTTTTTCTGATAATGCTTTTTTTCTGGTAGTGTTTATTTCTGATAGTGTTCAAAAGCTCTATTTTTCTTCTGTGCTTTGCAAATTCCTTGTTGGCCAACTCCAGGAAGACCATGTTGTCATGCTATTTCTCTCAATGACAGTGCAGTAATTAAAAACGATTTGCAGTAATTCTTTTTGGTGTTAAAGCTACTAGCAAGAAGTGGAAACACAACATATTACAAGATAGCTCATTCATTTAAAAAAAAAAAAACAACACACATACTATCTTTCAGTTAAAGCTTAGCCTCCTGAGTGCAAGTTACTGAAAATAAATGCATTACAGTAGGGGTAAATAATTGTTCAGAAGCTTAATGCAGATGTCAGCAACAGCAAAGGAAACGGTATCAGAATTGAGGAATGAAGAAATTAAAAATAGCATGTCTTTCTGCAACTCTTCCCATTTGTCTTAGGCTATGAAAGTAGTGTTGCAAAGGAGAGATCATTAGGTCTTAGTCAGCCCTGTGATACACAGTGGGCGAATGTGCAAACAAGACATGCCTTTCTAGAGTGTGTCAGCTCTGTATTTTACTTGTGTTCATAGGCTGCTCTCGCTTGGTAAGGCAGGGGTGGGCAAATGGTGGGTTAGTGACTGTTCTCAGGGTCTTGTGCTGGCAGGTTACTTGCCTTCATAGCACCTGGAATTCCAGTGCAGGATTACAGGTCTGAGCAGCCATCCTCACTGAGAATTGCCACAGACTGATGCACTCAGTTTCCTGTGTTTTATGAGCTCATCTCTGCTTCATTGTTATGACTGAAAGTCACTGAAATCATTGAGTGTTGAAATAAAAATCCAATTCTTTCTTAAATATTATGTGGAGGGGTTACTTAAAATGCATTTTTCTATTTTCAAACTGAGTCCAATTTGAAGTTACAGCAACCATTTTTTAGTTGTGTTTGCTATAAACTGAAGATCAGTTAAAAAGTAAGCTCTTCTAACAAATTTATTTAAAATATTAAAACAAGGCAGCTCACACACTAAGTGTTACTTACGTAGGTTTCATAAAGTTCAAAGCGTATTTACTTTCCAGTGGTATCGGATCTGGGGCAATTCAGATGAAAATTACAAAACTAATTACATTTTATCTTACTTTATGAAAATACTTAAATTACATCGTGTATTCTGCTTTGTAGACTGAAAATACGTGCATGAATCGAAGAACGTTTTCTTCACAAAATAACAAAAAAAAACTTTTTTTTTTTTTAAAAAGTTTAAATACTAAAAATAATGTAAGTTCTTATTTAGATCATGGTTTAAAATAGAATTACTTGAAGCATCGTGGGAATCCTCAGAAGCATTAGTTGTAGCCAATATTGAGGATGAGGTTTTAATTGCAGGATAAACATATGCTTCATCAGTAATGTTCTTTGGCACACATAACAAAATAAGGAATTCATATAAAAGGGTGGATTTTTAGCAGAATTCTGTTTACGTGTCATTGAGTCATGCCTGGACCTGTAAATAATCCCATGGAGCTTTATGGTCATAATGAGGCATGCTAATTCTGTTTATGTATGTGTAAGTAGCACCACACAAGCACTGACTGTAGTGCTGAAAAGAAAGGAAATGTAACATTTGCAGACATGAGAAATGAGCTGAGTGTTTTCAAGAACAGTTACAGGACTAGTCAGTGTTTGATTAACCACCTGCATGTGTGTCCTTTAGGAAAGAAGGCAGCATACTCAAAGGCATAAGGCAATGAAAAAAAGCTCTGACAGAGTAAAGAACACTTCTGCTACCACTGTTCTATAACTTGAGATGGAGCAGCAAGGATAAACACTGGAAGAATTTAAAATAAGCCCTTGTGATAAAGGCAGTCATTTATCCTAGTGAAGTAATGGGTAACCAAGACCTGCATAAGATATTAGCAATGGAGAGAGGAGGGAAGGGTAGAGCTAGTGACAGCAAAAAGAACTCTTCCTGCCGCACCAGCAAGGAATTTGAATGCCAGGGGAATGGGGGAGACTGTTGGCTGTATATGAAGGAGTTAACTGAGCAGGAAAGTCTTGCAAAAATCACAGATGAAAAATTGTCCCCTAATTTTCTAGTAGGTAAATCTGATATACTAAAATTATGAACATTGAAAAGTGAATAAGCATATAGTGAGCTCTGTAAATTCTGGCAGTGTTTGTAGCACTGGCTATGCAAATAGTAGTAGTGGATTATAGGTGAAGGCCATCTTTCGTGAAAACTGACATGACAGTTATATCAGGCAACTGTGATGAGCCTCTCCTTATGACATTAGTGAATGTAAACAAATAGGAAACAAGATCAACAGTGGATATCAAAATCTTCTGCTTTAAATTATGATTTAAAATTATGTGAAGCACTTTAAATGGGTGTCTTCCATAACACATGGGGACATACTACAGTCCATTGTGGTCCAAGTCTGCAATGAGATGCTAATTTAATTACAGGCTCAACTTTTGCTGTAGCTGTAGTGTTTATTAGTTTAAGTGTCATAGTGGAAGTTCCTTTGAAAAGCAGAGATTTTTAGCGAACACTTAATTAGATATCAAGTTTTTAAAAACAAAACCAAAAGCTTTCTTGAAACATTTTTAGCCTTCCAGCTATAATTAGTCATGTCATTCTGAAGTACGTGGATGTATTTATTGATGTATGCAGAACAAACACAAGGCTTGTTAATACCGAAAAAGGAAGGGAAAGGAAAAACTGCACTCATGCAGAGGGATGGGAAGGTAGTCTTAGCATACCTGCTTGTTGGGAAGGCAGATGATGGGAATTGGTGTGACTAAAGCAAGATGAGTGAGTGTTGCGATGGGTAGGCCATCAGTATGGTGTATGCATCAGAAGATTTCTAACCACAGTGTACTATGGAAGCTATCCTGAACAGTTTGGCCCACATGACAAGTAGGAAATCTAATCCTTGAACTTTCTCTCCCATGAGGAATTATAGTAGAGTTTAAGCATGTTTTAGGTTTTAGAGACTATTTAAAGTGAATTCTAGGTTTTCATGCATTTTTATTTTATTGAAAAATCAAAATATTTCTGCCATAAAAGTACACTCGTGCCTTTGAAAAAGTAGTTAAAATGAAAAAAAAAAAAGAAACCTTTGCAGCAAAAATACTGTTCATCTATAAGCAGGTCATAATAACAGAAGGAGGAGATGGGGGATTGGATGGCAGAGCAAGGAAAAAGGTAGTGACAGAAGAAGGGAAGAAAGTAATGCAAGTGGAGGACAGGTTGAAGGGCAGAAGTTGCCCTTTTTTCAATTTCCAAGTGAGAAGACATTTAAAAAGCTAACCTAAATGAGCAGTATTGCTGATACAGGTGTGCTGTCTGAGTAGGGGACACAAGTAGCCAGCTGTGGCAAAGGTTACAGGCAGGTTATGTGAAATAAAGATTGTAAATCAAAGAATAAAAGACTAAATATAGTTTGTCTTACAGAAGGTGATGCGTTTGCCGTGAATGGATGAGAGCAGCATGCAGATGCTGTGAACATTGGAGAAGTGAAACACAGAAATCAACTGTTCTGCCATGCTCCGGAGCAAAGATCACTGATCCTCCCTGGTTTAAGGGCCAAAAATACCCTGCAGGTAACACTTCCCTATTTGCTTTTGTGTTAACCATAGTTGCAGAGGTAGTGAGCAGCCTCTGAGGTTTGTGGGCAGTGCTTCAGAGTCATCTGCCAGAGTCCTTTGTAGTCTGGTTTAATAGCTTTTAAGCAAATAGTTTGGCTTCTTCCCGCTCAGAATGAGAAATACAAGAGCAGTCTGAAAGAAGACACCACAGCTTTCTCCCACCTGCACCATTTCCCCACTGTGGGGTGATGCAGTGATAAGGAAAGTATGCAGGTTTGCCTCATTTCCCATCCCAGTAGCCGGCAGGCTTGGATTGCTGTAAGAGGAGGCCTAGTAGCAGCCTGCCTCTTCCAAGCAGAGAATGAGTGAGGCATCCAGGTAGTACACGCACGCTTCTTTCTTGCTCAGGGTGGATGGTAAAGTCAGTCTTGTCACTGTGTTCAGGAAAACAAGTCATTGTAAACACTCCCACTGCCAATATTCTGTTGTAAATATTTCATAAGAAAAATGTTTGGTTTTTTTTTGAGGTAGGTGTTGGCAGCAGCTGTAACTGCATTTAACATTCCAGTGCTCTTCCAATTCTCTTCCAGATTAATTACATGAAGGTAGCTGGAAATGTTAGTATACATTCTGTGATGAGGTTCTATTGTGCAATTTGATCCCTTCTTACCTAGTTACCTACCCTTCTGTATTCAGTTTTTTTATTTCTTACTGTGCACACAGAAAGAAATGGCAAAGGTGTTCAGTGCTATAAAGACATGAAAGATTCTTGGGTTATAAAGTCTCGGTAGGCTTAAGTTAATGTATGTCTTTTATGAGGTGTTTTTTTGTTTATATTTAAGGAAGAAGGACAGTTGGGTGAGTCAGTCACTGTTTTAAGAGGCCGAACTGAAATGTGATTTTTTTCCTTTTTTATTTTTCTGTTGTCTTCCTGATATAAACGAAGTCATCCTTATTGGGGAAAGTACGGGGAATGATGATGGTTCTTTTTTTAAGAGAAGCATGAGAAGATTGAGTGTGAGGTTTTCGAAATAACCGTATTCTCAGTGAAATTGAAATAGTTTTAATAAGTAAAAAGTTTTAATGTTCAAAATAGGTACAAGGATTTTGATTTAAGAATTGCAACTATTTGATGTTAGAGACACTGCAGGTTTTGATTACAAACTAGTTATTTTCTGGGTTACCACTGAAACATTCTGCTCACTCAGTTACTACGTATAAATGGTTATGTGAAGTCACAAAACTGACTCTTTGCCAGTAAACCAAATCCTTTCTTTTTCTTCCAGGAAAACCAAAGTAATACCACTTTTGGAAAAATCTTTCAATAATATTCTATGTACAATTTTTGTCTCTTTCTCTGAATTCAGCTAGAAGCATGTATAGTGATGTATGTTAAAACGTGTTACAGAGGAAATAAGCTGTTATTTTATTGCTTTCAGACATCACAGATGCATCCCCCATTGCCCCATTTTCCCCGGGTGTTTCAGTAAGGTCTAGGAGTCTAAAAAACATAACAAAACAAGACTTGTATTGGAGTCATCTTGGTAGAAAAATCCTCACTGACTTTAACAAGATGAAAATTTAGAATCATAGAATCATAGAATATCCTGAGTTGGAAGGGACCCTTAAGGATCATCAAGTCCAACTCTTGACACCGCACAGGTCTACCCAAAAGTTCAGACCATGTGACTAAGTGCACAGTCCAATCTCTTCTTAAATTCAGTCAGGCTCGGTGCAGTGACCACTTCCCTGGGGAGCCTGTTCCAGTGTGCAACCACTCTCTCTGTGAAGAACTTCCTCCTGATGTCAAGCCTAAATTTCCCCTGCCTCAGCTTAACCCCGTTCCCGCGGGTCCTGTCGCTGGTGTTAATGGAGAAAAGGTCTCCTGCCTCTCGACACCCCCTTACGAGGAAGTTGTAGACTGGGTAACATTAATTACGTTTCTCACAGGCTTAAAAACCTAGAACAATTAATGTCTTGAAGACTTCTTTCCCACTTCCCCTCTCATTCTCAGCTTTGCCGTCAGGTGGTACAGGAGGTAAGAGGTAGCTACCACTACCTTTGAGAGCGTAGCTTTAGCCTAGAAAACTAAGAATTTCAGTCTTGATGTTGGTGTAGGAAACTTGTTGTATTGTTAAAATTAAATATTTTCCTGAGCAAAAAAAAATGCATTCAAGGCTTTTCCTGAATTGGGGTAGGATGGACTGTGCCACTTAACTTGCATAAATTCACCTTTGAAGCTATTTGGTAACAAATAGACCTCAGTCTGCTAAAATGGAAGGCTGCTGATGGAATGGAAAAGATTGTTCAGTGAAAACTGGTCTGAAGAGATTGTCATGTTACAATCTTGGATTTCATTCTGTGCTCTAACCTATACAGGCCAGACTTTCTTCTCAGTTTAGAGTTCCTTCAGAGCAATGTAATGCAGGGCTTCAGTGTACCAGTGGAAACATTCAATTGTTAAGAAAGTGGACTGCAGAGATGTTTCCAAGTCAAAAGTGTTTCCTGTCATGTTTCAAACAAATTTGTTTTATTATTTTTTTTTTTAATAAAACACTTAGCAGACAAACTGTACTTTAGTAATTCTAATAACTGTTTTTAGAGGGGAATATAGAGCTTCTCTACAAATTAAAAGATTGATTCTATACGAACAGGCAAAAATGCTGTTGACTTTTAAAGTGCAAGATCAAGGTTAGCATATGTATGTTTAAACAATGCATAAGCCCAGGATCATAAAACCAACATCAAAGTTCTGTTGTCCCATGCATATTTGTGTGTCATTGGCTGAACTGTAAAAGTACTTTCTGAGAAGCTTAGCAGTGATGTGAATGACTGAGGTGTGCCAGTGGTATGAAAGGGCTGCTGGTAAAAGAGAATCAGAAGAAAATGCTGTCTGTAACAAGTGTTGGTAGTGGTTTTGATCTTAGAACTTGGTAACTTGGTAGCAAAAAAGACTGAGGCATTAGCAGTTCTCACAATATTTGGATATTACAAGGTAGGAGGGAAGAAATAAGCTTTTGGGGCTAAAGTTGGTAGATGAAGGGGTGACCCTGATTTGGAAGGCCATGATCCAGCACAAGAAATAAGCCACATCCAATACCTGGAATATGAAACCTTTGAAATTCAAGGTTGGGGGAATAGGGATGCTTATGCACGTTGCATGTGCACCAGCGAGCATGTGCCTTCTGTCCTGCTGCAATTCCAAGTCCAGCCAGCCTGTAGGTACATTCACAGCTCAGAAGGCTACATGGCTCACAGTGTGTTCGGGTGTTTCAGACAAATCTTTTCGGATCGAGCTGCGAGAAGTAGGTGCTGCCAAACATAAACTTCTGCCTTACATAAGAGACTCAAATCTGCAGTTGATCTCTGCTTTTTTTTTTTTTTTAAATGCATGCTCTGTGAACCTTGATACTGTGTTGAATTTGATGGACTCCTTAATCTTGATTGTTAACTGGAATCTCTGTAAGGGACTTAATTATCCAGTTATAATAGATACTGAGAAGTTAATAATAAACTCAGAAATATGCTGTTTAACCAGATGTCTTGTTAATTACGCTAACGCCACATTGGCATTTGCTTTGATTTAAATGCTCTAGGTTTTGTTTGCCTTTTCAGTTCCCAGCCCACACATCTTTATTTCAGCTGGGCACTCTTCCTTTCTAAGCATCCAAAGGAACACACAGGGTCACCTCAGGAGGCTGCTGTGAACCACAGGATGAATCCTGCCTCAGAGCATCCCTGTATACCCTGGTACTCAAAGCCAGGTGCTCCCTTCTAACTGTTAGGACGTTCTCTAATGCAGCTAATTGCTGCCTGATTTATGAGTAACTATTCTTCCTAGTAGGAAGGGCTCTTTCTTTTCATACCCTTAAGTGCAATACAAAGGCCAAATCTCCACCCATTCTGAACATAGCATTCCTTCCAATCCACCTTATAAAAATGTGAGGTTACGCTGGAGGCAGACCAGAACACTGCTTCAGCCTACTTGAAGACACCTCCTAACTTGTTGTAAGGATGAAGCTCCTGGCACTCTATGGCTTTTTGTTTGTCTTACTTTTGTGCCTCAATGCCTTTACTGCAGAAGGTACCGTATGTTCGTCTAATACAACTGTCTTCTTTCTTTTCCTGTGCTTTTTTTTCCTTGTGACTTTTAAAAAAGACAGCTTATTCTCTAATTGTATGTTGATCTTAATTAAAGAAAACAAACAGAGCTTGACAACTGGAAAGGACAGAATAAAATTAGGAAAGAACTTAGAGCTGCAGAATGTGTATCAGTACTTTGTTAGGTTTGTAGCGTTTCCTTTGTCTGTGGCACATCATACAGCATGATTAACTTTTACCTTCATCTGTGTTCTGAAACCTGCTCCCCATTTCCAGTCTTGAAAAAAAAATCCTTGTAATATTTTCCAGTAGATAACTATCAGGCACTGTAAGATTTACAGATTTTCTGCATGGTGAGAAAAACATTAATGGAAAAAGTTTCTACCCTTATGCAACAAGGGAGTGTGAAACAGTTCCCCAGAATTGGAGTTAAGTTTTGTACAGAACAGTGAAACAGATGACTAGCTCTCCTGACCTTCAGTCAGTCTTGATTTTAACTTTTTAACCACAGATATACATACTGTATTACCCTGTGGCACCCATTTACCATTTTGCAGCATTCCAAAGCGCACAAACTCAGAGCAGTTTAAGCCTTAAAAGTCTGTTTCTTTGTCCACACCCACATATCTGTAGATGTCATTCTGGGTTTGCAAGAGAAGCAGTATAGCTGGAATTTAAACTTAAAAGGTGTAGCTCTTAGTTACCTGTTTGGATTTGGTGCTTGATATTGGGAAACTTGGAGACCTACCATGTTCCATGGTGTTTATTTTTTTCAATGCAAGATGTAGTGAATGAATATGAGATAAGGAAAAACAAATAAGCTAAGTTTCCAAAGGTCAGAAGCAGCAGATTTACCATGCTTCATATTTTTTAGAAACCTCATAAAAAATCATCTTGTGTGAATATGGGTGTGGAGAAACACTGAAAGCTCTTTAAAGCTGTTCGAGTAGCCTGGTTTTCTCACTTACTGGAGCCTGTTCTGAGTTGTAGATCTGTTTGCAAGAACTGTGGAGAGGGTGAGTGAATGCTAGAGCACTATCATTGTATGTTTACCTGAACTCAAAGGGAGTTGGAGAATATTGAGATGGTTCTTTAGGAACATGGCAGAAATATGTCCAAGGAAATGGCAACACCCAGTAGAAATAACTGAAGACTTGCCCTGTAATAATGTTCCTTTCTCTTAGCGTGTTTCCTAGGGGGTTGGATGCCTTTGCTGGGTCAGAAAGGGCAGAGAAGGGGTTATAGGACACTGATCCTTATCCATAAACACATGGATTGGAAAGGCTGTCAGTAATGTGCCTGAGGTTGTCAAAGCATGTATATGTGTTAACATGCTTGAGTGCAGCAGCTGGTACAGAAGTGTGAGGAGCAGTCTAGAGTGAACTGTATCTGTGTTTTTTCTGCTCAGTTCCTGGCTGTAGTTTGTTCTCGCCCCAGAGCAGCTTTACTCATTCTAGCTGAGGTAGAATTACCTGGATGTACAAAATGAAGGCATGTTTTTTGTTAGATGAGAATGAAATGATGCCGTGACACCTCAAACCTCTTAGATGCTAGAGCAGTGACCATCACTTGCCTTGGCTGTAGAACCATGCCACAGGGATTTCTGGAAACACTGAGCGTATGTGAGATTTTGTTGAGAATTCGACAGCCTCTGTTCTTCCTGCTCTACCTCTGCTCCAAGCTCACTGCAGTGTCATCTTTGTTCTCCCTATAACGTATCCAGCACTCTGTACCAAGCATTCACGTGTTGAATACAGCAGCTCATGTATTTAGGTCTAGTAGGCAGGGAGTGACTAAACGGCTTTGCCTGTCCAAAGCAATTTGTTCTACACCTCTGTGTACCCATATGGATACAGAGATGCTCTTTTTGTTCTCTTGGTAATCTTTTATACTTTCATTAAGCAACATAACTGTAAAAACAGTGCAAAATCTGTTTGTTAAGACAGCTGGAATTTGCTGCTTATATTGCCAGCTAACATGTAACATTTCAAAGTCTTCACAATGCATCTGGCATATTGTGTCTACTAGTAATGATAGAAGAGAACAAATTAATTAATGTTCTATGCTAGGAACAAGGCTACACATGGGTGTAAAAATTAGTCATGATGATGTTTTCTTTCACAGATCTTTCTGTTCAAGGATTTCAATGGTAAATACAGTAACCAAAATGTCTGGACTCTTAAGCCATTTGGCATGCATGTGTGTTGCATCCTCTGTCTCCATTGGTAATGTATAATTTTTTCACCCTTAGGTCGGAAGGTTAAAAAAGTCTGCTGTTCAAAACTAGCCAAAGTCAACAAAAAGGCAACTAAAGGTAACAATATCTACATTTTAATTGTAGTAATTAAATAATCATTATAGATAAAAATTCCTGTGATGTAACTGATTTTTCTGTACACGTGAGTATGGGAATCTGAAATGCCACCTTCTGCTGCAAACCCAGTAATACCTCCCTTTACTTGTCCCCTGTTAGACTGTCCTTAGTTCGCTGAGCTCTCAAGCCTGCTTACTGTAACCGCCTCCTGTCCCAAGCTGCAGCCAAACCTTTTTTAGGTCAAGGAATGATGTTTGTTTCCATACAGTGTCCACCTGTCTGTTGCATGCAATTGCTTGTCTGTTACAGATCTGCTTATATGATAATGCTTGATCTGAGTGTGTTTTGATTCTTACTGAGACACAAACATAAAAGCTTAAGCCTAACACAGCAGCTGCCCAAAGTTAAAGGTAGCAGAGTTTTCTTTCATATTCAGTTCTGGACTGGAAATGCACAATGTTGACTTAGTTTGGTATTATTATAGTTACTTCTTCCTCATTGCGGTCTACAGCTTCCTCCCAAGGGGCATGGAGGGGCAGGTGCCGATTTCTTCTCTTTAGTGACCAGTGATAGGACCCACAGGAATGGTCAGGAAGAAGTTCTTCACTGGGAGGGTGGTCACATACTGGAACAGGCTCCCCAGTGTCATGGCAAAGTAGTCACGGCACCAAGCCTGTCGGAGTTTAAGAAGCATTTGGACTGTGCACTTAGTCACATGGTCTGAATTTTTGGGTAGATCAGTGTGGTGCCGGGAGTTGAACTTGATGATCCTTGTGGGTCTCTTTCAATTCAGGATATTCTATGATTATTATTATTAATTATCAGGAGATTTCTGGGTCACTTGTGCTTTCACATTGCTTTCTTTTCTAGGGGAATATGACTTGCTTTACACAGTCTGTAGTCAAGCACACTACCTGCTTTTCAGCATTACTTCACTCTGCTGTCTGTGCTAGGCATATGCCTAGGGGAAGTTGCAAAGCCACTCAAAGGCTGAGTGTGACCGAAGGAAGGGGAATAATTTAACCCTACTGGCTACTTATCTTTGAGGCAACCTCCCTGCTTTCCTAGATCTATGCCCTTCTACCATAAAGAATCACTGTCCCAATAAGCAAATGTTTCAAGCCAGCATTGGCTTGTGGCTTCTCAGGAAAGCAGGTAAGTGTGATGATAGTAAGGGGACAACAGTGTAATACAACTCGGTGTGCAATGTGTTGGCCGTGGGACTTGAGCTCTGGAGTAGTACTGTCTGAAGACATCTGCTTTGTGGAAGCTTCCTGCAAAAGCAGCAGGATTCATACTTCCAGTGATTGTGCTCCCTGTAGAGGAAAAAAAAGGGCTGCAAGTAATGGGTGGTCTCCAGCAATGTAATGAAGAAAAAATATTGCTGTTACATGCCCCACTCCCCTTTTTTCTGCCCCCTCCAGACTGCTGATAATCTAAGCCTGGCCATATATATGGTTCAGCTTCTGGTACTAATGTTTTGTACCATTCTACATACTTCCAATTAAACATCTCTTCCCATTTTCTCTTTCCATCTTTGTTTTACAGGTGTGCCTCCCAAGTTGGCTCCAGTGCAAATAAGGAAACACTGCAAGCCTTGTGCTCAGCCAGACCCTCTGCGGATTCCTGGACCCCTTCCGCGGTTAAAATAAGACTGAGCAGGGTGAAGAAAAGCATCTGCCTGCCAGCACATCTCACAGTGCTTCACTTGGTTGAGGGTCTTCCTTTTACAGATAGGGCCTGAATGTATGCTATTCTTTTTTTAGCTGGGAGGGGCTTCAGTCAATAATGCTTACTCAGTCCCCCAGGCTCCTTCATCTTGTTAACATTAACCTGCCATCTAAAGAGACAGGTAAAACTGTCTGGCTGCTACTGGATTTTTTCAGTTGCATGTTCCTCTGTACCAAACAGGGATTTAGCTCCCCAAACAAGACAGATGAGAGCTGGCTGTATCGCTTTGGACTGCATTTTCAGATGGGGAAGGGCTGAAGTTACTGTCTCTAGTTATCAGTATATATATATTTAACCTTTTATATGAATAACTTCTTTTATATAGACAAATGGATTTTCTTTGTAGCTAGGCACATGATGAATTTGTTCCTGCAACATTTGCTCTCAGTGCTTAAAATCCACTTGGAAGTGGATTTCTATCAAGTGAGAATGAACTTATGATTTAGAAAGGGTTGAGAAACTAGATTCCAATAGTTGGGAAGGACCAGAGGACCAGATTCAAGTACAGTGGCAAGCATTTTAATGTCTGGAGTAGGGGAGGGAAAAACACCTGTTCTTTAACTTCCCAGAAGAATGTCATCGGCTGGTTATTAAAAGGCATTCTGGAAAGGTGTAAGGCTAGTCAGATTATTTTTTTTCCTCCTGAAGCCAGAAGGCAATTGTTCTTTCAAGGCACTTGAGTTGTGTGATCATGCCGATAAACAAAATTCACTGGAGTATGAAATTAAACAAATGTTAAGAATAATACCAAAGGGCTGAATAAAAGAGAAAGAGAAATGCTCCCTGCTAATACAATTAGCAGTCACTGGGGTCTTTTCTCAGGTATCTCCTGTCCTTTTCCTGGCTGTCTCCTGCATATGCTGCTATTTCTATGCCCAGGGTGAGTCCTTAAGCCAGAATTAATTGGAGGTTTATGAATTTGGCTTTCCTTCTAATGAATGTGACAAGGTGTGGAAAGCTTTTTCTGCTCTTGGGCAAACAGCACTTTGAAAATAGTAATTTTACTCTCAATACTCAGAGTAATGCTATTTCCCTAAGGTAATTTCCTGTATGATAAAGATGGTCTCAGTGCCCTTTAGTCATCTGGGGGAGTTGAATGGGTATGGTCATATGCCTGTTGTAACCACCTTCAGGTAAATGTGTTACCTGTGGGTCAAATTAATGGGTACTTACTTACGGGCTGTGCTTTCTCATGGTCAGTGTTTCTATTGTACTGAACAATTGAAGCAATTTCTTGGACTCCTACATGCTTGTTATTATTTTATTTTCTTAGTGCTCTTGTGATTAGGTAGATCTGACCCTCATCTTCCTAGTTTTGAGCTGACCATGCACAGCATTTTCATATCAAGACTAAAAAAGATCCTCCAATCCTCACAAGATCTGAGCCAAGAGGTTGGTGAATAAGCTGTTTGATAATTCTGCTGCCGATCTCTGGGCAAACTTTATTTTTGTCTTTTGTAGCTCACAGAAAGTATCTCAGGAACACGAACGATGAGCAGATGTGAAAAGTATTTTGGCTATTAAATGTTTGCATCAGGAGTTTACACAGAGCTGTAAACACACGGCCATATCTTACAAAGCATTACTAAGAGGTACGAGGATTCTGTTCTCTAACATGAGCTTAAGCCCATTTGTTTCATATTTAAAAAATGCTATAAGATTATCTTGGCCCCACATCCTCCAAACAGTCTGCTCCACACTCCGATCCTCCTTCAAGCAAAATGTTCTGACAGCAAAAGCATAAAGTCCCAAAGACCATCAACACTATTACAGAAATACTTTGTCTTTAGAGGGATGCAGGGACATCATCCTATGTACTGGAATATTTTTACTCACCTAGTTTCTCAAACTAGCCTCAAGGTAAGGTTGAGGGCTATTCAAACTCAAAAGTAAGTTACTTCTGTGAGGTCCTAGTCCTGACTGAACAAACTAAAGCAGGATTCCTCAAGCTATTTCACCACTCATTGTGACTGTTGCCCAAACGGGCTCTTTGCGTGGCCTACAAGTATCGGGAGGTCATGCATCAGCCTCCTGTAGGTGCTTCCTCAGCAAAGTTGGACTTTTATTTCCTGAACCTTTTTCCCTGTGTGGTAGAACAGAGCTACCATCTGATCATGGCTTTGTTTACAGGCCCCTGTTCTTCATCTTGCTTTTCTTTCACTACTATGTATATTTGTTTGGCATTACCAGAGGAGAAACATATTACTCAGTGGCTTTTCAAAGTACACAGGCTGTATGCTTACATCAAGTAGTAAATTCAGCTTGCCCAAGCTGACAAATGCATTTGTCTGTATCTTGTGGTTTTCTGTGTTTGTTTGGCTGTCAAGCATGAAAATTGCACAGCCTTCAAGTTCCAATAAAGATATTTTGACATATCTCTGTGCCTGCCAGAATAGATGTTGGATCCTGGTCTGACCTTGTCAACTAAGTGAGCCAGGTGGCCCCTCGCTTTGTTTTGAGATTAATACCCTCAGCTGACACCAAATCAGTCTGTCTTGTATAGTACTGTGACTCTGAATTGTCAGGGCACAGGAGAAATGATCACCCGTGACAGGGGGAATGTGGGGCCGCAGGCAGTTTGTGGGTTTTTCCTTCAAAGTGCATATTAGAAGGTGTAATTTGTACAAATAACATAAAATTTTATGACCCTCAAAAGTGTAATGGGACTATTGCTGTTGGCTCTTCAGCCCTCTAGACTGTCTGGCCCACAACTGCTATAAGGGTCCGGGTGTAGCTGAATTCAGGATTTTAGCTCTGAAGAATTTCTGTTAATCTGAAGTATGGGACACTCACAACTTTTTGTGATTGCATCTGCTAAGGAAAACCAAAATCCTGTATGGACAATGTCACTGCGGATAATAAAGTCATCTGACACATGAAAACAGAGGGATAAACTTTTGCTCTTGCGGGTTTGCATACGCTTATGAAGAAACGCTTGACAGAGCTGAGTGGAAGACTCCTGGTGATTTAAGTGTTCATTGAATGAAATCTGAAAATCTGTTGCTTGATTCAGTTTTGTCCAGCAACTGCGACCTCCAAGGCAGATCTAGCAGTGTTGCCAGATGGTGAATGTAGATTGGATTCTACCTACTTTTGACTGAATTTTACTTAAAGAAGAGTTGGGCTTAAGTTTAGCCATGACTTTCTTCTTCTCAGTTAAGGTGAGAGGAAGACTTTCTTACACATCAGTCTTTTTTTTTCTTTTGCATCAAATGAGCTTTTCCTCATTAGATCTGAGCAGTTGTCTCTGTCACTAACTTCTCTGCAGGACTTGAGCATTTATTTGTTTAAATGCTGGTAGGGAACACAGAGCCCTACTTCAAAATACATTAAATGACATGCACAAGAGTGTTGATTCCAATCAATGTGTGTCTTTGGTTCCCAGTAGCCATTTAGCATGGTAAGACTTATGTTGGGCATTGGGTGGTTGTCTGAGTTGCTTTCAAGTCCACTACAGTCATCATACTTTCCTTTAATCTTAGAGCAGGCCATGAAGAAATTCACCAAAATTGTTTCTGTTCTGAGTCTCTGCTAGAAATAGTGTCTTGGTGTGGTTTGCCATCATTCAGCCCTTCAGTTACTCCTTGTTTATCTGTGTTTCAGAGACGTGGCTATGAATATTTTCAGGTGTTGGGGATTTAATTCCATATTTTCAGGTTGATGGTCCACAAGGGAATGACTAAGGCCAGAGATCTGCTGTAGGATAAGCACCTTACTGTCTCAGTGCCATCTGGTCAGTCTCTGAAAGCGTAATCAGAGAAATCAGGTCACTTCATGCCTGCGAGAGATCCTGAACTGAACATGACTTGTCTGTCTTGTGCAGCCTGGCACACCCACAAAAATCCCTGTAATTACAAGACACTGACAAACCAACAGTTCGGTTTGGCGACAGTCAGACTAACTGCATCGGGCACGCTAAGTTCAAGAGCTGTTTAGTTGCAGCTGGCAGTACAGCACAGATGCTCGCAGGACAGAATTTAGACCTCACAGGAGGCATTTATTATCATACGTATGGAAGTCTATGTGCAGAAAAATGCCTGCTCAACAGATGATTGTGATCAACTGTCTACTACAGGGCACATGTACAACCTTCTAACTATGTTATCACATTTGTGATAAGTGTAGCACACTCAAAGCAACTAACAGATCTTGGTTAATAAGATCAAACAATAATCCAAATGCTAAACAGCAGTAGGGTTTCCCTCAGCTGACGGACAAGATGACATTTAAGATCTGTCAGTGGCAGAAGAGTGCTTTTCTGCTGATTTCTATGATGTTTGGTCATCAGCACTGATCCCAACCTTAGGATCGAATCCTAGATGCTCTTAGAATCAGACCATCGGCATTCTAAGCTGGAGTGCACTGGAAAATATTGTCTTCGCTAGGCAGGTTGTCAAGACAAAGCTTGCCATTTGTCTTGTTGCAGAGCCCCATGTCATATGGCTAGCTGTGTGGCGTGTTCACCGAGTAATGCTAAAACCCATTTGTATCCCAGAATTTTGTCTAAGAGATAGATAGACCTGGGAATAATTTTTTCATGAAAAAATTAAAAGTGAAGTCCATCTGTTTACAGATGCTATCAGAGAAACACAACAGCATGCAGCAGTGTCTGCAAGTCCCTCATTAAAGCATTCCCTTTGTTTTTACTAACTTCAGTTATCAACTTTTCATTACTTGAGAAAAAAAAATGATGACAGTTGTCACTTGCCTCTTATCTTGAAGTTGTTTGAATACACCAAGATTAAACACTTAAGCATCTTCCTTTGTCTTAGTAAGCAGTACTAGTGTATATTTAACTTTTTCTGTAAAAATCATCAGATGATTGGATGATGAAAGAAAAAATATTTGAGTTGAAGTTATATCTAGCAAAGAAGGATATGTGGTTGATATTAGCCTTTTTTCTGTTCCCAGACATGAGTTTACAGTTTCTGATACCAGGACTTCTTCACTGACTGACCTCAACAACTGGAAAAGCCATCTTTTGTCTCTTTGGGCTGATAGTCACCCACCCGTTCTTTATTTATGTGGGATCTTACCTCAGAATGGTTTTGCTGTCTGAATTTCCTCAAGTTTTTTTCCTCGTGCTGAACTATTATAATTTGACACCATTAATTTCTGTCCACAAGACCAAAAGAACTGCATGTTATCAATAAGATAATATAAAATGGTGCAGCATTGCATTGACTATTTCCAGGCATCATTTTTTGTACCAAAAACAGCTTCTGTTACAGGACTTGAGCATCTCTGTTTCAAGACACCATATGATTGTCTCAAAGTCATGGGATGAGTAGGGATTTTTCTATTATTTAATTTATATTTCAGCCTTCACTGCAATAACTTTGGATCAATGTAATCTCAGTTATCAGATGTGGAAATCTGTTCCCAGATATATTATTTATTCCTCAAATTAACATCTGTTGTTGAGATTGTTGCTATATAGTTCTATTGATTTTACTAATAGGTTGTAAAAAAAAAAAAAAGTGATAACTACAGTGCTTTGAGATAAAGTACTTGAAGGTGTGGGAGGAAAAGGTGAGAGCACAGGGCTTTTAGGTAGAGCTAGTAAGTACGAAGAACCAACCTCTGGCCTCTTGCCAGGGGTAACTGCTTGCTTTGAAAACTCTGAGAACCAATACACTTAGAGGACTACTGACTGTCTAAAATGTCTCCAGCCAAAGGCTAGATAATTACTATAAAGTGTACGTGGAAATGGAGTGATAGTTACGTGAGGTTTTGAGGTAAGGTATATTGCTTCAAAGTTGAGCATTTAGGCCTCTTCTGAAACACACCTTGTTTTCTAATCTTTCAGGTTAAGGACAAGCACAGCTTTGATGCAAGACTCTGGTTGCTCAGATTACTTCTTGTTAGCAATGGCAGGTGAAGGCTGCGGTGCCCCCTGGCCAGCTGGATCTCCCAGACCCTAACAAGGTAGGTACCTCAGCACATGGTACATTTCAAGGGTTGCTGAGCGGTGGGATTCCCCACTGAGTTCAGCGAAGGCACATACCAATGTTCCCACCAGCTGGTCACAGGCAGACCTGTCTACAACCGTGGTGCCACACACTTACCTGAGTAAGATCCAAGCACTGTCCTAGCTGCTGTAGCTGAGGTGCTCTTGCGGTCTAGAAATGTTTCCTAGCCGGGGCTGTAGTTCAGCTGTGGTCTTTGCGTTTGTGCATTTCCTATAGTAAGCAGCAGACTTTGGTTATGCGTGACAATGAAAGAAATATATTTAACTTTCATAAATCCTCTGATTCAGCTAGTCATAGCACTGCCTTGTAAGCAGGGCATCCATACAGCGATGTCCTTGGCATGCACACCAGTCAGAAGATTTATGGAGCAAACATAAGCATTTCCTTGTTCTGCCTTGACAAGTTTTGTTATTTTTCTCAGCCACACTGAGTAAACTATAAAATCTTGATTCATTCATTATTCACACACTAACTGCACAAACTCGGATGTATCTACATTTTTTATAAGCAAAACAATGAACAATTGTAGTTTTTCCACAAATAACTTGGACTGTCTGTCTGCTGCTAAATGGCATCCTTCACACAGATCTGTCATGCTCCTTGGCACCACATCTATCAGTGATCGTGCTGCTGAAGTGAATATAGGCTATCTAAATACACCTGGATATTCTAGGGCCTAATTGTTCTTTTTTTATCCTTGTCAAAACAAAATGAGGAGAGTGATAGGAGAGGAAAGGATCATGGTTACTGAATAGTAAATGGATTTTTCAGTGCTCTTTAAGAGCCTCTAAGCTACTAAAATGGCTTAGCAGGAACTTTAGCCATGACAATTGTTCTCCTTTCCCAGTTATCTACAGTGACATTTTTGCAAACATACAAACACCCCTTGGCAGACTGCAGCCAGGAGGAGCCGTATCTGAGATGAAGCTCTGGGAGTGTTGCTTCCTCTTCCTAGGAATTTGCACACAGTCAATGCCTATAATTCGTGATAAATTATGCAGGCAAGTGTCTGTGAGATTTTTTCCTAGGGGATGAAAATACAGTCTCCTTATGCCTGCATTTACCTATCCAGGGAGGGGAGAAAGAAGCATTTTGATACCTGTTTGAAAGTCACTGTGGAAATGCTAACACTGCTGGATGTTTTGGTGACTGTTGCTCCCTCTGTTTTCATTCCATTGTATGAAACTGTAGCATGGAATTAACTGCTTGTGATATGCAAAACAGGAGGACTGTCTGATCACACAGAATAGCATTACTGTTTTTAAGACCACTTTGTCCTACGGAGCCCTGGGTACTGCCTGTCCCTAAACCAGTATCTCCTACCTTGGTGTGTTTGCCCAGCTACCTGGTTACCTTTTGTTGGTTCCTGATGCAGTAGAGTGAGTTCTCAAACTTTCTAAAGTTTGTGCCAAGCAGAAATGCTATCAGATGTCCAGTAAGTCCAGAGAATGTTCTATTTAGATGTATGTATAGAGGTTGGCATTTAAAACAGCCCCCCAGAAAGAAAAGATTCTGTTCTGACTCAACCATATCAGTCAATTTGAGGAGACAGGCAAATCTGTCCTTATTTATACCTTCTGAAATACTGACCATACAGAACCTCCATAACCTGATCTTGGTCTGTGCGTGCTTGGACAGCACAAGTATTTCCTCCTCCAGGTTCTGGCTTGTAACCTCGTTAAGAACACATTGCTGTCAGTTACTGGAACAAGACTTCAAGCTTCCTCCTTCTACCTTTACAGTAGCAGTGAACACAAGTAAATGGTTTTACTGCAAGTAGACTTCCAGCTTTGGTTCCTTATAAATACATTTATAGAAAAAAAGCTCTCGCCCTCAGATTAGGTCAGGATTATAAAGTCATTTTCACAGGTGTTAGATTGTGTACCCGCGCTCTTAGACTTGCTGTCCATTTGGAAAATGTGGGAAGTTTCTTGCTATATTTATTACTTTATATGTCAAATGTATATGGGATGTATCAAAATAACCTGAACTTCTTACAGGAAGTGGCTAATTTGTTCTGGCAGCAGGGAGGATTGGATTTTGGTGATCACAGCCAAGCTCTCAAATTACCATGGTCTAAAGCATGTATCTGATTAGATTTAACTACCATAAAGGCAGCACTGCTTGTCTTTTGTTATTCTTACTATGAAACGCTAGCGTGAGTGGCTCAGGTTCCTTTGCTGCAAGATCCCTGTGCGCTTCCCATGGTTTCTGTCAGCAGCCAGACAGAAAACTTGATGCTGTGGCAGGAGAATGCAAAGCTGGTTAATGTGAACTTCTCTGCTGCTGAAAACAGTCATCAGAAATAGTTACCAACACTTGTTCCTGGATTTCCAGCACCGTCACTTGTACTCTGTAGTAATGCATGTTGGTGAAGAGTGGTGATGCCCCAGTCTAAATTATCTCTGTCCTTTGGGGGTGGATTTTGAGGGGGAGAAACAATGTGGTTTCAACCAAGCAAGACTTTTTAATGTTGTTTTGTGTGTAGTGGGAGCTGCATGTTTAACTTTCTCAGCTACCTGCTTATGAGTTCTCAACCATCCACTATCAGCTCTGCTGAAAGAAAGAGCCCTCACACTACTTGCTCAGGTTCCAGCCAGAGAGAAAAGATCCAAGCAACTCTTACACTTACTTCTCCTTAGCAGTTCTGCTGCTGTTAATACATTTTGAGAACAGCTTGAACAACTCTCGCTCACAGTGCGCTGTGGGACTTGCTAGTGAACTGAGCCTCCAGCGTGCAAGAAATGGCCCAGCTGTGGTTACAGCTGTGTCAAACTCAGGGCTGTTAGGGTGTCAGCATCACCTGTTGTGTGTGTCATAGGCCCACCCTTCTCCACTTCCTTTGCTTTCATAGCTAAGAACCCTCCTATCACATCTGAAGATGTGAAAATAGGGAGAATTTTAAGAAAGGTTTTGAAAATGACTTAGGCTCCATTTGTCTTCTTCACATCTATTTCATCAAGCAATTCTAAGTGAATCACTCTCTGTAAAATGCCTCTAGAAATCACTGATAACTCCCACAGCTCCTTACCGCATCTGATTTAGGGACTGGAAGCCAGAGTGTAATTTGGACTCTTTCTGCACATAATGAAGTTTGTATGAAGTGCGCAGTGCTTTTGTGTTGAATTTATTTACACACATGCACAAAATGCAACATATTCCTTTCCAGGATAACCCGTAATGTTGTATGCAGCCAGCATAGGAGGACAAGCGTAGGAAAAAGAGTAGCTGGAGCATGACTTACATAAAACGTGGACTTCATTACTTAGCAAAACTGTGCAGAGTTTATAACGGGGGTTAACTCAAATGGAGGCAGGCATAAAATCTGAAGACTGTACATAGTTCCTATAAAGCAAAGTGAGGCAGCAGATTATAATTTAATCTTTTTTTTTTTAATTTTATTTTATTTTTCTCTCATTCTTAAATTCTGTACGTATGTAAGCATCCAAAAACTGACTGAAAGGCAACTCAGTGAAAACCACACATTGATATGCCAAGCAGGTGCTCCCAGGTTGGCAGCAGTGAGATGATTGCTCTGAGGTGGAAGGGCCACCCACAATACAGAAAGCGTAATTTATCTCCATGCCTGCTCGGTCTTTGCCCTCTGCTCAGGCTGCCAGCACAGGTGGCAGTGATTGCCAGCTGGGTGCTTCTGACCGAGAGATGCACTTGCTCTTTGCCAGCTGCGCACTGGCCACCTCCTGCACCCAGAGGTCCCACTGAGCTCAGCGTTGGTATTGCTGTGTAGTGTGAGGGGTTGTGGTCCTGTGCTGTTTCTTTCCAAGTGAAGGCCATTGGAAGCAGCTGTCCCCAGTGTCCTCAACTGTCTCTTCCCCTGGTCTTCCACACTGGCACCCATGGAGGGCACAACTGTACCCTCCTCTTGTACACTGGATTCTTGAAAGCTCAGAAAGTTAAGAGTACAGGAGCAGACAGGGGCTTGTATGTGGTTAGTTTTTTTCCTGGATGATTTTAGTAAAAATTCAGGTAGTCCAACAAGTACTTGTAGATACTGATGATCAGTGACCCAAACCCAGAACTTGGGTACTGAAAATTTTGAACCTTTCTAGATTTATTTGCCTACTGAGAAGTAAACAAACACAACAGCTTGGGAACAGACTGGTTCAGATCAGAGGGGTGCATTTCATTCTTCTGTTTTGATTTTTGCTACTATATGAAATTGAAGGTTTATTCTACATAGAGTGGGATCCTGCCATTCCTACAAACATTATTCTCCTGAAACTCCTTCTGGCACCCTTTCTTCCCAAAGCATAAATTCATCAATATCAGCCTGGTTCCTTGTGCTAGCTTAAAGCGAGAATATTTTCTGACAAGAAAAAAAAAATATTATCTGATTGTTGCTACCCAACTGTATTATCTGTATGTGTATAAAAACATATTAGCTGAGTTTTCAAATTCAACAGGATTTAAGAGCTCAAACTCATTGAAATTCAGGAGGAACAAGACATTTTGCTTCCTTAGATACAGGCCCTAGAGATTTAGATCCCATGGGGATGCAGCCAGGGGAACGGACAGCTACTAACTTTGGCAAGGGCTCACCATCACTTTTCCTATGAAAACATTGCAGTAAAAGGTGTGTTATCAATTCCAGAATGAGGTGGCAGCTGAGAGGAAGTTTAAGAGATATTTATGTTTCTTTGGGGGCACTGTGCAAGTGTGTTGTTTTTTTATTTTTATCAGTGGTTCAGTATTACTGTTCACAGTGGTGCAGCATGGTTAAATCTGTAACAGGCTTAGATTTGTGTCTTCTTTATGTGTACCCCTTCCCACACGGTTTTCAGCTTTGGGTCACCATATTGTGAATTTAAATACACTGATAATACACATTTGTTTTTCTTAGCTGCCTGCTGCAGGTTGCACTGAGCTTTGCAAACCACTGGTAAAGTCACACATTGGTTTGATGTGGAGATCTTGCAAATGCTGCTGTGTAAGAGTAGCCATACAGAGTCACACAACAGGTCTGATCTTGTAAGAGGGAGTTAGGAAAGGAGCAAGATGACAAAGGCAGAGCAACTGTGTTTTTTTTTTTGTTGTTTTTTTCCCCACTGGTTTAACTTTCAAGCTTCTGGCAGGCAGTAATTTAGTGCTGTGCTGAGCCAGGATTTGTATCTGGATTGTCGTGGTTGAAGCTCACCGATGTACCTAGCCGCCATCAATCTGTCTAAAATATTCTAGAGCTTTTCTAGGCTTTTGCTCTTTGTGCCATTCTCTGTCAAGTTCAACCATGGATGGTGAGTTCTGTTAATATTTTTCATGAAACTTTAAATTCTGCCTTTCTGGGAGCCTTACAGTTGACATGTTTGGCCAGCACCATAGGCCCACAGAGTTACGTAGGGCACACACAGTCGACATGGCCAAGGGGCTCTGCGGGCATAGGGTTGGCCTCTGACCATCAGAAGGCCCTGGGGGGTCAGCAGCACCATCAGATCGTCCTGCAGTACTCTGCAACAGCAGTGGCTCTGCTGCAGCCCTCCCTGTGGGTACAGGGCTGCCCGGCCACTGGAGCCAGCACCCATCAGGTCAGCAGTTCTCCTGGGTGCAGCCAGCACCAGTGTAAATCCTTCTGATGTGCCAGGAAGAAAGGGTAACTCCTGTTACATTGAACAGGACTCCAGTGGAGCACTCTTTGGTTCATTTCTCAAGTGTTTCTTTCATGAACGCTGTCAATTAAACAAACAAAAAAAAAAAAAAAAAAAAAAAAAAAAACAGAACCAATCACTCCGATAACGCAGCATTAAAAGGCAAGTGCTTTTCCTCAGGTCAGCAGCTAAACCGCTGTGTAAAGATCCCCCTGCCTGGAGGTATTACCACTGATTGAGTTCCTTTTAAGCAGCCCAAAGCTTTTGCTGTGAACAACTTCCTAGGCTGCGTGTTTCTTTAGCTCTCTAATTTATTGGATGATAAATATGTTTTAAATTAGTGGAGACACCTTTTATGTGCAGAAAACCAAAACAAGGTGGTGCAGAAAAGCTATTGCATGAAGTTTTTTCTGTGAGATGTTTTTGGTGTGTTGGTTAAAAATTGTTTAATGAATATAATAGATATTTTCAGAAACACATGCATTTTGATGAGGCCAGCTTGCAAAAGGAACATTTGACTTCTGCATTTTTAGTATGCAATTTTGTCTGTTTTGTATCTTAAAAAACAGATTAGCTATCATAAATGTGGTTATTTCCTTTAAAACGGTTACAAAGGTATTTACTCTTTGCTGCTAGTGTTATATTTTCTTTTTCTGTGGTTTCTCACAATTACCAAATCTAAGGTAAAGAGAACCTCTTCTAGCTCTCAGAAATAGAAGACTGGCTTAGAGCATTAAAGATAGAGTTCAGAAAGGAAACAACTTTCAGATTTACTTTCTCTCTGACTTTCGCATTTGGACAGCATAAATACAGAGCTAACAGCAGAACCTGTGAGAGTTACACTGATTCCTCCAAATCTTGTCTTAGAAATGAGTCCCACAGCTCCCTGCAAAGTAATTGGTCTAATTAGGTGGTAGGAAGGAGCTTCTTTAAATTCCTCAGAAATTAAGACGTGTCATCCGCTTAACATCTTAGCATCTGTTACTGCCTCTTGCAACATTTCTCCACTACAACAGTCTGAAGGACACTTTCCTGGACCTTTGAGAGAAAAAATAAATAAATAAAACCCTTGAAACAGAGAAGAAATTAGCCCTTTCTTCAGTGGGATGAAGCATGTAAGGCATTTCACCCCCTCCTTATTCCTCAATTTGGTGCACGTGTGCCTGGGTGAGTACAATAATCGCTTTAAATAAAAATATAGGAGGATACGGGCATAACCTTAAATCCTGTAGTGATCCTTACTGATGTGGTCATGTTGTCCTGAAATATTTTCCATGGCAGCTGCTGACCCCTGTGAATTGATACCCTCTGTGCTTATATATTTGTACTTTTATTTCAAACGGGCTGTTTTGAATCTCTTACAGTCAGTCAGTAGACAGACAACTAACATGCTTTTTGTTTTGTTTTGTTTTAAACTTTGCTGTTGTCTGGCAGCAAGTAAGTAACAATTTAATTATGGCTAATTGCTCCTGCAGTAGGCATAATATTAAGGCAGAATGTGTTTAGAATACTGTGTGAAGTACCAAGGCACTGGGAAAGTTTCATGTGTGTTGCATAGGGGAGAGGCATACAGTCATTGCAAGCTGAAAAGGTTAATTTTGCAATGAAATGTCTGGATCTGATTGAGATTTCTTAGAGATCCTGCTACTTGATGTGTTTCTGGTAGTGTTTTTTTATATGCTCTCCTTCTCTTTTTGCTGCTGTGTGGATTTTGGCACAGTAGCATGCAGAAGTCACTTTATGTGAAATATCTGTACAGATCCAATTCAGAAAGTCCACTGCAGCAACTGGATATCGTGTGTGCTCATAGTATTCCCAAAACAGTTCTTGTTTACTGAGAGTCAGTTAACAAAGCTAGATAACTGCCACCAATGAAATGCTTCTCTTTGGCTTCTGTTTTGTTTTGATTGCAGTTCAGGCAAATTATGCCCCCTATTTCTTTGACAATGGAGCCAGAAGCACAAATGGGAACATGGCACTTCTCAGCCTTTCGGAGGACACACCTGTTGGTCAGTATTAAATGAATATGTTTATATTGTGAAACTGGAGCTGTTTGCTCTTTTGATTAGCAAAATACGTTTTGTTGCAGGCACTGTTGTATACTGTGGGTTTGCATATTTTTTTCTCAAGCGTTTAATTGGTCTTAATTTAAAATGATATGTTTGAATTGTAGCTGTAATTTAAAGCATGAAATTTAGCTTCCCTTTTCTTGGTCCATGAATCTATTCACAGCATCAGAGCACTGACCTTTGGGATCTTCTCATCAATTCTGTGAATGTTTATAAGAAAGCATAGTTGCTAATAATTTTATCAGCCTTGATAAAAGCAAACTACACTTTGAAAAGTATCAGAAGCATTATTTTCTTTAAAGTTATCACATTTTTCAGGATTACAGTACAAATGGTAGAAAATGTTTCTACGTGGAGTGAAAATTGCTTTGTCTAAATCTGTTTTTTTAAAAATCACTTACATAGTTTTGTTTTACTGAAAATTAGAAAACTGGTACGTTTTTCAACTTTGAATATTTTAAAGCAGGTGTATTTATGCTTTTGTAACAAAAAAAAAAAAAAAAAGAAAAAGATGATTTATAATCAACATTTTCCTTGGGGAAAGAACAATTTCCTAACATCTAAAAAAATTTAATATAAAATATATCACAGTGATGAAGACCACCTTTTTTCCAAATGTAGTGCTGAGGTTTTGTGTAGTATTTTCCCTGGGTTGTCTGTAGCTGTTGCAGGTAGAGAAAAGTATTTAGCTATTGCAAATTGAGCACCAAAGCACCCATTTATTATCAGCCTTGTGCAAAGAGGAGAGAAATGCAAGGAGGGGTGTACCCTCCCCTCCCAGGTCTCAGGCAGGGTGGTGGGGGTGAGGGCAGGATCCAGAGGGCACAGTCTCCCCTGGAAGTCCAACACCAGTGCCTTCGTCATCCTAAACATGACCATGGCACTCATCACTTTGAGAAGTGGCTGCTTGAGGTTTGCTCTAGACCTCTGTTTTGGACCAAGTGGTGTAAATGCCAGCCACTATCCATGCTGGGCATGTTGTGGGGTGAGGAGGGGATGGTTGTGAGGCAGTGATTTCTTTCGCTGTTCAGCCAGAGAGGAGGAGGGGGAGAAAGCAGCACACAGCGTAGAAATGACGCATCTAGGGGCTTAACTTAAGGCGAGCTTGCTTATGATGCAGCAGGGCTTCGCTATAAGCTCAGTCAAGCTCAAGTGGAAACCTCAGCTGAAGGCCGACAGTGTTGTAGTGGCACCTGCAAAAGCCAGAGGCAGACCGAGAGGCTGTGATTAGCGCCCTACCTTTGCCCGTATTCATCCGGAAGCCACACTTGCTCTATCTTAGCAATGAGGACAGCTCTGCTGGGTGCTGGAGCAAGGATGGCCCGTGGAATTGCCTGTCTGTTAGTGTAGATAAGGCTGGTAAGGCTGGATACGTGCTGAAACAAAATGGGACCCCTGATCCGGTTTGTTTGGGGTGACGTTTGCCATTGCTGCCCCTCAAACCACGGGCAGTAGTTTGAGTCACTTGCCTTTTGCCTGCCATCCCCTGGTGTGGTGCCAGCTCGCAGGCACCTACAGAGCATCAGCCTCGCCCTGCCGCTGCTGGGGCCTCCAGCCAGCTGTGTGGAGGTGGGGAGCTGAAGATGGCACAGAGCTGCGGCACAGCCAGAGATGTCCCTCCTAGCAGGTCTGCAGTGCCACAGTCCTGCTCAGGTGACAGCACTCCCCGCAGCAGTGGATTGTGTCGGTCATTTTCTAGTGCTGGGACACCGTGCAGCTGGTCCGGGGCTGCAGGTGGGCAAAAGAGGAGCGTGTGCGTGCCTAGATGGCAGAACAGCAGCGTGTTAGTATACGTGCAGCTAGCCTGAGCAGGGTAGGCAAATACACACTGGGCTGCTACCTGTGCTGTGGTAACACAGCAACCAGGCGAGGTGCACAGAGCTCCCCGGGGTGTTTCTGCTTTGGTTGCAGCTGTGGTAAAGCTCAAGCTGCTCCATGTGTCATGCTGCTGGTTCTCATGCTCGCTGGCTTTGGCCAGAGTGTATTTACATCGGCTAGCCTGTACTTCTGGTCTGCTTTATAAATGTACTTTAAAAGACAAGAGAAGCAACTTGTGGATTAAATCTCCAAAGGTGCTACCAGAAGTGTTTTGCTGAGGTGAAGGATCAGGAGTTGCTGAGTTCACACTTTTGCAAAGGACCTAGAGAAGCCTTTGCCAAAGGAAGAAAAGAGCTTGCTTTTGAGGAGTCCCTGTGTGCTGGCTTTGCCGTGCAGCTGCAAGTATCTTTTTTGGCCTGTAGTTCTCAGGGCACCTTGCCTAAAAGCTCTGAGTACTGCAGGATCCTCTCTGCTGAAAGTACTTGGGGAAATGCCCTTGGGACACAGCTACTTGGGGCTTGCTCAACACAAACTGCTGCTACCGGCAGCCCACGTCAGCACAGGCAGTCCTCAGGGATGGTTTGGCAGGGGGCTCCCAGAGCACGGCATGAAGAGTGCTGGCACTTCAGTGCTCTGGTGCCTGCTGGGATTTAGCTTTGCTCCTTGAGAGGGATCTCACGCTGTTGCTCTTCGTCCCTCTGCCTTGTTCTTTCTCTGGAAGGAGGAGAAGGATTCTGGTCTCCCATGTCTGTGCACAGTCCCAAGCATCCGTGCTCCAGCAGTCATCTTTCAGTCCCGAGCAGGACGATCGGTGACAAAGCAGGGGCATTAAAACCTTTGTAGGTTTGGTTCTGAATGGCTTCACTCAGCATTGGTTTGGGTGCTGCAAAACAGGGTGGGATGGTGTTTGGTCTTCTCTGTGCTTACCTAGAAGCTGGAGCATAGGCAGGAAAAGCTTTCTTGGCTGTGCCTCAGCAGCAGCCAGCGTCTGATGTGAGCAATGCCATCAACAGCGGCTTTAATAAGCCTCCAGGAATTTTATAGGCTGGCGCTGCTGAGACGACAAGCAGTTGGCGGTGCTGTGTGTTAGTTAAGATCCCCAGCATCTGTAGGCAGGGGGCATGCAGTGTTTCAGAGCACCAAAAGGAGATGATGGTTTCTCTGTGTGACTGTAGAAAGAGAAATTGAAATGATACTGCTGCAAGAACACAGCAAATTCAAGAAAAACACATTTTCATGCTCAAACCATCTTTTACTTGACCTTCATTTCCCCTGTGGTGTTTTGCCTACTTGCACGTAGTTGTGGTCTATCAGGTTATATACGTTATGGCATAAGTTATCATAAAGAAAGCAATTGCTGTTTCTGTGTGAAAGTCTGGAATTGCCTGTGCATTTCCAGATCCCATTTAAAGCTGCAGAGCATGAGACAAAGTAAGGAGGGCCGGAACAGCAGCCCCTTCCTGCGGCACATGGAAGAATGGGAGAAGTTAGGATCTGAGGTAGCAGTTGTGGTCTGTGGGACTGTCCCACAGGGCAGGTGGGGTTGTTCAGTGATGAGCTCTTTGCAAAGAGCTCTCTTTGTACATATAAAATGCCGCTAATCGTGGTCTTACAGCATGTGTGAGATGTTATTTCAGGTTGTTTTCCTCATCTTACCTCGTTAATCCTGTAAGCCCTCACAGTGGGACATTGACTTGCAAAGCAAGGGATTGAAGCATACTCGTAAGGCCTAAGTTCATTACTTTCTCAAAGCCCAAGCATCATGCCTGGAGATTTCTGCATGCCTTTCATGCTTGAATTTCTTTCTGTCTTCCCCCATGCCCCACGTATGCACTCCCTCCCCATTAAAAGCCGATGTGCAGTGGCACTTTGTGATCAAAGCCCCCGGCTGCCTGCCACCTGACTGACCACCTCATGTTTCTCTGTCCTTCAAGCCTCCCAAGTTGTTCCTGCAGGCTCCTGATCTGGTTTCTTCCATCACTCATGGCTGGCGGTGGAGGCCTGTCTTGTCCTCTCTGGAATCCATCATTCCTCCTTCCAGCTGATGGTTCCCAACCTGGCAAGAGTTCCTGCTATTGCTCCCAAGACTTCTTTCAATGCTCAGAAATCGCCCCCTGGCACTGTGCTGTCTGTGGTTTTGTACTTCGTCCATCACAAACAGTAGCTGAACCCTGCCCACAATTTATTTCCTGCCTCTGTCACAAAAAAATCTCTGAGTGATAGAATTATCATGCTTCTCTTTTCAGTAACAGTTCTTTGCTGACTACGCAGACATGGACAAATTAGCCCAAGTTGTGTCTTGACATCTAGAGACCCATCATGGCCTCACATTCAGATTACTCGAAAAAGGGTAAATTGCCTGAAGGTGCAAAAATGTTCAACTTTTTGCAAAAACTAAAACCCACAAATTTTCATTAAGAAAATTAGGAGCTCCCAGAACAAATTTGTTAAATGCAGCCAGTCTCCTACCTCACTGTAGCAGAGGTAACTCTACACAAAGCAGCGTGCTTGCTGCTGTACTCCAGTCTCCTCACCACAGGGTCTCAGCTGTGGGGCTTTGGGCTGCTCCTCCCTGGTCTTGTCTTTGTTTTGCCAGCCACCGCAGTGTGCTGGGGGCAGGAGGGAGCAGGAGTGGCTGGTAGCAAGTGGGTATGGAGCAGGTTTTTGGGTAGTCTTTGTATTGGTCCATGTCATCGGGGAGCTCTGCTTTCTTTGGGGTGACCTCGCAGTCTGAAACAGGCATCTGTGGGCTCTGTGTTAGCTGGTCGTTGCCTCCTCTAGCGGGGAGATAGACGGGCTTTTGGCTGAGATGGGTGGAGAACAGGCGAATAACCCCAGGTAAGATGGTATTCGCCGTGACACTGGGAGCTCACGTGTCCTGTCTTGGGAGCGTGGCCATGTACATCCCTCCCAGCATCTGTTTAACAGATGTCAGCTGTGGTGGCAAAGGAAGACAGGGAGTGAGCACGAGTCCAAAATGTGCCTGGCCCATTTAACTTGGCAGGGAGGGGATTTGTTTGCAGAGCATCACATAGTGGAGAGGGAGTGTGTGTCTTCAGCAAGAGGGCAGAAGCAGCCCCAGAGCACACGGACAGAGGCTGGCCATGAATAAATTTGCTAGAAATGAAGGAAAGTGGAGAAATAACGTCAGGGGACAGACATTCATCTTGAGCAGCAGAAGCAGAGAGCAAATCACTTGTAAGATGGACTAGAAAAATAGGGTGAAAGTCTGGCGTGGCGCCTGGCAAGCAGCTGTAGCAGGGAGCAGCGTGCAGCTCCCCGGGACATCCCCGACCCAGCCTGCTGTGCCATTCCCAGGTGCTCAGGGCGTGCAGCACATCCGTGGGGCCCTTACTGCACTCGCCGTGTCCCTGGCTGAAGATTCTTCCATTCCCTTATCGTTCTGACAGGGAACGGCTGTTTACTTGGTGCTCCCTGATAAGATTTTGGCTTGGTGTTTCATTTATTTTCTTTTCAGCAAGTGGAGGCAGCACGCTGAGAGGAGATTTTTAATTGGCTTTAACACTGTGCTGAGAAGCATTCCCGGGGTGTTAATGATATAGAGAGCATTGTGCAGTGAAATTGCAGTTCAGACAAAATTAGGAACTGTAATGAGGTAGAAGAGAAATTTTGATCCACAATCCAATTTGAAAGGCACACAAGTACCCTGTGTTATGAAAAATGAAATATCAGTTTTAGCTAGGAAGCAAACTTGCTCAGAAACCTCAGTAATCTCAGTCTGGATCAATATCGATGTTTCTCCTCACTTCTAGCAACAGGAAAATTCCTGTTTTTCTCAGAGGAAAATTCCTAGATGGTGCTGGAGAGAAAATTATAAGATTAGAAGACCGAGTCCAGGTTCAGGTGTGTTCACCTGAACTTTCACAGTCCTGCTCTTCTCTAACACGTGCCTGGCCATCTCTGAGGAGCGCTTGGCAGCGGTGGTGGCACGGGGCAGCCCCAATCCCAGCACTGCACCGTGTGTCTGGTTGTCACCCACAAGCTGTGAACGACCCCAGCCATGGGTCGTGGTGTCCATCCTGCTTCTCCGCTGGACAGGCAGTGCTGCTCAGCAGCTGCAGGCACCTCCATGTGCTGGAAGCAGGCAGGACAAGTGAAAAAGCAGAGCACAGAAGCAATTAAGAAGTAAAAACTTCTAGTGGCAGAAAAAGGATGAAAAAGGGTTGGTCTGAAAACAGTTGATGCCTGAATTCTTCATTTGGCCCTAGCTGTGGTACTGAGAGAGCTTTTGAAAAACAAGAACAAATGCGATCAATGCTGGGGCTATATCAAGACGTGGGTGTCCTCTTAGGACACTGTTTGAAAACAATCCCAGTTTGTTCCTCTCCTTACCTTTCTTTTTATGTATATAGTTCAGGTGTTACGGTAAGAGAAGCCTCATCATACTGCTCATTGTCTTTCCCTAAAAACAACACCGATGTCCTGTAATTTCCTTCTCTGTTCTGTGGGATAAGTCCACCAAGATCATGGTAATCATTTTTGCAGTTTTGTAAACCTGCTTTGCAAATCCTGAATATTTGTTGGCTGGCTGAGCCAGCTCATAATAGAGTCTGTTGTATGTGTTCTGCATGCTCGTTCTTTTTTGAACTTCTTTCTCTGTACAAAGTTGCCCAGGTAATTGCCTTAATAATCACCATAAGAGGGGTCACTTGCAAGTGAGCACAGATCCAGCGTGGCTTGGCACAATCTCTTGCTGTGCAGACAACAACAGCTGTCTTTTCTAAGTATCAGTGCTGATGTCTGGATCTTGTGTGTCCATTAAGCTTGCCAGTTTGCTGCTTCACGTTTTTCATGTCAAGCAATAAGCAAATGAGGTTGCATTACAAAACTAAAGAAACCTTCAAGAAGCTTGCCTGTCTGCGCATTGGCAGGACTGCAGCCAAAGCTCTAGAGTTAAACATATACGGGGCTGGTCAGTGAAAAACTCCACTGCCACTGCAGTGAGGATATGTGAAAAAGGTTATGACTTCTGCCCATAGAGTTAAAAATCCATCAAACTTAGGGTCAGAGTAGTTAAAACTGGAATCTTCTGGGCTCCCCTTGACAGTGTTCTGCCCTAACTTTGTTAGCTTAGTTAGCCGTGGTCATTCCCTCATACTTCTGTGTCCTGTGCAAAAGCAAAAGACAGCACCAACCAGTCATTCACAGTATTTCCAATTTAAAGAACTTTGTTAGAAGCTTGTTAGAACTTTGTTAGCTTGTGTTCTGAACCTCTACAACTTGGATAACTCAGATAAGTTATCCACATTGCGTCAGACTGCTAGGAGGAAAAAGCAAACGACTGTTTTATATATCAGGCTCAGTTAACTGATAATTGTGAAGTGCTTGAAGTTACTTGGGTGAGGATACTAATGCACATTAGAATGACAAACATCTGAGTTTAAAAAAAAAATAATGCTAATAAACCCTCAGCATGTTTTGAAAATGTGGGCGTTATAACTCCCCCAGAAAATATCACTTCTGATAAACAAAGTCGCTTTACTGCGAAAACTGGCACCAGCTTCTCAAATACTTAAAAATAGAAATAACATTCTCTCTTTCCCCAGCTTGTGAAGGAAATACATTGATGAATTTAGAGAATTTATTCATTGTTATGTGCATGAGTGGATGTGTTAAGTAGAGAATCTAATGAGAGGGAGCTAATGAGGGGGAGCTAAGCAGGAAGGAAGACTTTTGCATCTAGTTCTGAAAGTGGAAAAGTCAGCAAATGTCCTTGTGTCTCCAGAGCCTGGGCCCTGTTCTGCGTGAGTGCTGCCTTCAGCTCCTGGCTTCCATACCTGCTAGTTTGCAACTTCATTGTTTCCATAGAAAAAGGCGTGTGAAGGCGCTACAACAGCATCACTTCAGGCTATCCTGTGGTGATAGTTAGTCAAGAACTTATCTGTGTCATCACTGTGATGCAGTTGTGCAGGAAAGGGTCCTAACTGAGAAAAACCATCACTGATGAATTCAGTTTAACCATGAGGCTAAAAAGTGGCCGTCAGGACTATTAAACAGTCTATGCACTTGTATTTCCCAGTAAGTGGCTTTGATGCACAGAAGCTTTGCAGGAGGGCTGAGTTCCTAGGGAGCAAATCAACAAAACATTCACTGACTGAACATTTCCCTGTGGTTACATCACTGATCAATTTTTCAGGTACCCATGTGTATACCCTGAATGGAACTGATCCTGAAGGAGATCCTGTGACATATGGCCTGACCTATGAAGCCGGATCAAGACGCTACTTCTCTGTTGACAGAAATCTTGGAAATGTTACGCTAATTGAGGAACTTGACAGAGAGGTAGAGTACAGCAAGACGGCACCACTTTGTGTATGCGTGGATTTTCCTTATGTTTCCATTGATCAATGGCTGTGAGGGGCAACATCAATTTGCGTCATATGAAACATGTAATTTACTTTGTAATTCTGAGACACGATAATTCACCCATCAGGTTGTTTTCCAGTTGATTTGCACCACTAACACTGCTATCTAACTTGTTGGCAGCTGTGGGCTTTTTTCAGCTTTTGCCAAAAGAGAAGTTTATATTTTATAGTTTATATTTATCTTCCCTCACCCGCACCCCATCGCGTACAGTTCTATAATCCTCAGACAGAATCTGTATTTCTTTAGGACTCTCCTGTCATTAGGAGAAAGTACAGATTTATGAAAGCAGTGTTCCGGGGCGGTTTTCTAGTTACATATAGCCCTTTGGTCCATAACCATGTGGGTTAAAGTTGTTCCTAGCAGCAGTAGCCTAAAGGCAACCTTATTCCAGGAACACAGGCATAACCATCATGTATGCTTTGCAGTGAAGAGTATGCAATACTTAGCAAACCCTTCAAAATACTGCATACTAAGAAGAATTTTAACAAATAATGTTGTTTTAGGTAGTGTTTCTTCAAAAATGACTGATTTTTCACAAGCACTTTATAGAACAATATGAATTCCCAGAGCACCTGTCTCTTGACAGTAGCTCCAGAAAGTCCAAGAAGCCCTTTAGGTGAAGCCCCTGAGGGGTCTCTTTAGTCCCTCTTGTGATGGTTTTGTGGTATCAGTTGTTATTTTCATGTACCTGCTGAGATATGTTTAAATCTGCAGTTCATTTTCCAATAAGGGCAAAACCTTCTCTCTAACAAATGAATTTTATTGGTTTACAGAAAGAAGATGAGATTGAAGTTATTGTCAGTATTTCAGATGGCCTGAGTACAGTAAGTATTTAATTATACTCTAACTTGTCAAACTGTCCGCCCTGCAGTTGTACCTCCTCCCATTAAATTACCTTACAGGGACTATCTCATTTTATCAGAAAACATAATCTCATTAGAGTTTTACCTCCTGTTTCAAGAGCCACTGAACTGCCAGTAACTTGGGTCTCACTCCAGCTCCTTACTCAGCTGTTTGAGGATAATTACAGCGTAGTGTGAGCTGAAAGCTTGACTTAGTGGCCTGCAGAATAACAGCAGCTTCCTACGAAGTTTCACTGTCAGCTCAGTGGGATTCATAACTAAGAAGGAGCTGAAGGCTTTTTGGAGAAATATGTGACATTACAGCAACCTAGTGTTAGACGCATGAGAGCTGCCTGTCCCTCCACCCCCACAATGTTTCTCTAGTGTGGCATTAAGAAGATTTGCCTAGGCTAGCTAAGGTGGTGAGGGTTTTCGTCTGCTGCTGAATAAAGCTTTGATCATGTCTAATCATTAAGGGCTTAACTGAGGCATTGCACAAGCATCCAGTCCTAGTTCTACAAATTTCCTTGGCATTTCCAGTTTACAGACATGCTCTCACAGTCAGGATGTTAGTCTGCTGGTAAGAGGACTTGGGCTTCATCGCTAGAGGAGCAACAAAAGTGGGACCCTCTTACTATCCACAGAACTGGATAACTCTAGAGCTTTTTCTCATCTCAATCAAATGAAGTGAGATTACCGCATGCTTGGGAGACACCCACGTCCTACAGGCACAACTACCCCCACAATCTCCGTAAATAGCTAGTAATGGGATCACATCCACCTGCCTGCTTTGTAGACAACTGGGAAGTTCATCAAATATATTTGTGTCCATATTTTTAGAAAAAGAATATGCATTTTCTTCAAGGTAGATTGTTAAATATTAAAAACATGCATTTGTTACATCCAAATTATGCATGCTATTAACCTAATATGATACAAATGAGGCAGTAATTGAATGCCCTGTGCTGTCAGTACCAACCTTATACTGTCTTTTATGTATTCCCATAAAAGTTATCATGGTATCTTGAATCCCATAAAGAAGACTTAAGAAAATCAGCCCTGATCTATAACTTTATAAAGTACTCTAAGACTCCTTATTTAATTTAGAGATATCTGCATGCTCTCCACACAGATATCCATAAAATTCTTCTGGATTTTGTGGTTTTCTGTTTTCTCTTTTATATACTTAGTTTTGGTAGTGCAAAGGCATCCTATTACGAATTTTTCATTGCCTTTGGCTACACTTTAGTAGACAAATGAACAGATTTTGTTGTAAATCAGCTTGACATATAACATGTTCTTCATATTCTACTCCAGGTTTCGGAAAAAGTTAGGATCCTTGTAACAGATGCTAATGATGAGAGCCCGGAGTTCATCAATACACCTTACATAGTCCAAGTCCCAGAGGTTGGTGAAGTTTCTTTGCATACTATATTTCAATAGATTGGAAAGAGGAGCTAGTTTGTTTTCAGTCAAGTAACAAGATCAGCAGGACTAATTGGCATTGTTTTGTTTTGGGATTTGGGCAGGGATTTAGTATTTACTGCAAACTTAGGGAACAAGTTAGCAGATTTCCTGACACCCTTATTCCAGGAAGTTTTTCTTGTTTCTTGGTCTTCTCCAGTTTCTTCCATTTTAATCTCTTCCCTCTTTTCTTTCTGCTCTTTGGTTCCTTCATTCATTTATATTCTTTCTACTAGCTCCCTTTTTCTGCCTCTTTGCATGCTCACTTTTCTTTTTCTTTTTTTTTTTTTTTTTTGTAACTCCCCTGATTTTTCACTTCTGTCTGAGTCTGGTGCCTCTTTCTGCTCACAGAACACTCCCTCTGGCAGCAGTATCTTTAAGATCGAGGCAGTGGACAGAGACACTGGTTCTGGGGGAAGTATCACCTACTTCTTGCAGGTAAGGTATTGCCTGTACCTTCAGAAACCATCTCTCTCCTAAGATGCAGAGGATTGAACTGCTAGTAGTGTCTATAGGACCAATTTTGTACTGTGTACCAGAAAACAAGCTTTAACAAATTCGATATTGTCTGGTGAGCAGCCAAGTGCAGTCCAACTGGCAGGGGTTGGTGCTGGGGTTGCCACTGTCACTCTTGTGCTTGCCAGTGGGAATCCTTGCAGCAAGGCTCCTGTTGGCCCCTTTGGAGTGACAGGGATAGCAAGTCTAATTTGTAGTCTTGTGTGCACATGGGATTTCAAAAGTATGGAATAGCTTTCTTTGGAAAGCAAAATGCATTGGAAACCCAAATCTGCACTTGGATGTAGCAGACTGGTGCATCACTGTAAAATATTGGGTACTAAGTCTTCTCCCTGAAAAAGCCCAGTGCCTGCTTGAAAGCAGCCTTTCAGGTATCGCCCAGTGGTGAGGAACAAAAAGGGCTCTGTATGTAAAGCTGAACTTCTGTGTTACAGACCCCTTGCATGCCAAAATACAACATCTCGCATGATGTTCTTCAACTTCCTTCTTCCTTTAAGCAGCTTCTTCCAGACGAGCTGCAGTTCCCCTTATTCAAGAGACAATAAAATAAAAACCAAAACAAAAAACGATTTGTTGCCATGTTTACCTTGGGTACAATACAGAAACGAGTTGGAATATATTTGCATAGCACTAAAGCTGATGTTGTTAAGACCTTGGACCTACTGTGGAAGAACACCTTGTTGAAATCTAGTTTTGATTTCACTGATTATGATCCAATTAAAATGCAATATGTGCAGGATTCAGTTTTACCCAGGGCTTTTTCCAGAAAGCTGATAGACTCTGAAGCCAAGGAACAGCTATTTTAAACTTCTGTGTCTACCTAATATATTTGTATACCAAAAAGCTTGCTAAATATGTGTATTTGTTGAAAAAATGCAGCTATAACTTTTGGCACAATTTATGGGAATTCTCAAGTTGTGCAGAAAAACAAATTCTTTGAAAGTCTGGTGTGGGCAGGTGGTGACGTCTATCAAAAAGACAAAGATTATCCAGCAGTAGCAATTGTGTACGGAAACCCAAACGGAGCTGTGTTACTGGATTGTTCCAGTCAGGCAGAAGGAAGGGTGACATTTTTAGTCTCTTTTGGAAATCTGATGTCTTTTAGGTGTTTCTTTTGGAAAATCACTTAAACATTAATCTAAAAGTCCTTGACAATAATCTATGTATGCAACATGCCTGCTTCTCTGAAGCCAGTAGAACTTTGAAATGCAAAGGGATAACACCGTTTTTCTTCTTCCTTTTTTTCCCCACATTGTCTCCCCCAACCCACCCTGGTTAGGCCTCTCTACCTCATTGTGTGCAATGAACTGGTAGCCAATTCAAGATTTCACAATGAAATACTAAAAGATTTTTTAAATCTACATTGAAGCTAACTGATTTATTCTGAATAATGAGAGACTCATGGTTGGTTCATGAATTGTTCATAAACACACAGAGGTGAAATTCATCAAATACATTATTCACCCAAACCATATCATTATTCTGGTCTTTTCCCTTAGAAGATGAAATAGAAGATTAATCCCTATGGCAATCTTATTTCCATACCTGTAATCTTCCGCTGTTTCTCCTTTTCTTCTAGAACATCCATGCTAATAAGTTTACAATAGACCGTCACAGTGGTGTCCTGCGCATCAAAACAGGGGTCACCCTGGACTATGAGAAATCAAGAACACATTTTGTCGTCGTCGTAGCCAAGGTATGAAACTTTTTTCAAAACTAGAGGAGATGAAGGGTTGCATTTGAGAAAGGCAGCTTAGGTCAAATAGAGGGATGGCTTAAACAGTCTCTGAAATAACCATAACACTGAGGCAGCAGAGTCACTCCATCTGCCACATCTGGCAGTATGATGGGTAACGTGGAGAAGTGAGGGAGGAAAGGTGACCAGCTGAGTAACATCTGGAGACATTTGGTGGTGGGTTTCCCACATTTAGATCAGGCTTCAATGCCAGGGCAATAAGTCCAGCTGCAGAAAGTCACCTGTGTACTTTGAGAGTCACCTAGAAGCAAAAGAGTTGGTGTTTCAGCCCCAGCTTTGAGAAGTCAGCCTCTGTGGGCAAGTGCCTGTGCTTGGGCTCCCTCCTGTTGTCCAGCACACAGCCCTGCCACAATAAAGGGGCAAACCCCTGGCAGGCAGGCAGTGTGGATCGCTGTCATTAGCCACAGGAAGACAGAGGAGACAGCTGGACCCAGGGCAGCACACAAGCGACTTCTATAGAAATGTCTGTGGATGCTTTTCTTTCACCTCTCTGCTGCCTTGTGGCAGGATCTTATTCGAATCCTGCAAATATTGCTGCACGTCCCTTCTTTCCGCTATCATTCTCAGCAGTGCTGTGCCTGTGGCACAGCTGAGGATTCATAACAGGCATTAAAAGTTTATGGGATTCTGAAGTAAAGTCTCTCAGGATCCTGTGCAGAGCTGTCACACAGGCAGAGTCACACTGGCGGAAAGAAAATGATTCTGCTGCTACTTACAGTGACTTTGAGTTTCTCATGTTTTATGAAAAATATGGATCATGTTATTTATTTAGGCAAGGTTCATTTGAAGAGAAATAACAAAAATTTGGTCTAAATGCTGCCTTTGGGGCAGTGAGGAGGAAAAAAAACTGTCTCTCCCCCAAAAAGTGGAAGTTGCAAAACAGACACAGCAGACATGCTAAACAATTCATACAAGCATGAGTACTGACATCCAGCCAATACTCTGAGATTGTTAAAAGCTTCTGAAACTGTGAGGATTTTTTCTAATTGGCTCTGCTGTATCGATAGCACAGAGTTGATTGCAGTAAAGTCCCCAGACACTGTTTATACACCGTGGCTCTCTAACAGTTTCTGACTTTGTGCTCCTCCATCCTTTCACTTTAGACTCACACGTAGGAGTCCCTAGGAGACTTTGATCACCTGCATTGTTTAATTTTTCCCTGGAAATGCACTACTTTGCTACCTCACATTGTCTTGAATTTATGGCAAGACTATATGTGGGATGAAAAGCTGTAGATCTTGGTTGCTATTTTTTTGCATCTGTTTCTAGCTGTCCCCTTTCTCTCTCTCTCAAAAAAAGATGAATTCCTTATCCCATCTGTTGTTGACAACAGATTGTATATAACTGCATATATTGGCACAACCACCTTAATAAAAGAAACTACTTCTGAGACGTTGCAAGATGTCTACTTAATCAGAGAGGAAGCAGGACAAATGGAAAAGAGAAGGGAATAGGAAAGCAGAGATGAGTCTGTGCGTTAAGAGAGAGAAGGGATTCCTGGGACTGTGCTTTTGAAGGCTCATGAGGAGTGTACAGTGCCATAAACAGATTTGCAGGCATATTCCAGCAGATGTTTGATGATGACATCTCTTCTAGGATGGTGGTGGGAAGCTCAGGGGAGACAACAAAGTGTTTTCAGCCACAACAACGGTTACTGTCAATGTGGAGGATGTTCAGGACACACCTCCCATGTTCATCGGGACTCCCTACTATGGATATGTCTATGAGGATACACTCGCAGTAAGTGCTGGTTTTTACCTGTAGGAGAAGTGAAGTCTTTCACATCTCAGTCAAGGCAGACCCATGCTCTAGGCTGTTTGTACTGTCCCCTTAATGACAGGCAATCCTGACATCCCCATAATGCAGAATACTTTCTGCTCAGTGGTGGCAAGATAGGCAGAAGGGGCCAGGAAGTCCTCCCAGGCCTAAAATCCACCAGATAATGAAGCAAGCAGGGACATACTTAGCAGAACCACTTAGGAGATCTCCTAAGACTGCGTTTGTTGGCACATATCTGCTGCTGAAGATACTACTTCATATATGCCACAGACAAACCAAGGAGTACAGTGAGCTCCTGCCTGTGTCATCACCTCACCTAATGGCAGGCTTGCTTAAAGGAGAGTATAGAGCTTAGAGTTAATTCATTGTATCCACCATGGTGCCTTCAGCTGTATATTATTCTTGGTGTTGATGATGCTTCCAGCTATATATTATTCCAGAAGCTGCAAACTAATGAATTGTCCCTATATCTAAGCAATGGCATGACACTGTATATGGATCAGTTTTTACCCTGATACATAAGTTTTGATTAATTTTTTTTTTGTACGTAGGATGAGAAGTGGTATCTGCTTGTGACAATACCCAACCTTAAACTATTGTTGGTGTCTTAGCACCCTGTTCACCTGATCTTCCCTTGAGTTTCAGGAAAGATTGTGTCTTTACTTTCTGTCCAGAACTCCGATGTACACTTCAGCCCTTGCATGACTGTTTATTGCAGTTCAGTTCGTAGGCTGTTACATTTCAGCAGCATAGAGGAGTATTGCTTGTGTATTTTCAAGAAATTCAGAATGAATGATATTATGTATATTGATTTATTCTATGTAGTTGCATATAGATCTTGAAATAACTATCAGGTACATACACGGGAGTTAGTGTTTACCATGGAAACAGGAGTCAATAAATGTTAATTACATCCAGCCTGAGCTCATAATTTACACCATTATGATGTTATAATGACGGAAGCACAAACAGGTCCTTCCCAGTGTGAATTTTGCTATTAGAATGAAATCCACAGAGAGATAAGCTAGCAGATTCCAGTGTTGTTTACACATTTGATGTTAATTTTGTAAACCTGCTGCTTTGCTCCTTGGTGGAGTTGTCAGGATTTACAAGTACTATGTCACTTTCAAAGGGACTGCACTGCATTTTGCCCTATAGGCAGATTTTATTGCAGCTTCCAGCATGAATGATAATAAGTACAGTTTTGTATTTCCAATTGCTCTAACAGAACCTCGCTCTCATCTGAAAAATTCACTCAAGGGTTGTCATCAAAATGTTCCCTGTTGCCATTTGCGATTAACTAACAGTTTCTTCAGTGTTCCTGTTTTTGCAGTCTAAAACAGTAGCACTTGAATTCAGAGGCCTAAATTGTGCAATTCATTGTCAGTTGGGTGAGCACTGCAGCGCTGGCAGTCATCATTCTTTGCAGTTGATAGGAGCAGTCACATGAGCAAATGGTGTCCAGCGTACAAGCTCTGTACGTATGGCCCACGGCCATGTTACTCGCGCAGACAGACAGCGAGGCTTTTAAGGACAGTTAAATCACCATAATTTTCATCACAATTTTATGCCCTAAATGTTCCATGAGGCAAGTTGCTTTGTGATGCCTTGGTTTGCTTTTGCTGCCTGTCTGAACTTGATCGGGTAGTACAAAAATGATCTGATGACTCCTCAGTGGCTGCCTGGGTCTCTGCATGCCATGGGGTGCACAGCAACACCAGGAGCATGTCCAGCAGCTGCCAGAGGGCGTCTTGGTAGTGAACCAAAATAAATCTCAGGTCTAAGGTGGGTTACTCCAAATCCTTTGCCCAAGCTTTTGGCTGTGCGGGGTCTGCAGCTGCTGCACACCCATGCCACCAGCACTGCCCCAGCGGTGGGCAGGGGCAGCCCATGGGGAGTGGCACAGTGTGCCTGCCGGTCCTCTGGTGCTCACCTAAAGGGGAACTGGAAAAAGGACAAGAGACTGGATGCAGGGAAACAGGCACGGTATCTTGGCAAGCACATGGCATGCCCTGAGACTGCAGCAAGCCCTGGCCTCCCCGGGGCAGCTGGGACCCGTGTGCTGAAGCTGGATACTCCGCTGTTGGTGCACGCAGTGGCATGGTGCTGGCAGCAAGCTGGAGAAGGCAGGTGGCACAGGGGCTCCACAGGGAACAAGTGGTGGCAGGGTCATCCCCACTTTGTGTGAGGTACCATGTATGGGCTGTAACATCACTGGGAACAAATAAAATCATCAGTGTAGGAATGACACAGAGTTGGTCCAAGGAGTGGCATCCTTCCTGCTCGGCTAAGCGAAGCACTGACTTTTCTAGTTGGGAGCCAGTGGTCCTTGGTGTGTTCCCCGTGCAGCATGAGCAAAAGTACCCACTCTTCCTTCCACACCTCACTGCATAAAAACTTGCTGAAGTTCGGTTTATTAATACACAGTTGCAATTTCATTGCTTTTTGATCTCAGCACACCAAGTAATTTCCCATTTCTCCCCAGGGCTCTGAGGTCCTCACTGTTGTTGCTCTTGATGGAGACAGAGGAAAGCCTAACAGTATTCGTTACTGCCTCGTGAATGGTGAGTAGACTTGGCTTGTAAGAAATCTGAAGAGGAGTCAAAACTAGATGTGACATTAAATTAGAGGGGGATTGCTAGAGCTTAATAAAGCTGAGACAGACTCATGAAATAGTGTCAGGTATCTCAAACAACTCCAGGGCCCTGTCTACCAGAAAACAAGCTACGATTCACTGAGTTTTAGTACCGGCTTCACGGAACTACGCATGGAGTTGTTAGCATGGCTGATTTCTTAGGCACCAGTAGCCTCCTTGCTGCTTCAAAAAAATGTAAAGGGAGATGCATTCACTGCCACTGAGTATCTCCATCATTTAATCTGGGAGACAAGAAAATGCATTGGGAGACCCAGACATGGTATTTAGAGGTATATTTTTATTAATATTGTCATTTAAGTGGCTAAACATTCAAATGTCTGGTTTCTTGGAAGAAATTGTATTTACTAGTGAAGAGAGACTGGCTGTCCAGGGCACTAGAAGTAGGTATTATCAAAAGATTAATGCTTTTCATCAGCAATTCGGAGAGTGTCCATAGCATGTCTTTTAATAGCATAAAAAACAGACTTAGCTGAATTGATGACTGGTGAAGTCAACAACTTAGATCAACTAAACTGCAAGCTACAATTTTAGTTTTGTTTGGTTCTCTCTTCCTCCAAAGCAGGACTTGCATGACAGCTGGGCACCCTGACTCACAGAAGTGAGAAACCAAAATTTAATGAAAGAAATTTGAGGTTTAATTGAGAGCTATGCAGAAACTTCTTCATTGTGTTATGTGATTTAAAAAGCAAGGTAGAGCGGATGGAGAGGGGTGCGGTTCAGGTTTTTTCTTGATGTAGGAAGGGACCCATGCTAAGGTTCCTTCTCCCCTGATACAAGGAGAAAAGAAAGGCAGAAACACTGAGACAAAAGGTAACAGAAGAGAAAAACAGATGGAAAGCAAGAAAGTAAAAAAGGTGGACAATGAGGAGTAAAAACAAAGAAATGGGACAAAAAGAAGCTAGACAAGGGAGGAAACTGAGGAAGGGAGAGTAAGTGGAGGCAGGTGAACCAGGCAGTGTATGAAAGGGAAATAAGACTATTGAGAAGAAATACTATATTTCCAAAGAAAGTAGAGGACCACCTGCTATGGGAGAAAATAGAATAAAAAGGGTAAGCGATTAGGCAAGAGTGGCAAATGAAGATGGAAGGGGATGACAGACTAGTAGTATGAAATGGAAAAGAGGAAGGGAATATGCTTTTAGTGCATAGAAAGTTATGAAATAGAAAAGAAGAGATTACAGCCTGCCCTTCCACCTCAGACCCTGACCTGAGTCATGACAAGCCATTATTACAATAACTGCAGGCTGACTAACGCCAAATGGGAAATTATTTATTCTTTACAAGCTTTTTTTTTTTTTTTTATCCAAGGAGGGTGAAACCACTTTAGAAAGCACTCTAATCCTCTGAATGTGCTATATGGAGGAACACATAGTGCTACATACTCTTGAGTTACCAATTTCCCTGTGGTACCTAGACAATAACACAAGGTATTGTGGCTTGAAACCACTATTGACTTCAGCTTCTTCTCAGTCAGAATGTTCTTTCCAGGCCAATGTATCTTAATAATTGACCAGAGCATGATTCAATAGCTGTTCATTGTTGTGCCTAGTATACTGTAATGAAGTTGCAGTTATTGCAGGTATTAGCAAAATGGGACACTGTCAGATGGTTTAAAAATTAGCACTGAAATTGAGTTAAAGAAAAAGAAAAATGGCTTGGCTTTCAGATTATTATCCTTTATTTCTGAGCCTCAATCTCCTTTATTTTAAAGGTTTTTCTTTTTCTCCTTTCAATGGTATGCTGTGCCACATTGGCCATTAAGACCAATACCATGACTAAGGTAGCATGCAAGGGTGCCCGTAGCCCTGTGGCAGAGCAGGGCAGGGCCCCCAAAGCTGGTCGGCCGGTCCCCTTCCTGGGCAACTCCCTGTTTTTGGCTGTGACAGTGAAGTGGGCGCAGACATTGTGATGAGTTGCTGCTGCCTCTTTGCAAGTTCACATTTGCTTCAGTACAAATTCACCAGGTCTAAAGGGATCACAGCCTTGTTCACATTCTTTTCAGAAAGATGAAAATTAGGTTGCAGGGGCCAAAGTCAGCCCACAGCCCTGTTCTGTCTGTGGATCAGACTCAGGCTCAGTGAAAAAAGCCTGAGCTCTACCTAAGGTTCTCCAAAATCCCTTTTAGTTCAGGCCAGCCTTGCAGAAGGCTGAGAGGTGTTTTTTATTATTATCAGCTGAGCATCTAAGGGCAGATGTTTCTCAAGAGACACTGTTTGCAGAAAGAGTGACTGTTTCAGATTGTCAAACTTCTCACCTTAGCTGATATTACTGAGAGAAATATTCTTGTTTCTCAGACTTAACTATGTATGAATTTGCTAATTAAAATGAGGACTGTCTATTTTTGTCTAAACCAGCATATGAAGAAGACAGCCTAACAGAAATGATTACCAAATTTGCATGCCAGGCTGCTGAATCTAGAAGGAAACCAGACCAGGGTGGGCGAAAGGAGAATGAGGGCAGCTGTCCATATGGGTAGGGCTCTGCCAAGCCATTCCTAGGGGAGGAATCCCTTGTTGGCCTCCATCTGTGTTTTCACCACACCATGACCAGGCATCAAAATACTTCATTTTTGAAAGGCAGAGGCAGAGCTACTGATAGGGATGGGGGATGGATACACATGCAAACAAAGGTACGCTTAATTAAGTATATGGCTGATTGATTGTGCTTGTTCAGAAAACAGGAAGAATGGCCTGTAACTAGAGCATCTTGGTTTATTGCAGGAAGCGAAGGTTCCTTTGAGATCAGCAACACAACTGGAGCCATTTCTGTTATAAAAAGCCCAAATCAGCTCAAGAAAGAAGTGTATGAACTAAAAGTTCAGGTATGCTCTGTGGTCACTTGAAGACTGTTGGTCTTAAATGCCCTAAGTAGCCATGATTGTCTAAAATAGCTCAATTTATAGCCCACTTTACCTGTTTTAGGAGCTATATTTGAGCAGACTGCTAGACACTGTAAAACAGAACAAACTGCTTTTGTTCCATAAGATATTTGGTGTCATAAATATCTTCTTTCAAGTGAAGTCGTCTTGTCCTAGTTTCATGTCTGAGCCTAGAGAATCAAAATCCTTTGCGATATGCAAATAACTGTTCTCTGTATTTTCAAATGTTATTGCTGGACTGGGAATTGACGTCTTGTAACTGCTATGTGAAGAGATGGTAACTGCAAAGTCTGTGATTAGTAATAGGATTGGGGTAGATCACACTGTGTTGTGTCAATAACCACTCCTGAAGCACTGATCAACCATGTACTACTAAATAAGTGCTAACACCCTGATGAGCTGGTGTCAGTGTGACAGTCTTCATTATTTAAGCAGTTTCTAAAGAGCAAAGATTTAAAAATGTAGAGTTAGATTGTGAAGACTCTATCAGTTTTCCTCAAGCAAATGTGTATTAAAATCATGAGAGTTCACCAAGGTAAGGACAATATTGTCTGAAGACAGTTTTAAATATAGCGTGTCCAAGGGCACTTTGCTGGTGGGCTTGAGCAGCTGGCTAACCATGCGAAATTGTAGGGTTCCTCTCATTGAAGTTACACTGATCCACCAGTTCTTCCCCTAATCCCTCTGTTTTACTGAAGTCTGCTGGCACTTCTCAGATTCAGGATTTGTCAGGCCCTTTCAAGCTCTTCCAACCTCCTAATTGTAGCTGTGGCAACCTGGAGCTGGTGCAGGCTATAAAACCTGCCTGTGGGACTGAAAGGATGTTGTATAACCCCGTGGAGGTAGTGACGTGTGCTTCTATTACAAGACTAGCACCCTCGGGTTGCCTATAAAATCACTGAGAAGGGTCAGCTTCTTTAGAGTCAAGACACGTCAAACCTTGACTCAGACTTCAAAATGCTCCTAGAGAAGCCTTCAATAACCTTGGGAAAATGTGTCTCCTAAGCAAAGTGCCAAATGTTAAAGCAGAGATAAAAATACCTGGCTGGGTAGCAAGCACGAGCCTCTGTTTTGGCTGCATTCAGCAAAATTGCTTGTTTCTCAGCAGTACCTCCAGATTGGTTTGCACACCAGAGAGGATGAGTGGGAGCAGCTGTTATGGAAGGAGAGCAATGGCTGTGTGCCAGGAGGGCAAATTTTGTGGTCACTGAATGAAGCCTGCTGGATCTGCCTGGGCCTGGCTCACCCTGCTACCACCCCTTCCTGGCAGACCTATTTACAGGGATGTTCTCCACTTGCTGTTGGTGCAGTTTCTTGTTCTGACCAGATGCGTAGCAATACAGTCAGCAATACATATGGGAATTTAGGCATAATTTACAAATAAATTTCCCCTAACATCTAGTCAAAGTCGTGTTGCACCTTGGCTATTGCTGTCAGTTCTAACTGCATCTATTTCAAGTTGAGGATCTTCTTCCCCAGCCTCAGAAAGTGGTACAACAATCTTTCAGGTAAATTCAGTCTTAGTTGCATGTTGCAGAACTGTAATATCAAATCAGTGAGGATGCTGTTTGTTCATAAATGGGACAACAAATTATGTGATGGAATTTAGCACCACTCTACATATGACATGCTTTAAACAATTGAATTTTACTTCTTCAGAGAAGTTTAGCAGTCTAGTGCCTTTGTTTTTGAGCCCTTTGAATGCAAAAATGTCTGTTAGAGATACCTGCTTTGTTACAAAAACACCAGTCAGAGTTTCTGTGCTGACAGAAGAAATATCTTAGGTTCAACCCAGTGAATTAGACTGTGTGTTGGAATTGTTTAACTTTGATTTCATCGTTCAGTTCAGAAAAATGCTAGCTAAACTTGCTCATCTGTACAAACTCTATCCAACTTAAACTAAGCTCACCTAGGCAGAAAAGCAGAATTGTAAATCAGAGAATAAATCTCAAAAAAAAAAAAAAGTCTGTCATTCTGCTTTTTCAAATTTCCAGCTGCCTAAATGCAGCAAGTACAGTTTTTCCTGTAGTGTTTCAAAGCTGCTGTCCTTCCAGCAATGCAACAATCAAATACCTGTAATGCCCCAGCAAATTTAAAGTTCACCTTCCCTTTCTATTCTGTCAGCACTTCAGGCAAGCAATTATCTTGTCTTTATTAGATTATCTGTCTTTAGAGAGCTGTTTTCATCTAGGGTGAGGTACAGAGCTCACAAAATGAGGAGATTTTTTTCATCAGGATTTTGTTGAGACTGGTATATTACCATAACCTTCTAATCATCATAAACTTCAGTGTGAAATGGACTGAGGTTTCTAGAGAAATGTAAGCCTGTGAATCTGTGCACAAAATCAGTGTGTGTTGGGGTGATTTCTGCATGCAGAACAATATCTGAACGTGGAGCTGAGGAAAACCAGCTGCAGCTAAGAAGGGAATATTCCCTCATCTTTTTTCTCTCTACCTTCTGTAGGCATCCGAAGTCAGTCCAGAAGGTGACATCTCTGTGTATGCTTTTGCCATGGTGACTATAAGGGTGGTTGACCTCAACAATCATCCTCCAACGTTTTACGGAGAAAACGGTCCCCAGAACAGATTTGAACTGACCATGTATGAGCATCCCCCAGAGGGTGAAATCTTGAGGGGACTGAAGATTACAGTCAACGATTCAGACCAGGTAAGTGGAAACTACGTGGTTTTTGAGTTTTCCTGCCCTATTTCCCAAAGACGAGTAAGGGCTGACAGGATTGGCAAATGTCTGGCCCCTTTTTTTGATTTTTAGGACCTCAGCTGTTTCACCTGCATTCCCAGAAAGTTCAGGGTAGACAAAGTATTTTTGGGGTCCATTACCATAGAGTTTGGAGCCAGAAGCATATTCAGTCTTTCATATCCCATTATGGCAAGGAGCAGGGTGGTCCTAAAGCTGCAGTCCAGCTCTTGGGGCCACTGAAGTTGGGCAGTCCTTATTTTCCTCTGTTGGTTCTGTTCAGCTGTTGTCAGTGTAATGTCCAAGAACATTCCCTGTAGAGATTTACTTAGGGCTCCCAACCACTTTAGTAACTTTAAGTGCAGTTGCTGTCTGTGTCTTCTCTAGCCCCTCTGGAAACAACATGGTCCGTACCCTTACACTGTTTTTATTACAGCATATTATCCTTCTGGCCCTTTTGTTACAACCAGAGTCTGCAGTGCGTACTTTGATAAATCATTCCCACTGGAGTGATATTTTTAGGTAATCTGAAAAATTATGCCAGAGCCAAACTAACTAACCAGATCAAAGGAAAGAAAAGAAGTCTCCATTCATCTCCGCCAGATATCTAGCTGACCTCTGATACCCATAGGTACTATGGTGATGGTTGCTATAGGGATCCCTAAGCTAAATACTGTATGAATGGCATCCATCTGAGTTAGCCTCAGGTTAGGCAGTGACAAGAGAAAGCTTAATGCATCTGAGAACTGTATTGCTATTGGAAAGAGTGCTCTTATATAACTGTGCTCAGTACTGTGCTGTTTTGACTGTATTGTACTCTATCAAACCCACTAGCTTCTTCCCCCTCCCTCCTGCTGCTCTGCAGCAAGCAGATAAATGACTGCTTTCAAAGCAGTGCTACGTCTATCCTGCTATTGTCACAGAGGATGTTGCTGCAGAAGAAAAGAAACAAAACCCATCTCTTCTATTTAGAGACAAAACATATATTTATCATATGTAGGCTGACAAAATATTCAGGGCTGCAAGTTAGGCTATAAAATAAGCAGAAAACATTGCTAAGTACACTATAGATTTCTCAAGAAGCTTCCTAGTACAGTGTAAGACATCACTCCAGCGGGATTGGTTAGCTTTTGTTTTAAGGCATAGAAGGCAATGTTTCTCTTCCGCACAGGAGTTCTATATAGGGAAGAAAATCCAAATCATAATCAGTTTGTCACAGCCACTGTTGCCCCTTTAGGAGGATGGGTTGCGTAGGTGAGAAGGAAGTTATGGGCATAGCCTGTTTCATGCCGAAAGTTCAGTGGAAATGCCGTCTTGCAAGAACATCATACAGAAATTTCTCCCTCTACTCTCCTCATCTGACAGACGCAGCTAAGGGCTCGCTGTGTTGTCCCTTCAGTCATTCCCGTGTCCCGCGGCTGTCTGCTATGAGACACGCAGAGTGGCTTGCTCTGAGCTGATCTGGGGTCAGTGCACATCACTGTCAGAAATCACACAGCTGTTGGAGGGAGGCAGTTCTCTCCCCACCACTGCCACCATCCCAAGTACAGAGGACTTCTTGTGGTCAGATATTCAACTTTCCCCATAGTCCAGCTGTTGTGGCTTTTTTTGCATGCCCGGCTTTACTGCCCAGAAGAGAGCCTGTTGTCCCCTGTGTGGCTGGGGGGGGTTGTGTAGCCAAACCATGCAAACTGCTGTGCTAAGGCACACCGCTGAGCTTAGATCCAAGATCACTCCGGTTTCCTTGTGGGTCCACCAATGAATACTTTTCCTCTTGACATGGTTGCAGCAAGAACTGCTCATAACAAGCCCCTTGGGAATACAGCTGCAAGTAAAGTTTTCCTGTTTGAAAGTTACTATTAGAAATTCTTCACCTCAAGATTCATGCTAGGGGCAAAGCCTGGCACAGCCAGGCACTGAATGTGGCTGGTTGTCACAATGTAATCATGACATTGTTGGAGAAATTGGTGAAGTCAGAGAGCTTGGTACATGGCCTCAGGTCATTTTCCTTCTTCCCCTGTAAGACAGAGATGTGAGAATCCCCACTTCATCTTTTTTCTTCCATGCTCCAGTTAATTTTAAAGAGTTGGGCTGGCACTAGGGCTCCCTGGTCCCAGCTCACACACCAGTAGTGGTAACCTTCTAGATTTTGCTGCTTCCCATTTCCTCTCTGGCTGGGTTTATCTATGTGATGGGATTTGTCTTCTCACCTCACCTGGAGCTATCAGATGTTTGCCACATTTTATTCTGCATAAGCAGGGCTCATTTCTGCTCCCAAGTGCACCAACCTCCAGTAGGTTTGGTGGCTGTAACTCTGGGCTGGCTTTACCCAGTCAGTGCAAACTGTCAGGTACCACCTCTGTTTGGAAATTGCACATCTTCATGGCTCTGCATCATCCCAAGAATGAGTTATTAAAGGTAACAGGTTGGGTTTTTAAGAACTGTCCTGACTCAAGCAGCACAGTTGTCTTTCCTTGGCAGGAACCAGGAGAAGGCAGAGCTTCCTTGCACATGGTGGTGTCCTGCTCACCTGCACTAGCTGGCAACACGCAGTACAAAGCCCAAGGCTCCTTGCCAAAAAAGTGCCTCTTGTAGCCAGTTCTACTGGAGGGTTTTTCCATTATGACTGGAAGAATAACCAAGCCTGTCAATCTACTTACAGAAAAGCTACGTCTGTTTTGTGACCAGGGCTGGAGGGATTATATAACTAAGCTTCTTAGTTGTCTCTTTCTCAGGGGATGGAGAACAGAGGTCTCTAAGCAGTAAGACTGATGCTAATTTTATACAGCCTGAAGAAACAGAACTAATGTAAGCTGTAAGAAATGAATTGTTCACCAAAAACAATGCAGTATCTGCTTTTATTCACAGGGAGCAAATGCTAAATTCAACCTCCGTCTTGTTGGACCTGGTGGCATCTTCCGAGTTGTTCCCCAAACTGTCCTGAATGAGGCTCAGGTTACAATAATAGTGGAAAATTCTGCTGCTATTGACTATGAAAAATTCAAGGTGTTAACCTTCAAGGTACTTCTGCTTTATGTGTCTTCTCTGCCTGTGTATCTGATATGTGTATGATGGCTTACATATCTGATGGGATTTGTCTTCTCAGTCCACCTGGAGCTGTCTGATGCTTTGTCAGTGACATTATATTCCATGTAAAGGACACCCATTTTCCACCCTTGGTTCATCAACTTCCAAAAGGTTTAATGGATGCATCTGGATGCAATTTAGTCCAGTCAGTGCAAACTGTTGACTATTATCTCTGTGAAAATTGTACATGTTGCTGGCTCTGAGTCATTCTAGGCAGAACCCTGAGGGTGTTATTTCTTCTCTTACAATGATAAATTCACAGGGTGAAATCCTAATGTCTCTGGAGCCAGAAATTCACCTGCTTAGTTCTAAGCAATTTTGTTCATGATCATGCTTTTCAATATTGGCTGGCTGAAGGTCCCAGCTGACTGGAAAATTATTTCCCAAAATTGCTCACTCTCTTTGTCAGAGCATATCTATATATATGGCCTTTTGCAGACTGATCTGGGGCTATTGCACCCATGCTCCAAGCCAGCCATACAAGAACCAGCATTCATCTGAAGGCTGGAAACTTGTATTATCACCTTCCCTAATGGATTCATCAGTTCATCAATGAGATAATTAAGTAGTATGGTTTGTGTCAGCTGCCTCTGAACATGAGTATAGATGTTGGGTTCTGTCTGCATCAAATGGTGTAGGCAATCTCTGTAGTCATAAACAAAAAAAGTCAAAACTGTATAGCTGAGTATAAACATGCCAATTTTCATTTTGTACACAAAAAAGGTGTTTTTAGCACAGTTCAGAAGTCAGACTTCCTGGGTTTTGTTCTCACCCTTACCACATAGTTTGTTTTGTGTCCTTACCAAGTCACAGAATCACAGAATATCCCGAGTTGGAAGGGACCCACAAGGAACCCTGTGTCCAACTCTTGGCCCTGCACAGAACCACCCAAAAGTCCTTTCACTGCAGAATGCTTTATGTCTCTTCTTGTAAAGTTGGTTTCTCAGTTTGAACTTCATAGCTTATAGATGCTACAAAAATATGATGCATCATTATCGTATCAAAATGAAAGATTCAGAACAGGCTATAAAATGCTACTGAAACTAATTATAATAAGCACACATTTATTCAGGTTAAACTGCCAAAAGACCAGTAAAGAAGCTACACATGGCCTCCTCATGAATACTAATAGAAATGGAAGTAGTTAATGTGATTGGCCTGAACACTGAAAGAATTAATTACTAGGAAAAAGAATATACATCTTTTTAACTTGAGTAGTTATTGTTTTTTTGGGGGTGGGAAGGGAGGGTGAAATTCCTTCTACAGAAGAAGGACTGTACAGCTTTGCTAAAAATGCAGAGCATTTGTCTAGATTCCAAATGGAGAAGGTGCAGCTGAATGATACGGTAATAATGTATGACAGCAAATACTTTATAGAGACTTCATTGCCTTCTCCATTTCCCTGAAAAGTTCAAATCACTTCCTACCCAGTTTTAGTTGCTAAAATAATCATTCTAGTTAAACTTTGGGGTGAAACAGGTTCTTATTTCTATTTAACACATATCCTACAGCAACTTTGAGAAGCTATTGTCATTTTTTTTCCCCTGTAAACAATGGTCCAGCTCCTCTGGTTCATTATTTAACAGTAAAATGCCAGAGAGGGATTAAAGCTGATATGACTGGGAGGTGCCCTAAAGAACTACCTGAGGCAAAGGCTACTTGAGAAAATCTGTCTTCTGTTTAGGGCTGGCTTTTAAATACATTTGGTCAGCATGACCTTCTTCATTTTCAGCTGTCCAAGAGCCAGAGGGGGCTTCCCAAGTTTTGGCAGCTGTGATAATTTGTACCTCTGTGCCCTCCAACCTGGCCCTTTAAAGCTCAAGCCCCTCTGCCGGAGAGGCCAAGTGTTACTGTCCCACTATGCTGGGACTTGTAGCCACAGGCTGACCTGCTCTGGAAGCCAAACCACCTCCCTCCTCCTCCATCAGCACACAGTACGTCCCTCCTCGACAAGGGCCTGGACCTGCTCCTCGCCTTCTTCACTCACATCTCCTGCAGACTGGGACTAGATGAGGCTGCAGTTATTTTCAGTTGCCAAAACCAGATCTATTTTAACGAATCACCTGCCACTTCTAAGATTATACCTGTCTGCTTTTCTGGCAGTTGTATTAATTGTTGCTGTGTAGTCCTCTGAAGAAATAGTTTTCCCCTATTTTTTTCTTTTCTCTGTTTATAATGAACTATATACAGCTGCATAATACATTGCAGAGAAGTAATCTGACAAAAATCCCCCCCCCCGAGGGAAGGAAGATGTTGTCAGTATGTTGACATAGCTGGACTGTGACTGCTGAAAGGAGAGGGAATAAAAATGAATGTAGAAAACAACGTGAAAATACTAAGCCCTTGTAAGATACTTTAGCAGGGGTTGATACCAGCAGCAAAGATTTCACTGTGGATGCTATAGTTTAGTTAAAGGTCCACGTGCATGATAAGCAGTCGGACTTTATCTGTGTGCTGTTTTAGAGCTGAGATTGCTCACAAGCAGGTTTGGTGATGTCTGTATGACTAACTTCAAAAATGTAATTTGGTGAAACACCACCCAAAAGTAATTTGGTGAAACACCACCCTGAGACTCCCAAGCACACAAGTTAGCACAGAGATGCAGTAACAAACTCCTCTTTCAGAACAGATGTGATCTGTAGTGATTCCAAGCAATCCTTTGGGCTGAATTCTTCAAGAACTCTGTCACTTTGTGTTTTCAACTGTTATAACTGTAAGGTAGGAAGAGCTCCAGAAGATGGTACTGAGATAGCCTTTTCGCTGCCTACTTAAACTCTTCCCCTCCAAACCCTGTCACCTGTAGGTGACACGAATTTCTCCCAGTCCAGCAGGGAGACTTGAACACAGCATGTGCCTCTCAGCCAGTCAGTGGTGCCACCGCTGGCAGACCTCACACACCACCTGCCTCAGTGGGGAACTGTAACACGGCAGGAGAAAGGCTGAGTGCCCTGCGAGTGAGTGGCACAGGGAGGATGGGCTCCAACAGCCTTTGTCTCAGGTGCTGCATGAAGCGAGCAGGAGACACCATGGCAGCCCTTCTCTACCGTCTGAAGCTCAAGGCTTCCACTATGAAACTCCTTTAAGAAGTAGTAGTATCAGCTTTGTAGTAATTTTCTGGTTTTGTTTTTCTTCTTAGCTTCTTGCAATAGAGGTGAACACACCAGAGAGATTCAGCTCAACAGCTGACGTAGTGATACGCTTACTGGATACCAATGACAATGTCCCGAAATTCTCCTCTGACTACTACATTGCCAGGATCCCTGAGAACTCCCCAGGAGGCTCAAACGTAGTTGCTATAACTGTAAGTTTATTTATCTGTTAAGAAAATGCTCTCTTTTCTAGCTATTTATGGAGATAGCTCAAATACCTTAAAAACAGTAGACAATGGCACCTCACAAATCTTACCATTCATCTCCAGTTCCTTTCTAGAATAAACAAAACATGTTCCAATAAAATAAAATTGTAGGCAAGCATTCTTCAGAACAACAAATTTTCTTTTTTTTTTTCTTTTTTTAATTAAAGGCCATCTGCTTTTAAGACAGATCACATGGTCTGTGAGTACTAAGAAAGCCCCAGTCAAATCAATGTCCAGCAGAAAGCTTCGGTTCTGGCTAAGTGGAATTGGATTTACTGGATTTGCTTGCTTAAGTACGAGTAAAAAGAAAACAAGATGCCTGCTTAGTTAGGTATAAGTCTCCTCCTCCTGGGAGGAATCTGGCTGCTAAATGCATAATTAGACAGTTAATGAAGGCAAGAATATAACACTAAAATGCTTAGAGCTGGGAAAGAAAGATCCCTGTTGAAGTATCTTCTCACTGTGGGAAGAATACGCTTACAGATTTTCCTCTGCTCACATTTCCATAGAAAGAAGCTCAGGGAAAATCAGAGTGTTGCATGGGTCCTGTGCTGGAGAAGCGTTCCCAGCCATTAGATGCAAGCTGTACCCCGTTAGTGCAGCTGCTGGAACTGGAAACATGTCTCATGTCACAAAGCTCCTGGCTACATGGGGATCAGAGGGTGATGCAAGTCACCTTGCAGAGAGAGGCCTTGGAGGTAAGGGTGATGGAGGCAGGTTGCCAGAGATCTCCAGCACAGGCTGTCTGCAAATCACAAAGGAAATGAAATTATCATAATAAAATGCAAAAGGCAAATATTAGAGCTGGAAGAATGAAAGAGGAAAAGGAACATAAACATTACAAAAATGGTTGTTAGAGGAAACTAATAGGAATGCTGTAGAGAACAGACTCCAAACGTCACTGTCTTCACAAGAAGGTGAATTAAAAAATTTCTATGAGGTGGACAGATAAAAAAAAAAAGAAAGAAATTTACAAAAAGTTTGTAAAAAGCAGTGAAACTAACCATTCTAAGCCAAGGTATATATAGCGTAGCTGAAGTTTCCATGTAAAATTTACTTTCATGTGATAACAACTCAGTGTTTGACCCAGATTCACAAATATACTTCACAAACTGAGATTCTCCGAGTACCCAGAACTACTATTCTGGCAGAAATCCCAGGTGTACAGAATGTTTCGGGAAAAGTTAGGCAGTCCCAACGTAGACTGTGGTCAAAATTATGGGGTGAGAGAAACTTAAAACACTTATCAGCAAGGTTGATAGCCATGCAGGAATCAAAGACATTGTCTTAGTTTTCAAAAGAAGTAACAAATGTTTAATCAGAAAGATGAGTGAGCTAACCACGACCACCAGGAATTTAGATGGCCAGATACAATGGTACAGTATAGCATCTCAGAGCTATCAAAGGAACGGGTTTATGGGAATTACTGTCACCAAATCAGTAGCTTTCCAAATCCTGAGCTAAGACTCGAAGCCAACAAGAATCCTGAACAAAGATATCAACAGTTGTAGCATCTGCATTACTAAAAGTCACACAGGAACAAGAGTGATTATCTTATAAGCAAAGCTAAAATATTATGGATAGTTTTCAGTATTTGTTACATGTTACTTTAAACGGAATTGATTAAAAGAGCAGAATATTAAAAAAAAAAATCCTCTATGTACAGTAAGTAATTTTGGCCAGGGAATATACATTAATACTAAACTGATAATTAGGAAGGCTTGAGAGTGGGCAGCTTGTGTCATTGGGATTGGCTCCTTTTCTTTTAAAGGAAAGATGTGTTAAATGTCAATGAATAGAGCCATCTAGTGGCTTTCTCCCTGCTAGAGCCTCTGGGCACCAGCCTGGCCAGGAGACTGGCAACGTCTTAGCAGCTTAATTGGGACACCCAGTGACATTTCTGTGTGTTAGATTTTGCTGTTTTCTAGGTGCATAATTGTCTGTGTGGTTTCCCCCTAAAAATGTTCTGACAAAAGGAGGGAGCTTGGGTTTTTAAGTGACTTGTTTTTCAAAGAAAAATGGCCACACATCTTTTTGCCATTTAGTAAAGGATGACTCTCTTATTTTCTTTTTTTAAGGCTACAGATCCAGATTCAGGACTTTGGGGAGAAGTCAAGTACTCTATCTATGGAACAGGAGCAGATCTGTGAGTAAAAAATAAAATTAAATAACCTTTAAGCAGAGTATTAAAAAGAATTTAAAAGAGCAGGCTTGTTCTTGATCTGCTCATTTCCAAGGACGTTTATGCCATGTTCTTTGAGCTTTGTGGGGGAAAAAAAAAAAAAAAAAGAACAAAACAGAAAAAATGTTGATCATTAAACATCTGCTTCATCAACCCATGGAATTTTACCCACAAGCCCCCAAAGAGATATAAGGCAGCTGAAGTACCAGTACACAGGATCTGTTCAATCACCATCTGAAAAATGCTTCTAAGCGAAATGGGAGATTTTGGTCTAGCTGTCAAAAGTCAATTCTGGGAGAAAAAAAATTTCCTTGCTCTTTCACCTACCATTCTATACAGTTGTACAAATAGTTTGGTTTGAACTCTTGCCAAAATAAATCAAAGTCAAGACTTCCAAAGATATAAACTTTAGTTTTCAAGGCCAGTTGCACTGGATGTTCAAAGCATCATATATATGTAAAACTTGCAGCCCTACATCAGGGAAGAAGGGAATCCATTGCTTGTTTGATTTTGTAACAATGCCTGGCTTCTCCTTGCCTTGGGAACAGTGTGGGGGTAAGAAGGTCCCGGTATGTTGTTTTTGCCTACACTGCTTCCATCCCAGCAGTTGCTGCGGTCCATCAGCTGGGGCTCCCAGCCATGCCTAGCACCAGCCATCACAGACATTGCTGCTGGCAGCTGCATCTCCTGGACGTGATGGGGCTGCAGGGCAGAAGTAGGAAATGAATAAGCTGTTCAGGCACTCAGCTCCAGAATCTATTTTTCTCTTTACATTATCCCCTGGAGTTAAAGCTGAACTCCTCTTGTTAGGGTGAAAGCCATTTAGGAGGCACAATCAAAGTCCAAAATCCAAGATGTTAAGGGTGAACTTCTTCTGTAGCCAGAAGGGTACACATAGGGGAGCATTTCCAGGATGGATTATTCTGAGCTGCTCAGTAAGTCTTTAAGCTATCTGCAGACTGCATAGAGGCAAGCAGGCAAAGGTCATGTCATAGAGGCAGACCTCTCTGATTTCAAGTGTAGCTGCTGGTGCAAAGATGCTTGTGAAGGTTGTTGACAAAGGATTAAAAAAGAAAAAAAAAAAAGTAGGTGCAACTTTCTTCTGATTGGAGTTGTGAGGATGTTCAGGCTCACTCTTCTTATGCTACTGAATGAGGAAATAAGGGTGCAAAGGCACTTTTCCCGTTCTTAAATACATTTTTTTTTTTTCTTTTGCTTGTGCCAGCTTGGCATGGCACTCCAAGGCTGGATTGATTTCTTAAGCATTGAACCTCCAGATATGCTGAACATAGATTTGAGATTTTCAATTAGGAGCATGTTTTTTCATCACAGGGTTGCATCAGTGGAAATGCAGTTGCATTGGCAGAAAGATGAGTTTTACCTGAGTAAGAGGAATAGTGTTAGCTGTTGAAGACACAGCCATTACGTCAGTAATTCTCCATCCAAAGTGACACTGGGAGTGGGGTGCACTGCTACAGTCTCTTCACATCTCACTGCTTCTGTTCTTCCACTAAAATGGCAATGATGAGAGTTCTGTCTGTGTGGTGAGACTGGGTTGGGCACTAAAGAGGCACTCAGCACAGGCACCATCTCCTACCAAGAGTTTGCACAGCTCTTTCCACCTCCAGGTCCTGGCTTTCATCCAGACTTGTATTTGTATTTAACAGAGTAATGCTAACAATTGATGATTCTGGATTACTAAGTGCATGTTTTATAATCACTCTCAATTACGCTCACAGTTGAGATACAGAAAATATTTTGTCATCCTTTAAACTAATTAAAGGAGATATACAAAACCTTTCATTTGTTAAAAACCCTACTGTTTGGAGCCTATGTTGGTAGTCCATTAACAAAAGACACTGCGTTGGTATCTTTGTAAATCTGAGCTTTCGCATGTCACTTTTGATAGTGTCTCAGTAATTACAAATGTGTAGAAGTGAACTTGCTACAGATAAATCTGAACACCCTCTCCATCCCAGTGCCAGTCTGTGGAAAAGTGATTAGTTTTGGAGGACATAATGTGCCCTGCACTTCTGGGGATTTGAGAGCAGCCATTTTTCTTACCCATTCTGAGAAGCAAAGAGTTTAAACATGATATTCAGCAACCTTCCTTTAGCTGTTGAGGAGATATCAATCATTTTTAATTTATTCAGGACATTATCAAATACATTGTACTTATAAACTGAACAAATAGGCAGTTCCTTAATTTTTTAACATGAAGAAATTATTCTGGAGGAAGGCCATCGAGCTGAGCATTTTTTAGGACAAAGCCTTTAACAGAAAATGCAGCTAAAATGGCTAGTGCACAATGAATAGAAAAACACCAGACGCTGTGGTGTTCACATCACAGTCTGTGGTTTTCAAGCCTAAAGGAACAAACCAAAGATAGGTAGAGTGAATGATTCAGAAACATCAGCCTGACAGAAGGAAGGTGAAGAATACCAGTCTTTGATCTTTGAGCACAGTATTTCAGTGTTTAGAACCCACCTTTGCCCCAGGCTATAAACATATGTTAGGTTACCAAAAAAAAATAATAAATAAACCTCAAAATCTCTCTGTGCTTCTTTTTTTCAGGTTCCTAATCCACCCATCAACAGGTATAATTTACACCCAGCCCTGGGCTGTATTAGATGCTGAAGTGAACTCAAAGTATAATTTCTATGTGAAAGCAGAGGACACAGATGGGAAGTACAGCCTGGCTGAAGTGTTCATCACTGTGCTAGATGTCAATGATCACTCTCCAGAGTTCAATGAAAACATCCAGGAAAAGACGATGATCATCGGGTCACCGGTGAAGATAGAGGTGAGAAACAACACAGCGTGTCACAAAGCAGAGTGCTTTGGAAAAGCCCCAGCTATGCAGTTTATTGCTCAGGGAACACAATGAATGCCTGAAAGTTGGCTTTTCCTGAGGCTTTATTCTGCACATCCATTTGTACGTAAAAAATGGATTAAAGCATGGAATAGTAGTATTTACAGACTGCTGAGAAAGAGAAATAAATTCTATAGGCAGAAGATAAAGTTCCGTTACAGTATTTGAACCATTAGCTGGTGGAGGATTCTGGATTATACAGTGATCATAAGAAGCCCAAGCACGATGAATGAATGAAAGTACAGGGTTTTGAATGCTTAACCTTCCTGCCATGCCATTGTGCTCAACCACACAACTTCATTCCCTTCACTTTGTAGAACTATATATAGTGATCCAGTGCAGAACAGGAGGTTAAAAAACATTGCAATAGCAATTTGCAGGCAAAGGAGCAGAACATCCGATGTTACACATATTTGAATGCATATTGTCAAGCCTGATTATGCAACACCCAACACTAGCAGAATAAATACCACAGCAAAAAACTTAAGGCAGCTATAGCTTAGTGAGTGTGGAGCTAATCCCATTGTTCTCTATTAATTTCAACATTTGTCCCCGCTGTTGTGGGAGAAAGTCCCTAGCGATAGGCCGTTTACGGTCTCCAGATAGGTTATGATTCTGCTTTTCATCTTCTTCCCTTTAATCTTGAATAGAAATCATTTATACAAAAAGAACTCTAGCCCTGCTATTTGTCATTAGAAAATGGTGCATAGCTGGTACCAGGAAAGGGGAGTTTGTTTCCAAAACTAAACAAAAACAGTCAGTAAAAATTACCACATGGACGTTGTCAGAAGTGAATGCTCAGAAACTTTTAGAGTTTTGTCTTCAGGCAAAGCAATAACATCTTTGTTCTTTACGTTTCCCCAACCAGGCTATAGATCAAGATGCAGAAGAACCCAACAACATTGTTGATTATTCCATCATGCAAGCAGACCCAGCCAACGTGTTTGATATAGACCAAAGCACTGGGGAAATCAAGCTGAAATCCTATATCCGTTCTCTGGACATCATCCACAACATTACAAAGAACAAAGACTGTATATGGTCAGTGGTGGTGCAGGCCAAAGACCGAGGCTCCCCTTCCTTCAGTACCACAGCAGTTCTGAAGATCGATATCACAGAGGAGGTAAGCAAATATTTTAGAAAAATCCTAAACAGTGCTGGGATGATTCTTGATCAAGAACAACTATCAGAGTACTTTGGGGCTGACCCAATGTTAAACTCTATCATTAAAAGCATTATCAAAATGCATCTTAAACACACCCACAGGGCATCAACCACCTCTCTAGGAAACCTGTTCCCACATCCAACTGCCCTCTTGGTAAACAAGTTTTTCTAAATGTCTAGTCTGAACCTCTGCTACGCAGCCTTGAGCCATTCACTTGCATCTTCCCAGTAGATACCAGGTAGAAAAGATGAGCACCTCCCTCTCCCCACTTCCCCTCTTCAGGAAGTTATAGAGAGCGATGAGGTCACCCCTCGACCTTCTCTTCTCTAAGTTTAACAAACCCAGTGTCCTCAGCTGCTCCTTGCAGGACATGCCTTGCAGACCTTTAATGATGAGTTTCTTGCATTTTATTGTTGGAGACAGATATGAATTAAGGACTATAGGCTCCCGAGAGTAGAGGTAAATCTCTGCTAAATCTCTGATCTTTTGTTTACATTCAGGAGAAAACAATCTTTTTTTTCCCCCTTGCCAAAATTTAATAGAAAGTAACTGGGGCCAGAGTGAACTATATTAGACCTTTTTTTGCAAGTCAAATGAGTGACATAGGAAAAGTGAGCAAACTTTATCGAAGTGCTTTAAGTAAATAGAAATTTGGATGTGAATTTAATAATTGCAGTATTATTAGCAGACAAAAGACCACTCTAAAAGATAGCAAACATATGTTGAGAGTGTCCTGGTAGTCCAACTTCTTCATCCACCAAAGGACAGGCAGCAATTTACGAGCAGAGCATGCTTGTGTGATTTTTATTTATCGTAACTGCCTTGCTATGCCTTTAAGTAGGTACCAGCAGGAAGGAAATGGCCTTTAATGTAGATGAGAAACACATCATTAGCGTGAAGGTCTCTGGACCAGATGCGTACTGGGCAAAGATGCAAATCTCTTCCTGCAGACAGCAGCTGGCTTTCTCTCTTTTTTTCTCTTTCTCTCTCTTTTTTTTTTTTTTTTTTTTGTTCTTTTTTTTCTCTTTCTCCAATGGAAACCATAAGTCTTGGTGGGTTTTATGCAACAAATAAGAATCTCTACTCGCAGCCAACAGCAGGAAAGCCCACCCTCACTGCCTGCCTTCCAGGCTCGCCCTGCACCATAAGTGGCTCACAAGGGGCAGCAGGTGGCCTCAGGCACTATCCCCAGCTGTTGGCCCCAGAGTGCAGGTGAGATGGAAATGGAGGTTCCCCGTATCCCCCAGCTCTCCCTCCCCTCTCCGGGGTACACAGACGAGCTGTTTACCAATCTGTTAGTGTGTGGGGCTAGGGCTGAGGGGTGTCAAGGAGAGTGGGAGTACCCACACTTCCTCTGCTGGGGGAGTTATGTCCCTGAACCGGGGCTTCCTCCTTCTATGCGGGCTGATGAAGGATATCTAGAAGAAAAAAAAGAAAGAGCACCTGGTGCTTTGGGATGAAGAGTTTCTTGGATTTCCTTCTAGTGTGTGAAGTAACATAAGCACATGATGAAAAGAACTTGTCTTCTCCATCTCTCTGCTCCTTTCTGTCCTGGGTGTGCATGAAGTGAGGGAGCTCCCCCTTAATAAAGTGTAAAGGGGAAACAGAAAGGGCTCTGAAGACCTGGATTCTTCTCAGACACAGCTATTCCTTCTTCCCATGCTCTTCTCCCTGCCAAGTCCTAGCACGTATGCTGAAATAGCAAAAGCATCCTCTCTGCACTTGAGTATGTCTCTTCAGCAGGACCTGCAGCACTAATCTCACGTCATGTCCTCTGTAAGCTTCTGCACAATTCTCCACTACTTCTTTCATTGCTTGTAATGATTTGCGTTGTGTTTTTTTTTTTTCGTTTGTTTTACCCAAGAGCATCACACCTCCTTGAAAAAGCACTCAGGTTCCAGCTTCAGTGTGGGTGAGTTACCGTGGTGGTGCAGGAAGCTCTTGCTTGTTCCCAGTGTCCCAGGCACAACAGCCACTGCTAGCAGTCTGTGCAGGAAGCAGTCTCTTGGTAGAGGCACGTTGTGTGCGCTCTTTTTCCCTCCCTCTCTCTGACTGTTAGGAATCTACATGTCATCCTTCGTGCTCCAGCTGCACAAAGTCTCTCTTAGTTAGCTGTTTGGTGGGTATTTATGTATTACTGATTTTGGATAAGGAAGGTATTTTTGAATGCATCCTCCAGAGGTTTCCTGCAGTGTTAATCACACCAAGTAATTAAACAGGCATATTTTCTGATTAACATTTACCACTGCAATTAGCGCGAGGCTGTGCCCTTCGAGATAGATGCCTTGTGGCTAAGTTCAGCAGTATTGCACATCAAAAGGACCTTTTGCTGTTGGAACAATATAGCAATAAAAAATTCCAGAGGCCTTTTAATTTAACCGAGTCTGTTTTTATGGAAATTGGTATTGAATGGCATCTGTTAATCTCCTATCCTTTCTCAACAGAGTAAGAAGCATATGCTGAAAAAGCCATGCTTTTTGCACCCTAATGTCCCTCAAAAAATCTATTCCTGCTGCCCGCAATTTTCACTGGTAGCTGATCCCCCAGTCCTGATCCTGAGGGTTGGCCTGATGGGGGATCCCCCTGCCTCCTCGTGACTCCGCTGAGGTCCTGCTAGGATACGGGGGCGTTTATTTACAGCTCTTCACAGCCCAGAGCTTTAGTCCACATTTAGAGAGTATAATCTGTGACACCTTTGGTTCTTAATAGCTTTGGCCACTGATTTAGACTTCTAAATATACCTGATGAGTACATTCCCCTGATTTAAAGGTTCAACAAACTCACAGAAGGTGTATTTCCTTCTCTCTTACACACATCTGCAACCATCCCTGCAACAAGGCTAGGTCTAATCTGAGGCAAAACCCAAGCAATGCTAAAAACGTGGAAGTGGGCTCGTCACAACCAGTGGTTCATTTTACAGATGCACTTGCTGAAGTTGACACAACCTGATTTGTCTATAATCTGTGATAGCTTGGGCTCTTAACAGCTTCGCCTGCTTACTGAGACTTCTAAATATAGCTGAGGAGCCTTAGCTGCTCCCATGCTTAAACAGCTCAGCCACACGCTCCTGTTGGGTCCAACTTCGGGACGATGCACTGCCCACTCGTTCTGCGTGCTGCAGCCCACGCGCTATGAAAGGCTCTTGAGAAGCTGCCAGGAGGTGTGGATGTCTGCACGCTGCAGGCTGTTGTGGCAGTAAAAAGTGAAGGAAGGAAGTCGCCCTTTCAGTAGCAAAAGGAGACACGAGCATCTTCTTTGGTAAACTTGGGGTTTTGAGGAGAAAGCCACTGTGGAGGAAGGATGGTGAGAATAAGACCCATGTCACAGAGTCATACCTGTCCTGAAGCTGCACAGTGCTGAGTCCATGAAACCAGCTTCAAAGGCACGTGTCAGTGTTGGAGACCGGCCCCTCAAAAGCTGGCAAGTCCCAGGGGTGCAGAGCCGGGCACCTCGGCACGCTGAGGGACGCTGGCTGAGGAGCTTCCCTGCAGGGGACAGATGGCTGCAAGGCTTCTGCATGAGAAGCCCAGGACCACACGTGTGTTAAATGATGAATAGCTCATGGTGTGTTTTATTCCAAATGGTTGCTTTAATCTCTTTAATTGCATTCTTGTCCCAGGATTGGACATCCCCTTTCTCAAAGCTGATACACAGCTTAGCTACTTCCAAACTTCTGCCACAGTTCTGAACTGTCTGCCAACCCTTCTCTGGTTCTCATTATAGCTGTGAAATCGCAGCAGAAGAACCATCAGAACATTATCTGTTGTGAGCAGTGGTATTTTTAACTCCTCTGATGGCTGTTGTGAAACAGAGCATTTCCTCCGTGTTTAGGCCCAGAAATATGACAGTGTTTCCCATTACAGCTTTAATTTCATTGTGCATCTGCCATTGTTTAATCTGTTCAAGAAAAATCAGCACTTTCCAAAATGCAACGTCCCTCCTAGGGAAAAAATACCGGCTACATAAATTGCCAAGCAGCGCTATTTGATGGCCCAGTTCTGACGCACTGCTGGTAACGGTGCAGTGCCTTGGAGGTGCGTTGGTTGTGCAGGGAAGTGCTCAGAGACGAGGTACTTAAACTTCAGTGTCCAAATGCTCCCACACTTTGACTGTAAGAGGGTGCTCAAACCTCTCTCAGACCTGGACTCTGCGTTACCTGACTGGGTCACGGGGATGACACAGGATATCGAAGCTTTTTGGTGACAAATGCACTTACCATAAGCCTGTCTGCAGGACAGCTAAGATGATGACGTTCCAGGCTTGTTTTGCAAATCACTCTTCCCATTTATCCTGCGAATGTCATGCCCACAACAAACAGCGATTTTACCACTGTATGCTTACAAAATGCCGCATGTTTTTATGCAAACATCACTGAGCAGTTCTCATTCAAGGCTTATTCTAGGCAACACTTGTATAGTAGCATCCCAGTAATTAGAACATAGGCTGAACCAGCTAACTATTAATGGGTTTAGCTTCAGTATTAATCATCTCTTCATACCTGGAAGCTCTGAACAAGTGTCAAACTTAGTGAGATGAAGGGCAGTTGAATGAAACTGTGTTCTGAAACTCACCGTATGATCTTCATCAGTTCTCGAACCTGGAACTGTTGTACACTGACAACATGGGACACGTACTTCTGTCTAATCTCATTTATTCAAGATTTGCAAATAGCTAGTCAAATAATTATTACTCATCTATATAGCATCATCTTAAGTATATGTCATCTTTCTCATGTCAGTTCTATATTATGTAGCCGTCTGTGGCACGCTACAGAATAGATCTCGACAACACTCATAATTATAAGTGGACTCATTTCAGGTCATGTACTACTTAGCAGGGTTTGTCTGACACTTAATTCATCAGATTTTCACATGAAGTTAAGGTAAGCTAGGATAGAATTTCTGCCATCTGACGGAATTTAAGTACACAATATCTATGTAATGCACAACAGCAAAGCTGATGTTGAATCCAAGCTCTGACAGTCGTGGGCTGCTTTGCTTTTTCTAGCTCAGGTCTGTTGCTCATTGAATAATGGGAAAACTTTGCACAACAACAACAAAAAAGAAAATTGGTCCCTACTGGTAAGGTAAAGTGGTCCATGACTTCCAATAGCATGTATTTGCCCATTTGTCTTTGCCAATAGGAAACATTCAGATTATGGGAACAACGGTCTTGGATAATGTGCCTGAGGTAGGTTGTGAAAATACAGAAGTGAAGACACTCAGCTCCCTTTATTTTCCATGCTATCTGTTCCATAAGCGTCTCACCCTAGCTCCCTAGTTGTATATATAACAGATACTCACCTCTTTCAAATACAACCAAGCATGGGTTGACCGTTTCTCTTATTTTTGACATTTCCAGATCAAGTCCAGGGTAAAATCCTATATTTTAGGCCTCAAGAAGCGTCCATGGACGATATTTGGAATTTGCATGAGTGGCGTCCTTTCCACCATTTCTGTAACAATGGTGATCTCCACCATCATATACTGGAAAAGTGTGAAAAGATCCAAGCTCCACCCGCAGGGCAAAATCCGCAAAATTATACGGGGACCTCCGAGACGCACAGTGTGCTAAGCTGCAAAGTGAACTGGTCATTCATTTGTCCTTAATATGCCATATGTAGCTTACGTCACTGCTTATTTTTCTTATTTCTGAAAACAAAGCTCTTTAGCCCTAATCATGTCCCTTACCTCAAAGAGTTTTGTTATGTCTGTAAAAGAGTACTTGAAAACAGAATGCAGCACGTACCTGCTAACTACTCATTTGTACACTGTAATTTTATAAAGCGTAGTTTTCTCATAATCTTTTAAATGCCATTTTCAGTAATGGTCCTATAAACTGCATCACCGTATCACCTGCGGCTGTTTTCAAAAGATCATTTTCTACTCATAAACTTCTGTTTGGGTTCAACGCTATTATTCCTAGGAAATTATTTCTGACATATAGTACAACAATACAGCTGCAGATCCCAGAGCCAATTATTTTCTTGCTCAGTTCTTGCAAGTTAAACAAACACTGTGGTGATAAGCAGGAATCTGCCCTAATTTGGCAGTAATACTCCTGTAAGCTTTTGTGTTTGACCACCATCCTTCTCTCAACACTGCAGCGCTTGCCCAGTCTCCTGCTCCAAATTGTGCAAAGCTGGACTGGCTCTTTGACTCTCACTTTTCTTTAGAGACAACTTCCAGTAGTGGCCCCTGCTTGTCACATATTTTGGACAAATGAAATTTCTAGGTCACTGTCTGTCCCACAGAGTAAGTCATGTGTTTTCTTTGTACTCTTTTACAGACTCTTCACAAAGGGCCTATGGCCGCCTTTTTGATGCAAACTAAAGATAACCCCATGAAAGCCTTAGGAGTGCTAGCTGGTGTCATGGGCATAATGGTGCTGATAACTATCATGATCTCTACTGCCATGTTCTGGCGCAATAAGCGCTCCAACAAAATCATGCCGGTAAGAAGGATCATAAAAAAGAGGCAGCCCCAGCCGTCCCGCACGGTCAGGATGGAGTGGCTGAAGTTCAAGAGGCCCAGCAATGCCGCGGAGAAGTTTGTCGTCGAGGATGATGCACAGAGCCTGCAGAACGAGAACAGCAACAACAACGTCCAGGTTGCCCCCGTGCCACCAGCCGCCCCTGTGCCCCCGCCGCCTCCTGCCCTGGCTTCCAGCGGGGACGCCGCAGGGTGGCGGGTGCCAACCGTGTCCGGCTCCCTCACCCCCAAGTTCATCAAAAAACAGCTGAAGAAGCGAGGTCACAGCAGTGCCCACAACGCCCTGGTGTCAGAGCTCAAAATGAGGTTTGAGAAGAGGAATGCGGCTATCGGCGAGCCCCACATCTAGGCGCTTTCGGCAGCCCCAGAGACTGCGCCTTGTGGCTGTGCGTGGATATATTACGTGCCGTGGTCCTCCCTGTGTCTGTCAGCACCCTGTGAACTGAGAGCAGCTTCTTGCTCCGATAGTCCCCCTCACCTCCTGAAAGTATTACATGCTACGAAGTTGCCCCACCTGTACCAAACGCTGTGGTCCATGCCCAGCTAGGACTGCACTTCCTTTGTGTCGTGTCCCAGTGCTGGTTCCACCCTGCAGCTGTCTGATGGGTGCTCAGTACTATGCCCCTGCGCTAGGCAGTCTCCCCAAGCGACCAGCAGCTCAGCTTGCCCCAGTTTGGGAAGCCCTTAGCTGGAGTCCTGTTCTGCATCAAGGTGCTCTGCAACCGAGGCACTGGCAGATGCCACTTCTCGTCTGGTCCAGCACGGGGGTCTGAGGTGTCCGAAAACCCCCCTCAATTCCCAGGCCCAGTGTTGAAGATGCTGGCCTGGCTGTGGCACCAGGGTTGGTGTGCGGGGCTCCTGGAGCAGCGGCACGGCACGCTGGGAGGGAGCTGCACGTAGCTGGTGCCTGCTGCCCTTGGGGCGCGAAGTGCAGGGTAGCAGCTGGCAGAACGATGTGCTGACGGCCTTGGTACCCCTCATCCTGCAGGTAAGCGGGCAGGCTTGGAGAAGTTCTTCATTTTCCTGCCGTTTATGCTGGATTCTGCCGGAGCACATTGGCATGATGCTGCGCTTCGCTTCCACCCTGGACTTGCCTGCTAATCAGGGAAGGGAGGACCAGCCAGGCCAGGATGCAAGCACAGAAATTCAGTAGCAGCACTCACTCAATACTGCCTCCTTCCGACTCTGCATCCCCTAATGAGAGGCAGGCCAGCAGGAGGACTTGATTAAAGCAGCAGGGAAGATAAGGTAAAGGCGAGAGAAAAATGATAAGTGAAAAATAGAGACAAGTGCTGGAAAGTCACATATGTCGGTCAGGAATGTGTCTGGAAAGATTACTTGTTTTTTTTTTTATGCTGCTAGCAGGAGGTGTCGGGGAATGTATTTCATCACCTCTCCTGGCTTGCTCCAGGGACTGGTGAGTGCAAAAGGAAGTTTCCATAAAATATTCTGGCTCGTCCTAGTAGCATTTTTGACTGAATTATGCAACAGCTAACTGGAAAGGGTGTGGGGAGGATGACAATTTTTTCCTGTTAGGTGACAGTAAAAAGGCACTGAAGGCAGAGCAGATTTTTTTACTGGCCCTCCCCACAGTTTCTCTCTCGTGTTTGTTTCTGAGGAGCTGTTTTTCAGCTGGGCCTGGCTGTTTCCTGTCGCCTGGGGAGAAGGCAGCATGCACTGGCCTAGCTGGGGAGCAGCGCCCTATGCTCAAGCCCTGACCCCGTAAGGCAGCTGTGCTGGCTGCCGTGGCTTTGCTGTTGTGGATGGACACCATGAGCATCAGGATGGGGAACAAACCCTAAGTGACAGGCTGCTGTGTTCATTCGAGGCTGCTTTTTGTCATTTCAGCTGGACCAGCGGACCTGCTCCTCTGGGGCTCCTCTTCCTTCACCCCATTAGCTGGTCTTATTCCCTTCAGCCAGACCAGGGTTTCATCACCTTAGCAGATAGCTGGTTCAATGAGCCATCACCAACAGAGAGAAAAATCCTCTATTTTTTAACTTCCATTTACTCCACCCAGCAGCCAGAGGGTAACCGTGGTTCTTGTCACCCACGGGCTGAGCCAGGAGCTGCAGCTGAGAGGGGCCGCAGGGCCTGGTGCTGCCCCGAGTTTGCTGCATAAGCTGGCACCAGCCCTGGTGGTGCCGGGCTTCGGGCCATGCCCGTGCGCTGGGTCTCCTCGCAGCGCGAGCCACCGGGCCCAGCTCTCCAGGCACGCAGTGCGTCAGGACTCAGCCCCCTCTCTGCGCAGGTCAGGGACTGCGGGCTGCAGAGCAGCAAGGAGCAGCAGTCTGCTGGGTGTGGGGAGCAACACACATAAAATGCACACTTGAACGTTTCTCTGAGGTGGCCCCTTGGTATGGGACTGCACGAGGAGCTGCATGAGGGGCCGTGCAGCTGTAGAGCTGTCGGTAAGGACAGCGCAGTCTGAGGGCCGTGCCCTGAACCAGGCAGAGGCTTCACAGGGAGCAGAGGCAGTGGCAGGGGGGTGATGAGTGCCCAGCATGGAGGGGCATGGCAGCATGGCAGCCCTTGTTGGTGCCGATGGCTCCTTTTCCACCAGGTCTTTCATTTTCTCCACCCTTTTCTCGCCTTCCCTCAGGGCCCGTTGCTTACCCCTGCTGCTGGCTCCCAGGCCGTTGCATTGTGCACTGCGTCCACCTCATTCTCTGGCCCTGAGCCATTTGGAGGGAGGGGACACGCAGCCCTGTCACCGCCGCTCAGCCTCGGTCCCACTCCCACGGCCCCACAGGCTCCTTTCACTGGCTGTGTCTCCTGCAGGCTCTGCAATGTTTCATGGGGCACCAAAGGCTTGTGATCTATTCCCCATACTACTGTTTTCCTGATGTCGTGTTGAAGCCAGTATTCAGTGGTCATTCTCAGATGAGGAAAGCCTGTAAAGACCATTCAATTAAGTGAGATTTAGCAGGAATTACAGGCTTAGTGTTAGAGATTATATTTAAGAGGGAATAAAGTTGTTTTATTACTATGTTGTGAGACTTTTCCAGTTACTTTGTACTTCAACTTCAGAGGGTTTTTTTTATAAATTAAAAAAAAAAAAATTACAAATGATTCTTCTCGTGGTGTATTTTTGCTGGCAGAGATGCCTTTTTGATTGCTTGCTGTGTGACCACTGCCAGGACGGCAGAAATGCCCAGCACCCGACTGTGGCACAGCCCTGGGGCAGGCACGCTACTCACCCAGCAGCAGGTTTTGGTTCGATGCCAGCACTCACCGGACATGCAATAAAGTACTCACATCCTGCGCGTGGTCATCAGAGGTTTTGTTCTTCCCTGGCCATGTCCTCACTGTGATTCAGCCTCCTTGCTTCTCCCTCCCTGTCGTGTGCAGCCCCGGTCTGCCCCCAGACCATCCCCGCAGCAGCCGCGGTTCCTTGCCGCCTCCGACCGGCTCAGGAAGCTGGAGTGCCCTCCTTCCTGCAGGGCACTGTGAAACGATTCATCATCTGAACCAGGGGCTGAGAAATCAGGCTGCAGTGGTGGGAAATAATCAGCCTGCCTCATTTTTGATGTTCCATCTCTCACTCTTGTTTAGATAGGGAGCCCCACTCATTTACGGTGAGCTTGTGTTAGGACGGTTGTTAGGAAGGTTTTATTTGACTTCTTGTCTTCATTTGCGTAGCAAATGCAAGGTCACGAAGTCAGGTTTTATTTTAAAGTTCTATATTTGTGCATGAAGAGGAAAGGAAGTCTTACCTTGGGGGGGGGGGGGGGGGGTTCGACTGCATCAAGCAGAAGTCCCCTCAGCAGCATTGCCAACGCTGGAGCAGCACTTTCAGTGCCTCAGCACCTTGGCTTTAATCACCAGAGTGAGCTTGGCCCCTGAGCTGAAGGCTTCCAGCACGGCAGCGCCGTGTGCCACCACACCGAGTGCTGGATGAGGAGCGGAGGCACCAGCTCGTCCCGCTGGGTGCTCTCCATCCCCGCAGGGGTTTCTCCAGGCCATGGCTGTCACCCCACTGGGCTGGCTGCTTCTGAAGGGCCACAGGGGCCCTCACTGGGGGAGCACAGGTAAGGAGGGCCTGGAGCTGCCCTTCCCTGCAGTGGTGCCCATTGCTCCTCAGCACTCAGGTTTTTTTTGCAAATTCTAACAGTAAAAGAACAAAAATGAAGCAGAGGACATTGCACATTGTGAAAATTGGTTGTGTTTGTTGTGTCACATTAACACTAACACACTAACAAGCCTCTTTACATATAACATCAAAAACATCAACAAAACATGTTTTTTAAAAGCCACGCAGTAAGTTGCAGCAGTTGCAGGTGCTGGGGAAGGAAACAAGGGGGCCTGAGGCTGTGCAGCATGGAAAACACACAACAAAGCATAGCTTTTGTCGCCAAAACACAACTAAAAAGGCAAACTGCCACACAGTAAAGGTTGCGGTAGTCATTATCTCTGGCTATAGCCAAGGTTTCTACTCTGGTTTGGTATTTTTGACAAGGTCTCTAACAACACACATGACAAGGGCTGTGGGTCTGTCAGCCATGTGCTTTGTGCTGAAAAGAACAAGGCCAAAAAGAAAGGGAAAAAAAAAAAAAAAAAAAAGTATGTTGATCCCCCAAAAGGTAGCTGCTCTACAGTTGCTCTCCTATGCATGTTTGTTGTTTTTTTCTGCCTCTGGCAAGGTGGCGAGCCTTGATGTTGAAGCAGCAGGCTGTGCAGGCAGTGCGCCTGTGTCTGGGGTTAGTGCCTGGCTGGTGGCTCCTCAGCTCCCAAACCCTGGCCCCTGCCCCAGGGATGTGCCCGCTCAGTGCAGAAGCCACTTGTCCCAGTGGCGGGGGTTAGGCTCAGCGTCATGGAATCACAGGATCACTCCAGTTGGGAAAGCCCTCCAAGATCATCTGGTCCAACCATGTCCCTACCACCAGTGTGATGCACTAAACCATGTCCCCAGGCACCATGTCCCACCTTTCCTTGAACACCCCCCAGGGACGGTGACTCCACCACCTCCCTGGGCAACCCGTCCCAGTACCTGACTGCTCTTTCTGAGCAGAAATGTCTCCTCATTGCCAGCCTGAACCTCCCCTGGCACAACTTGAGGCCATTCCCTCTGGTCCTGTCACTAGTTATCTGTGAGAGGAGGCTGACCCCAAGCGCCCCAGCACCTTACAGGTTCCCTAGGCCTCCAATTTTAGATGGTGGTCATGCGGGGTGTACTTGGTGTGCTGCCTCTGAGAGGAACAATACAGAGTGTGGAGTGGAGTGGGGACACTGTGGCCAGGCTCTGTGACAAGATGGGAACTTGATTGTTCTTGTGCACACTGGAACCGATAAGCTGCACATTTGTTACCCTGGACTAATGGCCTATGTTTTTGACAAAATGCTGTCCTTTTGGTGAATATTGCCCATTATAATACCAAAACACACCTCCATCCCAAAACCTACCTGCCTCCAAGGTGTAACCATGCCTCACATGTTTGCACTTTAAAATTTTCCTAGTCTATAATTTTAAAGCAGAGAGAACATTTTGCACCAATTGTAACCAAGATATGCATGACTAGAGTCACTCAAGCTCCACCTAAAAGATAGAAAATGATATAAATTAGCTTAAGGGAGAGAGAATGTTAGGGAAGATACCATCATGAAGGATACCTTCTGACTTCTGGGATCGGTTGACAGGCTGAGCCTCTCTTCCCCTCCCACCACTGGGATGCCTTTGGGTAAGAGTTGAACACTTGGTTACACCAAAAGTGCCTCCCTGGGAAACTCAGACATCTCTGTAGAGTTGCTTTATACCTTTTAACGCATTTACGGCCAGCCTGAGTTACTTGAACTTTGGTATTTGTATGTGCTTTGCAGACACTGAATTTATCACTGGCAATCCAAAGAACCTGTGTACCTGTTGCTTAATAAATTACACTACTCATTAAATCTAGCTGTGGTAGTTCTCACTGAGCACACGCAAACTCTTGAAGTGTGGCCACGGTAGTTCATGGAACGCAACTAGACTGGGGGTGTCTTACGTTACTCGTGCATCTGACATAGTGATATTCCAGTACCCTGACTGCAACCAGACTTACGACGACTAATTGGGCATCGCTCCCAATTACTTTAACCTTGAACACAACACGTGGCTATGTGGTAAACTAAATTGGTCATCTAAGCTACATATTTTGGACACAGGTAAAAGTCCCTTCCCTCCCTATTACAAAACACATTCCTATCAAAAAACAAATCCACAAAAAACTAACCCATGAAACCCTCCACTGCTGTGACATTACACATCCACATGGCAGCCAACAGAAGTCCAGCACTGCAAACACACCTCCCCATCAACCACATTCCTGGCTGGGAAAGCTAAATAAATATTGTTTTAAAATAAGATGCACATGTGCAGGCAGCAGGCAGCACTGACCTTTTGCTGCACATTTCTAATTTGGTTGTTGGGTTTGTTACTTTTGTTAATGCTTGTTTCCTTTCATCTCAGATTGAAGCCATCGAGTAGTGGCTCTAAAACATTTCCTACTACAAAGCAACTACTACAAAGCATTTTGGTGATGTTGTTCTTCAGGTCGATCGAGGGCACCTCAACGTGTGTGTGCTGCTCCATGGCAGTGCTGAGGGTGCTGGGGTGCAGCCGCACACCCCAAGGCCCCCAGGCCTGGGGCTTTGGGAGCCCACTGGGTATGCTGGCCGTGCACCCCACCATGCCCCAGGTCTATGACACACGGGGAGTTTCACTGCTCCTTCTCAAAAAAGCCAGCAGGATGGAGACTGTGGATGGAGGCCACGTGCCCGCAGTTGCAGGCAGGCACAGGCCGAGCTAGTAGAGGTCAGCGCTGTTCCTGTGGGGCGGCCGGGCCTTACCAGGCCGCTCGGGCTCCTCGCGGGCTGGGGGCCGCCGGGTGCCGCGGGCACCCTCGGGATGGCAGAGCCCGTCCTGGCTGCCGGCAGGCAGGCTGTCCAGCGTGCTCTCCTTGCTGCCTGCGGCCGGCGGCTGGCCCCCACGGCGGCGGCGGGGCCAGGCAGCGGGGCAGCGTGTCAGGCAGCCAGGACGGGCCTCGGCGGTACAGGCATACATGCCGGCAGGCACGGCCAGCACCATGGCGCAGACAATGACGACGATGTGGATGAGCTTCTCGCGCTGCTCCAGCTGGCTGACGTCGCTGCCCGTGACAAAGACAACGCACTGGCCCTTGCGAGGCGCCTGGTTGCGGACAGCCACGCAGACCTCGTACTTGGTGGCAGGCAGCAGGTCGGTCACCGAGTAGGTGTTGACGCCAGGGCCGATGTAGATGGCGTCCTTCTGGGCGGTGTCATAGCGGCCCACCAGCAGCGTGTACCAGGTCTCCCCTGGCTCTGCCACCGCTGCTGCCGCGAACCACTCCAGGGTGATGCCGTAGACCGTCTGCTTGGCGATGCGCACCTCCACGTGGGCGCCTGGCTCTGCGGGGGCAGCAGGGGCCCAGCCCGGGACGGGGGCGGAGGCTGGCGGGGTGCCTACGTGGAGGGTGATAGCCACTGAGGCGTTGCCCAAGAAGTTGGCGGCAGTGCAGGTGTAGTTGCCAGCATCTGCTGGCCCTGCTGCTGGGATCAGCAGCTCGGAGCGGACGGTCTCCTCACTGATGGGCTGGGTGGACACTGTGGGGGAGAGGGGAGCTGAATCAGCGGGCAAGGTGGTCACATTGCAGCCCCAAGACTGTCCCAGAAAGGGGTGAAGGTGAGGGGGCCGAGCAGCATCTGCCTGTCCTGGGGAAAAGGGAGTTGGGGTGTGGGCATGCACCAAGCCCCACAGAGCTCATGGGTGAAGTGTTACCCAGGCCAAGAGGCAATAAAGTAGGTTCATGGACTATACTAAACTAGGAGGAGCCATCGATTCCCTAGAGACGAGAGGCCTTACAGAGTGCTCGATAGCTCGGAGTGCTGGGCAATGACCAACTCTATAAAATGTAACAAAAGCAATTGCCAGATTCTGCATCTGGATCAGTGTCAACCTGGATGTACATACGGTCTGGGGGCACAAGTGACTGGCTCAAGGCTGCATCTGGGGAAGGTCAGATGTTAGGGAAAAGTGCTCCACTGAGGGGATGGTCAAGCCCAGGGAAGTGGTCATGGCCCCAAGCCTGCCAGCGTTCAAGAAGCATTTTGACTATGCCCTTAGATATCTGGTTCAACTCTTAGGTTGCCCTGTGTGGAGTCAGGCAGTAGACTCAATGATCTTCATGGATCCCTTCCAACTCAGGACATTCTATGACTCTAACCTGGAGTGACATTCGCTTTACCTCATAGCTCCTAAATGCCTGGAGACACCCAAATACCTGCCTGGAGGCAGGGCAGGGAGAAAGCCACCCAGGTGCCATCTGCTGTTGGCACATTCAGGCTGTGAGAAAGCAGGGAGAGCCCCTGAGGCACTGAGGTATTTTGGACATATGCTCCAGCCTCTATTGGGCTGGATATTGAAAATTTTCATTCTCAAGAAGCTCTGGAGGAAAAAAAAAAAAAAAAAAAAAAAAAAAAAAAAAAGGCACATGGCTGTCAGGAAGTGGGCTGGAAGCAAAATGTAATTTTAATAACCTTATGAAATAGCCAATAACCTTATGAATCTACCCAAGCAGGGCCATGAAAAGGAAAAGCCTGGGCATACCATGGCCAGAGAAAGATGCACCAGTGCTGCTAAAATGATGAAATGCAGACCAAGATTAACAGGCAATGCTATCTTATTTAGATAGCAGGCTTATTAGGAACACACATAATCTGTGTAGTGTCTGTATGTCTTCTTAGCTTTGAATTTACAAAAATAGCAACTTGCCCTGTTGACTGTTCATAGCAAAAATAACTGGGGGGGGGACGACAACAACCTCCAGCTGGACGAGGAGGAAGGGAAAAGTCCTTCTATTATGAGGTCCTTCGTAATGCAGACAAATTACAAATTAATGTGTTGTATGGAGAAAAATGTCATCTAGTTTGCTTATAGAATGTGAGTGGGCATGGACAGGCAACGTAGCTTCAGGGTTTTGTGGTTTGCATGGATATTTCTCAAGAAAACATATGGGAATAGGCTAGAAGAGTGTGTGTGTGCACGCATGTGCGTGCATGTGCACGTCGTGTGTGTGTCCGTTGTTCTTGTCTATCTTGTGTGTGTGTGTCTGTGTCAGTGTGTTGTGTGTCTGTCTGTGTCCGTGTGTGCGTGTGTGTCTGTGTGTGTTCCTACACACGCCTGAAAAAATATATAGTATGTATATTTAGCATGTATATAGAGTGTATATGCCTGTCTATATCACACACATATATAAGCAGTGTGCATACATACATAGTATATACTATATATTCTCTATATATGCATGTCTAGATAACTACATATATATACATGTCTAGATAACTACATATTTAGTATGTGTATGGCTGTGACACTACTGATAGTTCTTACATCACGTATCATGATGAAAGAGCGACTAATAAAAATCCACATATCACAAAATAATTGCATGAAAACGAGGACTTGCTCCCTTCATCTTTGACAGATTTCCTGCATGAAGCAGCTCTTCTCGTGCTGGTCAGACATGCTTAGACACAGTAGGATGATTAAGATTATTTGGATTATTGCAACCACATTGACTGTGATGTTCCAAAGGGGCTGAGAACTGATGTGGTGACTAGATGGCCTGAAGACCTATGTTAGTTGAATAGCAAAATGGAAATTAAGGGAAAAAAAAAAAAAAAAAAAAAAAAAAAAAAAAAAAAAAAAAAAGCATTGCTTACCATTAAATGCTCTTAAAAGTTTGAGTGCATAGGTCCACCAGACGGCTGGGGAAGGGCTGGCTTGCACAAAGCAGGTCAGGGTGACGTTCAGCCCCACAGGGACTGTCAGGTTGGTGTCAAGGGCTGAGGTTTGTGGCTTCATGCAGCTGTTGAGCTCCACTTCATGGAAAAATTTCCCTGCCCTGAATTTCGGGCTTGAACAAGTTAAATAAGAATTCATCAGAATAATAGGTGGGCCAACTGACTTGATAAACTGGACAAATCCCCGCAGGCGACAGTCACAAATCCATGGGTTGTCATGAAGGGCCAGGACAACATTGGAAATAGCTTCTACCTGCCCCTCCGCCCTCTGGCTTCTCTGGTAGATAGGCCAGCTATAGAAGACATCCCTGGATATGACAGTAAGCTGATTTGAGGATAGATCTAAATAGGTCAGGTTGGGCAGATAGCGGAGCGCATGTTCTGGAAGGACGTCCAGCCGGTTGTGTTTCAGATCCAGGATTTTCAAGGCTGGGGTGTCTTGAAATGCTGTCCATGGCACTGAACTTAATTTGTTCCCTTGCAAGCGCAGCTCCTTCAGAGCCGGCAGGTATTCCAGGCTCTTGATATGCATCACTGTGATGTTGTTAAAATTGAGCCAGAGATACTCCAAGGCACTAACGTTTGCAAATGACCTGCGAGGCAATTCTGTTAGGTGAGAATTTTCTATTCTAATTTTTCGTATGTCTTGAGGGATGTTTTCAGGGATCTTCCTCAGCAGTGCAGACATGCAGAGTAAACTCCTAAAGAGGAAAACACAATTCTCCAGGTCACATACCATGTGTATGGCTCACATAAGCAATACATCAATCCTTCAGTTTGGTTTTACACCCATTTTTCCCACAAATACAATTAAGTAAGTATTAAAAATTGCTACATATGCAACTATATATCCCAGGATAATAAAAGAGATCTCATTATATGTTCAAGCTAGTAATATGCAAGTATTAGCAGCGGAATATCATGCGGCCGTCTGTTTGGTTTTGGTCCTCACCACAGCAGCAAATATATATTGGGAATCTCCAAGCTGCTTCATTGATGCTACAGCTAGGGTAACTAGCTTTCTTACCTTCCGAAACTGTCTTGAGAACAAGAGCATCCTGTGACACAAGATGAAAATGAAGTGCTTATCTTGTGGAAGGCCAGAAGAAGAAGAAAAATGTGGCGAATAATAGGGTCCATATTCTCCTTTAAGAAAGCACTGTGCAGGGTTTGCACCAAACATGCCAACAGCCTCCAAGAAGCAAATCCTATTAGCTGTAATCTTCCTTGACGCAGAAATAAATCCTGCTGGGGACCCGACCCTAAAGAAGACATGTAGTATGGTTCACAGTCTGTGTCGAAGCGCTAAAAATCACCCCTGGGACCACTCCTGGCATTTACTGCTCAGCACTGGGGGTTTTGACAGATGCATTTAGTTGTATGTTAATATGAATGAATCTCAACAGGGTCCTGAAGCCAAAACCACTTCTGATTCCAAGTCCACACAAGCAGACTCTTTTTTTTTTTTTTTACAAAGTCTCACTCAATCTCCTATATTTTAATGGCATTCATCAAGACAGAAAACCACATTAAGGGCCAGACTTCACAGTTGTAATTTGGCAGTGCTTAGTGCTTTATTGTACAATCTGTCAGGCCCCAAAACCTGCCCACAGTTCTTTGCAGGGTTTACTATTAGACATGATGGGTAAGAAACCTACACAACATTAGTCATTCTGTCATGGAAACGTTGCACTAATTTTCCACTGAAACAAATTTTATTTTTTTCTCTCTCTTTTTTTTTTTTCCCCCCACTGGTATCTCCATTCTTACATGTTAGTAATGAAAACAGCAACCTAGCTATAGCCAGTCTGTGGGCTTCTCTTAGGAATGACTATTTATGACATTCATCTTTATTGTGTAAGTATAAAAACAGTGCTATTTCAATGATGTTCATAGTTCTCAGGGTTCCCTTATAAGATGTATGCCAATTGCCCTTCAGTAACCCTGAAAAACTCAGTCTAAATAATTTCTTAAGAAGGAATTTAGCGTAACCAGATATATATATATATATATATATATATATATATATTTTTTTTTTTTTTAAATTCGAAAATAGCAGTTTTCCGGTAGAATTTCCAAGCATCACTGTGTTCTCCTGGGGCCATCTAGTGTGCACGGGCTGAATCACAACCCACAAAAGGCAGAGGCCAGTTGTGGAAAAGGGCTTAACCTCAGTGCCAATACCTGTGAAGCTGGGTCACAAGTCAAGATTAGCCTGAACCTACTTAACCTCTAACCTATGGGACCAGGATAGAAAAATATTTATAGCACAACAGCTTAGATCCATACATGGCTTTCAGGGAACATGCACGAGTGCAGCTGCTGTAAGACTAAAGAAGATATAGGATTGATTCTGCAGCTTTCAAATGAGCAGGCACTTTGAATTCAAGGATAAAAGTGCACAAAATGAACCAGTATAGAAACTGCTGAGGACCGTTGCAGCCCTTTTTGGTGGCTTCCAGTTTACAGCTGGTGGGCCATGATTAGTGGGCCTGTTGGGCTGCCATTGCTACCTATGCCTAGCATCTAACCACAAGGCTTATTATTTTTAGTGTGGTGGCTTCTGGGGACATCCCTGAGAGTCTTGGTGAAGCAGCAGCTCTTGCAGTTTGGCACCAGCACAGCTCCCACGTGCATTCCAAGGCAGGCACTATTTACCCCGTTTCAGTGTATCTTAAGCAGCAAAGGGGGATGGAGCTGGCTGGCTAAACTGGGAATGCTCCAGGAGTGACACCAACAGCAGCGATGAGAGGATCCTATGATTCCATGGCTCTGTAATCTGTCGTTCCCAGCCAGCCCTCAGCCATGGGAGCAGAAGGCCTCAAGGATCCCTGTGTGGGCATGGGCCTCTGGGCAGACAAACGGCACGCACACCTGTGCTTTCAGGCCTCTTCTGTAGTCTTCCATGAAAATATTCCCTAACAGAACAATATTATTATTTTATAATAACAATTTTGTAATTTTACACATTATTATAACTGCTGATAACATTTTAGTAATGACAGCAGTAAAGAAAATACATAGAAAAGAGCTGGGCATCAGGAGCAAACCTAGGGTTTGCCTTTTCTTGTGCCATGAGAGAAAAACTTTCAGATGAAGTACAAGAAAACCAATGTCTTGATGGCATTCAGCACTAGAGGTGATGGGACACCCGCCCATGGTGGGAGAAATGAATGACGTCTACCCAGGTCGTTGGCTTGTCCAGTCACATTCTCTGGGTGTTTGTGAGGCAATGGAGATGCTCATTAGTGGGGCTTGTGAGGAAATTGTTCTAAAAAATGCCCATTTCATAATCTACACAAGCACCACCCCTAAAGCAGCTGGGCTGGGGATGGTTTGGTTGTCCTTGATGAGCCATCACCATGTGGTTCAGCTGGAGGGAATCACCACTTGTAAGGCCCAACCTTGCAAAAGCTTTCACTCACAGGGAAGGTCCCTGCTTTGCCACCATCACACTCCTCTGCAGCCTGCAGAGAGGGGCCTGAAGTACATGACAGCCTAGCCATGTCTTCAAAAAAAAAGTCTTTTATGAAAGAGCAGAGTATTGGTATTTATACACAGAGTAAAAACTATTAGAGGTTTTCTTCCCTATATACGTATTTGGCCATAGCACAGGTGCATGGTACTGCCTGATGTCCTGGAATGCAGCAAGTAAAATTTAATCCAGGCTTCTCTGTTAGCAAGAAACACATTAATTTAAATGAGTTTATTAACAGTAATTAACAGGTAACAATTGCAGTTGTTTTCTTGGCCCCATTTTTCCCACAAGAGCTCTATTCCCAGTCCCATCTATCTTCTACAGGGCTGAAAAATGGCCTTTCAAAGAGCGGTGTCTGTCAGTGCCGTGGGCCAATGCTCCGGCTGTTTTCTAGCTCATATTTGTTTGCTACTTGAGAGGCTATTTCTCTAAATATTCCCAGACTCCAAGTGTACTTAGAAGATTCAGCATTAAACTGAGAAACTAGTGGTAAATTATATATCAAAATCAGATGTATTGGTGGGTAGAGTACATACTTTCTAGGGCAGAGGGGGGAAGGAAGGGAATATACATATATATGGATATATATGTGTATATATTCACTCCAAACTGTGTTAGCTGCAGCCTGTATGTTTTATGTTCCCTGCTGGAATGGGATTATGTTGCCTCTTCAATTCAGCCGAGTTTATGTCTGCCTGTAAATTTAATGGTCACTTTTGTGACAGCAGATGTCCACTCAGTTCAGCTGCTTTTTAATATCATGTGGCATCGTGATCGAAGCCAAAATGCAGAACAAGCTGTCTAAAACCCAAGCTGTCAAAATAAATTTCCATAGAGAGATTGTCTGCTAATCTATGGGAAGTAGAGTTTAGGAGACCACACATTGCCAAAGTAAATGCTGAAGGGAAGCCCATTGCATGCTCCCAGCAATGGCAAGGGATTCAAACGCTGTCTTGAAATGGTGGGCACACAGGTCTGTAAGGAATCTAGTCCAGGCTGATGCTTTAGAGTTATAGCCCCTCTGCCAGGGTTATCACAGCTAGAAATCCCTGCTAGGGAGGACATACGAGGTGAAGGCTGCAGTTGGGTATTTCAGATATGGTGCATGTTACTCCAAATGGTAAAGGACTGAAAAAGCAGCTTTCAAAAAGAGGTGAGTGACATGAAAAGGAAGAGGTAAATAAGACTTTTCCTCCATGATCCTTCAACAGCAACAGCAGCTGTACAAACCTGCAGCTCTTTCCCCAATATTTTCAGTAACCCAACGTCCCCATCAGGGTCCCTCTAGAGCCCCCAGCACATCCCTGACCCTCTCAGGTCCCGTAGACAGCTGGCAATGCAGGCCACCCACCCCCTCACCCTCTGAGGGGAAGGCAGGGCCCAAGCTCTGTCTCAGGGCAGGATCTGAACCAGGGAGCTTAGAGCCAACGCTGTCTTGCAGGGTGCCACCACAGCCTGCAGCCACCCCTCAATGCTGCCAGCCCTGGCCCCTGGGGATACATGGGTGCTGCTCCATGCTCACCCCCTGGTCCCTCTCTCTAGGGTGTACACATTTATTGCTCAGTTCAAACCTTTGTTGGCAGTTTCTAAATTCCTTCTTTTTTAATTTAGACTAATAGGAAAGTAAATTGGGGGAAACCGTTTTGCTCTTTTTTGGGTAACAGTTTGCATCTCCTATTCAGGGACTTAAAAACTGGTGAAGCTCCTGCTAAGCCACATTAGTGTAGCCATGAATAAAGATTGACATCCTGAAACTATTTGCAGAATACTTCTGACATAGGGAGACTTTGATGTCACATTTGTCAGGACCTTTTAACCTTTAGATTTTGTTTTATCAATGGAATACTTTCAAAGTCATTTTTCAATGTCAATTCTTTTTTGAAAATATCTTTTAAAATGTTTTTCTGTCCTTGACATTTTGAGATTCTTCTCTATTTTCTACAAGTTTGTAAGTATGCACATGCATGCTTCTATGTATGTATGTCCTAGATTTTTTAATCATTTAAAGACCATTTAGTCTATTTTTTTCTGGGCACACAAAACTAAACATCTAAGTGACCACAGTTAACACACTTATAGGCCTTCCAACATGCTTAAATCATGTTATGGAAATAAGGTATTTGTCAACCTGGACATTATTCTGCATTTGTGGAATTTTTACACATATGTTTCATTCAAAATATTTGCAGAGACTTTATAATTCAGAGCATACCTTATCCTTTTGGCTGGACCTACTCACCAGATAACCTGAACACTTCTGAAGATGTTTTGGAAACTATTTTTAAAAGCCTTAACATCGTTTTTTTTTTACACTTCTTCATGCACTTCAACTGCTTGCTGTACTCCTTTAAAATCACTTTTGGCACATTATTTTATTTATATTCTGATCACATCCTTTCATTTTGATAGTTGCTTTTCTCAAGATCCTTTTAATAAAAAGAAATAATAATTATTTTTCCAGAACAGTTCAGAGCTATTTGGATCCATTTTTTAAAACACTATTACCTTCTTTTGACACCTTATCTTTTTTTTGTTTGTTTGTTTTTAATTTTACACCAATCTGATTTACAAATTAAGTATCAAAAGAGAAAGAGGAGCTTGTGTCACACAAAATGCCCACAGAGGAGTGTCTCGTACTGCTCTCCAAAGCACTCATCCCAGGCCCTGGCAGTGGCAGCAGACAGCCAGCACAACCTCCTGTTTAGTGCAGGTGTGTCGCGTTAAAGGGGTGTAGCTGATTAACCGTTACGGGCCCGGTTGGATTCAGAGTACTGAACCAGTCGGACATTCACCAAAACTGGGGGTCCGTTCGGACATTCACCAAAAACGCAGTAACCACCTGGGGGTCCACTCAGACATTCACCAAAAACGTATTAACTACCTGGGGGTCCGTTCAGACATTCACCAAAACGTAATAACCGCCTGGGGGTCTGGTTAGATTCAGAACACTGAACTATCACGGATAACCACCCTCACCCTAGTTGCATTAATGAGAGCTATCACAATGCAATCAAGTATGGTTTATTACAGCAACAGATAATCAGGTTCTTTTGGATTGCCGGTGATAGTGACTATCGGCAAAAGCAAGCTAGTATGCATGAAATACACAGGTGTTACAGGTGTGGGTTCTAGGTGTAGGTGGGTTCTAGGTGTGGGTTCTAGGTGTGGGTTCTAGGTGTGGGTTCTAGGTGTTGGTTCTAGGTGTGGGTTCTAGGTGTGGGTTCTAGGTGTGGGTTCTAGGTGTTGGTTCTAGGTGTGGGTTCTAGGTGTGGGTTCTAGGTGTGGGTTCTAGGTGTGGGTTCTAGGTAGGTGTTACAGGTGTTACAGGTGTTACAGGTGTTACAGGTGCGCAGCCTAGAAATAAACGCGTTAAAAGGATCAAAGACTCTATAGAGATTTATAAGCAAATATTCAGATCTCACCCAAAGGCGTCCCAATGGGGGGGGAAGAGAGGCTCAGCCCGTCGACTGATCCCAGGAGTCAGGAGGTCCTAAGGATGTTGTATGTCCTTGGGATGGTATCTCCCCTGACGATGGTATCTTCCCTAACATCCCCTCTCTCTTGGGCCAATTTATATTATTTTCTGTCTTCTAGGTGGAGCTTGAGTGGCTCTAGTCAAGCATATCTTAGTTATGATTGGTGTAAAGTTTTCCCGTTTCCGTTTAAAGTAATAGGCTCCGAGAAATTCAGAGCGCATGCTCAGTGAGGGGTGGTCGCACCTTGGAGGCGGGTAGCTTTTGGGATGGAGGTGTGTTTTGGTATTATAATGATATTATAATGAGCAAAAAGTACACTAGGGTACAGCATTTGTCAAAACATGACAGGTCTTTGGCTTAGGGTGGCAAAAAGTGCAGCTTTGTGCACAAGAACAATCGAGGCCCCACCTGATTACAGAGCCTAGCCGTGGTGTCTCCACTCCACTCTACGCTCCGTGGTGTTCCTTAGAGCTAGCACACCAAGTTTCCCCAGCGCGATAGCATCTAAGGTTGGGAGCCTAGGGAATGCTCAGATAATGCAGTTATGCCCTACCCTGAAAGCCTCTTCAATGCTGTACCTTTTCCTTAAAAGTGTGAATGTTAGTTTTATTTTCCTAGTTACTTCAGGCATTTACACCACAAGGTGGACAGCAACTTTATTCCTAAGTATTAATGAAGTGGTCCAAAACTAACCCAAAAAGATATTTTAAAATGGTTTAATAGTAAAAGTAGTGAATATTGAACTCCAAGACATTCCTGAATACATTGTTTGTCTTAGTGCCAAAACATTTCAAAAATACCCCAAAAGGCAACAAACAGTTCAAAAGCTGACACAAAGAGATTATTAACAGAGGAAACATTTTCCAAGGAGAAAGAAAACATAACAAAGTGTTAAAAACATATATATATATACACATACATATATCAGTTCTTACAGCACTTCTGTCCAAGGACTGACTTTAACCAAGTAAGAAACTGTTCCCAGGGATGAGTGTTTTCCTTGCTTCAATTCTGAGCCAGCTCCATGCACATCATGACCAGAGCGCGAAGCTTGCCTGCACTAACCCTGCTGACAGGAGGTGCCTAACACCCTGTAGGTTAAAACAACAACAAAATGCAGTGAGGTTTTTATCTGCAATGTTACATGCCTCATACCACTGCAAATCTGGCCCAAAGCTTCAAAATTTGCATTCCATTCATTCAGCAGAAAATCAATTTACCTATAATGGTTTGAAATTTCACATGCAGTTTAGCAAGTATAGGGTTTCTCTTCTGACGGACACCACGGAACACAGGTTTTATACAAACCTATTTCAACCTATTGCCTATCCTGTGTGACTCACCAGTCTGGTACAGAAGGCTTGTTTTGGAGCAGCAGCAGCAGCAGTTGAGCTGTTAAAATATTTTGCCTCACCTTTGAGACACTGAGAATCACCATATGAAATAGAAAAGGAAAATCACATTTATTCTACTTGGGATTGCTATTTTTTCAAAGTGCAAAAAATATCCAGTAGAGTCTAAAACTTAACCCATCCACGGTGAACATCACAGGAAGACCTAGTCTTCCTCCCCTTCCCACAAGCAAAGAGTGGCAGCGCTGACCCAGCCAGTGCCTTTCCCATCGCTGACTTTCAGGCCGTTCTAGAGCAGGTGGGTGCTGCTCCTCGCCAGGACTGGATGTGGCAAATTGACCAGCTTATGCCTCCAGGCAGCTGAAGGGTACATTTCGCTCCCCGTGGGCTCCTGCAAACTTCACTTATGTGGAAGTCCTTGGACAGCAGCTCCACTCCATTCACTGCATGAGAGCTTTAGGACAGCCTTGATTCTTCATTGCTAAACTTTCCATCCAGGCCCACGTCAGGCTGGGCACCTTTTGCTGACTTCTGCACAGCCCAGAGTGCTACTGCTGTGCGTGAGGGCAGGAATCAGGTTCAGTAAAACAACAGCCCTTTCAACTCATACCAAAAACTCCTACTGGAAGAAAATTTTCATTCCACCTTGGGAAGAGAAACTAAAAGCAATCCTAGGAAACACAAATGTATAAATAAATATATGTATGTAAATAAATGTATAAATAGATCTATTACAGACTACCTATTTCATCAGTTAATCTGTTGTGTTAAAATACATCATTTTGCAAAATGCTATTTGTAATCCTAACAATTTCTGCAGTCCAGTGAGAGGAGTAGCATTAATTATTATATACAGGGATTGAAAAAATCTCCCAATACAAGAGAATTTCCTTATCATGAATGTAAGGAGGACAGAGAGAACCAGAAACTATTGTACTGTACTCCCTGTTGCTAGTAGTTATGTTGAGATCAAACAACTTGTTTTTTCCTTCAGGCCAAGTAATCTGACATAACAGATATCATACAGAGTGCCGTTCCAAGTAGTGGATTTTGCTAGTCCGCATTGTATGTACACATGAATGTGAGTGGAGAACCTTCCAACACATTTACAGACATTTCAAAACAATTCAAAAAGACTGAGGCTTTATCAGTTATCATTTCAACTTGGCTGGATCCCTCTTTTTCAACATTTGGCGGAACATCCATCATTTTTTTCATGAGGAATATTTATTATATATAGAAAACCACTATATACGGTATTAAAACCTAAGGGACTGGAGTGGAAAATTATACAGCTGGGAAGTGCTTTGTGATAAGCACACAGATCAAAATTCCTGTATAGTTGCAGAACCTAAAGAACTGATTAGTTCACCCTGGTTAGAAAAGTACATTTAGATAAATATTAGTTTGTGGGTTTGTTTGTTTGTTTCCCAAGGTTCTCAAACATGCAAAAGGCTTGAAACCCAAACATTAGCAGTGAGGCTATGTCGCTGCTGGAAGTACTGCCAAAGTGTGCCCAGCCAGCAGTGCTACCACCCCATCCCACACCCCTGCCCTGTACAGAGCAAGGTATTTTCATAACCAAACCGCAAGTGCCTGGCTGAGCCCTTTGGTCTTCACTGCCAGTTGTGCACAGCCAGTTGTGCACAGCCAACAGCAATGACAGGGCTGCTCTGGGAGCTTTCTGCAGAACCATCTGAAGTAGGTTTTTCAATATGGTTACAAAGCACACAGTTTTTGGGGTAGGCTATTGTATGATTTTTAAGAACTTGGTTTAGTGGGTGATATTGGTGGTGGGGGGATGGTTGGACCAGATGACCTTGGAGATCTTTTCCAACCTTCATGGTTCTATGATTCTATGATACAAAGCATACTAATTGCACTACTAATTGCAACACTGCTAGAAAATGACAGCTAGGCCTGATACTGAAAAACCTGTGTGGTCCTGTTCAAGCACATAATAATAATAATTAGGGCCAAAATGCCATCCCCAAACTTATTCTTGAGTCATATCTCTTTGCACATTTCTCTGAACTGAGAGCATAAAGCTGTTGTTATGGACATACTATAAACGGTTGCTATACACCCACATTTAGCTAATAAGCATCAGATTGCAAAAGGTAAGACTCTCAATCTTAACATTCCTAGATATTTATATTAAAAATATTGAATGCTCTCCTGTTTGTAAACCAAAAGAACCTCAAAAGAGATGAGATTAAAACACTTAACAAATTGCAGAGCAGGTACTATACAAAACCGAGCAGAGTGCGCTCAGCATTGTTGCTTAATGTCCTCACACTCAGTGTGCATGTGTCATTTTATGAAAATAAGAGTGGTGCAGGAGAATGAGTCCATTAGTGCAGAAGCTTTTGATTGAGTACAAAACAGCAAACCCCAAGTGGGGCAAACAACACATTCCTGTAAAGCTTGGGCACCATCTACGTTCTCGCATCCTCCTCTGGAGCATGTCAGAGACACACACATTGACACAACAGCTTGCAGTGTTGGAGCAGAGAGTCATATATAGAGCCACATACTTTCCATCTATCGAGACAATGACCAGCCTAGTTACTGTCAACAAAAGTATTCATTAGGTTGCCCCTCTATCTTTGGTATTGCTTCAGAGTCCACACTGGATCGGGCAGACAGCAGCCTGTTAGATTCATCAGGGGTATGTCTAGTCAAGTATTCTCCTTCCACTCCTTTTGCCTTGGCTCCAGGAGAAAGACTTTCAAAGGTGACATAGGACTCTTGAATTTCCTTGGGTTTCCTCACAAGGCATTTTTTGCAGCGTCTTTTCAGTGCTCCACAGCAGACCACTAGTGTCAGGGGAACGGCAATGACGCACGCCACACTGATGACGACCACATTGATGAGCTTCTGGGTCCCTCCTGCACTAGCAACTTCATCTGTGGAAAATATGATGCATTGCTCCTTCCTGGGGATCAGCCCTTTCACGCAGACACACACAATGTATTTGGTCTTTGGCAGCAGCCCATAAATGGTGACCTTGGTCTTCCCTGGTTCCACATTGATCCGCCGCATGTCTCTCTCTCCAAAGACTGCATAGAGGACACTGAACACTGTTGTGTTCCTTGCCAGAGGTGCCTTCCACACCAGGGTGACACTCTGGTCAGTGTCTCCTATCACTCTGACGGACCTCACAATTCGCTCCGGCTCCTGCTGACCAGTAGGTGGGCTCACCAGCAGGTTTTGGGGGTTGCTATCTTGTGCCCCATCTGGGATGAGGAGGCCCTCTCCAGTGCCTGCTCCATCTCCCAGAGTAGGCATGGTGGAGGTGGTGATAACGTACCTTGCTACAAGCTTGTCGTTGTAGGCAGCTGCCTCCATCCCACTCACCTTCCCACTCCATGCGCCTTTGGCACCAGAGTTGGGGTCGTCCGTGCTTTCTGAGTCTGTGATGATGAGGGATATGAATGCCTCTGTTGCCCCCAGGAAGTTCTTTGCTTTACAGATGTACTCTCCAGAGTCAAGGTAAGAGACTACAGGTAGGCCCAGGATAGACCAGCTCATCCCATCGCTAGAGATCTCTTGGTGCACTGCAAGGAAGGAAAAATGTAAAATAAATAGATGATCGTTAATAGAACTACCAACATGTTTTGTGAAATATTAAGATTCAATTAGCTGAATGTCTGCTTGATCCAGCAGAATCATCATTTATTTTGGCCACCAAATACATTACAAAATCAAGTAATTCCAAGAAAATGACATTAACGCTAAAATTAGTTTATGTCAGGATTTACACTGCTTCAGAGCAAATGGATATGAAGCATTTCATTCTATTTCCTTCCAACTGATGTGTAACTTGAAAACTGAACTGTGAAGTTTCTTATATTAAAAAGTGTTTAAAAGCTCTTATGCAGGTACAATATTTAAAAGAGTGAAGGGAGTGGGCTGTAACATGACCTAAATGCACTCCTCTTGAGTCACAGAAAGTAAAAGCAGTATAGATTTTCTTCTACGATCATATATGGACTAGCCTAGAATATATGAAGCAAAGTCGCTGAAAAATAATATCCCTTTTACAGTAAAATTAGGACAGGTTTTTATATCAAGGCAAACACAAGGAAGTCTCATCACCAAAGTAGACAGCTCCAGTGAGCAATATGTACACAGATGAGTGTTGATTTTCTCATCTGGTTTACCAGGAGGCTAAAACTAAGCATTTTTTTGCTTTTTTCTATTTATGCAGAAAAAAAAGAGCTAGGAACATGCAGAAGGGTAAAGCACATTCTCCATCATTTAACCGGCCTCCTTAGGATGAGCACGTACTACCTGTCCTTTCCCACTGAAAGGTAAACAAGGGAGATGTCTGAAAGGGACAGGTAAGACAGGACAAAAACCTCTCCCAAGCCCGTGTGGGTCAGGTCCCAGTCTGGCGACCGGGGCATGTTTCAACGGCAATGTAATACAATAACAGCAAAAAGTTACCTTTTCCATTTAATTATTCAGTGTTTGGGAATACTAAAAACCATAAAGCTATTGGTCTTCCTATGGCACTTCCTCACATATGTAGGCTGTGGGCTGTGTCTCACTCCCCTCTATTCAGACCACCACCATTTCAGTGATACTCTAACACTGGCACAGAAGCTGCCATTGCTGAGAAATAATGCATATTTTCAGCCAGCTTTTTACCGAAAGGTGCTACAGTGGCTTAATGGGGCACAAAATACATCATTCTCAGCTGTACCTCAAAGTAAACTCAACATATGCTTTCAGAAAAGCATTCTCTGTTTTGCTTTTTGTTGCGGCTGTCTTTCAAGTGTAGGAAGGATGTTTGCAGCATGATGGGTAGACGTTGTAATTATGAGGAGAGAATCATAGAATCATAGAATATCCTGAGTTGGAAGGGACCCTTAAGGATCATCAAGTCCAACTCTTGACACCGCACAGGTCTACCCAAAAGTTCAGACCATGTGACTAAGCGCACAGTCCAATCTCTTCTTAAATTCAGTCAGGCTCGGTGCAGTGACCACTTCCCTGGGGAGCCTGTTCCAGTGTGCAACCACTCTCTCTGTGAAGAACTTCCTCCTGATGTCAAGCCTAAACTTCCCCTGCCTCAGCTTAACCCGCAGGTCCCGCAGGTCCTGTCGCTGATGTTAATGGAGAAAAGGTCTCCTGCCTCTCGACACCCCCTTACGAGGAAGTTGTAGACTGCGATGAGGTCTCCCCTCAGCCTCCTCTTCTCCAGGCTGAACAGGCCCAGTGCCCTCAGCCGTTCCTCGTACGTCTTCCCCTCCAGGCCTTTCACCATCTTCGTAGCCCTCCTCTGGACACTCTCCAACAGTTTCATGTCCTTTTTATACTGTGGTGCCCAGAACTGCACACAGTACTCGAGGTGAGGCCGCACCAGCGCAGAGTAGAGCGGGACAATCACCTCCCTTGACCTACTAGCGATGCCGTGCTTGATGCACCCCAGGACACGGTTGGCCCTCCTGGCTGCCAGGGCACACTGCTGGCTCATATTCAACTTGCTGTCTACCACTACCCCCAGATCCCTCTCTTCTAGGCTGCTCTCCAGCGTCTCATCGCCCAGTCTGTACGTGCAGCCAGGGTTTCCCCGTCCCAGGTGCAGGACCCGGCACTTGCTCTTATTGAACTTCATGCGGTTAGCGATCGCCCAGCTCTCCAGCCTATCCAGATCCCTCTGCAAGGCCTTTCCACCCTCATTCGAGTCCACAACTCCTCCAAGTTTGGTGTCATCGGCAAACTTGCTCAAAATACCTTCTATTCCTACATCCAGATCGTTTATAAAAATATTGAAAAGTACCGGCCCTAAAATGGAGCCTTGAGGGACCCCACTAGTGACCGCCCGCCAGCCTGACGCAGCCCCATTCACCATAACCCTTTGGGCCCTGCCCGTTAGCCAATTGCTCACCCATCGTATGATGTTTTTATTTAGCTGTATGGTGGACATTTTGTCCAGTAGGATCCTATGGGAAACCGTGTCAAAAGCCTTGCTGAAGTCCAAAAAAATCACATCAGCTGGTTTCCCTTGGTCCACCATACGGGTGATCTTATCATAAAAGGAAATCAGGTTAGTTAGGCAGGACCTGCCCTTCACAAACCCATGCTGGCTGGGACCAATGACTGCTTTGTCCCCCAGGTGCGCCTCAATAAGTTCGAGAACCATCTTCTCCATGATTTTACCAGGCACTGACGTGAGACTGACAGGCCTGTAATTGCTAGGGTCTTCTTTCTGACCCTTCTTGAAAATCGGCACAACATTTGCCAGCTTCCAGTCTACCGGGACCTCTCCAGACTCCCAGGATCGTTGAAAAATAATTGAGAGAGGTTCTGCGATGACGTCCGCCAGCTCTTTCAGCACCCGGGGATGAATCCCATCCGGACCCATGGACTTGTAGGGATCCAGGTGGAGTAGCAAATCCCGCACACGTTCAGGGTCGGTTGGGAGTTTGTCATCCCCACCGTCCCGGTCCTCCAGCTCAGGGCACGCTGGGTCCCGAAGCCCATCATCGGCATTGAAGACAGAGGCAAAGAAGGCGTTAAGCGTCTCTGCTTTGCCTATGTCATCGTCTGTGAGAAGACCTTCCCTATCAAGGAGCGGCCCTATGTATTCTTTAGTTCTCCTTTTTCCATTCACATATCTAAAAAAACCCTTTTTATTTTCTCTCACAGACACAGCCAGCTTCAACTCTAGGTGTGCTTTAGCTACACGAATTTTCTTCCTACAAACACGAACAGCATCCCTGTATTCTTTCCATGTCACCTGGCCCTCCTTCCAGTAGCGAAACACTCTGTTTCCGCCTAATCTCCATAAGAATGTTCCTGGTCAGCCACGCCGGCTTCCTGCCGCGCCTGCCTGACTTGCGGTATTTAGGAATTGCCTGGTCTTGTGCTGCTAGGAGGCATCGCTTAAAGAGTGACCAGCACTGGTGGACATCAAGGCCTTCAAGAGCAGCTTCCCAGGGGACCTTGCTGACTAGTTCCCCGAGCAGCCTGAAGTCCGCCTTCCCCATATCTAGGGATGAGGTTTTGGTGGCACTTTTCCTTCTGTCACCGTAAATTTTGAACTCAACCACTTCATGGTCGCTATGACCGAGGCGGCCACCAATCACCACATCTCCCACCAGACCCTCTCTGTTTTCTAGCAACAGGTCAAGGAGGGCGCCTTTCCTAGTTGGCTCCGTTAGCACCTGCACCAAAAAGTTATCATCTAGGTGCTTCATGAACCTCCTGGACTTGCTCGTGTCAGCCGTGTGGCACTCCCAGTTAACGTCAGGCAGGTTGAAGTCCCCCATAAGGACAAGGGGAGTTAATCTCGAGGCCTCTCTTAGTTCTGTAAAGAATAATTTATCGGCGCTATCGTCCTGTCCAGGCGGTCTGTAATAGACTCCCACAACGAGATCCCCTTTATTCGTTCGTCCCTTGATCCTTACCCAGAGGCTCTCAACTTTGCCATCGCCGACCTGAAGTTCCACACAGTCCAGCCCCTGCTTCACATACATCGCCACCCCACCACCTCGCCTACCCTGCCTGTCCCTCCTGAAGAGCCTGTAACCATCTATCGCAACACCCCAGTCACAGGACTCATCCCACCAGGTTTCGCTTATGCCGATGATGTCGTATCAGACATCGTATCAGAGAGGCTCTGATACATCCTGCACATCATGCACAAGAGCAATGACTTGTGAAGATTCCCCCCAAAAAGAATATTTATTACAGGTGGTTCCACTGCTGTGAAAGAAAAATGCTCTCTTCCCTGTTTCTGCTGCAACAAGGAGTCCAGTAGCCTTTTGACATTGAAACCCCACAGTTCCCAATCAGGCCCAGGTGACAGTAGCATTTGGGGGGGATTAGAAGGATAAGGGTTCATGACCTGAGCTAAGACCTCAAAAAGCTAAGGACAACTCCCTTGAATGTAGCAAAAATTTCTTCCCTGAATTCCCCACACTCTAACAGATCAACTCACTTTGCAATTTTGGGTCCAACCATTCTTGTGAATGAAAATCACAGAATCACAGAATTGTAGGGGTGGGAAGGGACCTCAGGAGATCATTGCGTCCTTCAAGAGATCATTGGGTCCAACCCCCAAAATGAAAAAATGAAAATGTGGCTCACAAAGGCAGCAGTTATCCAAAGACTCCCCCCACAAGCAGGGTAAGCACATAAGAGGAAGCTGGTCAGTATTTCTCTTACAGAACATCTTCCCAAGAGACCTTGTCAATCCATCAGAAATTAATCACTTCTTAGAAGCATGACATTTTTACTGGTGCTGTGTCCTTCAGCAGTTCAGTGGTGTTTTTGTTTTTAATATATCTATGCCTTAATGTTGCTTGTTTGCTACCTTCTTTCTTTGCCACAGAAGATTTGAATCCCTGCTGAATTCATGTCAAATATCTCTCCTCCAGAGATGTTTGCCAACTGATTAATAGTAGCTCATCATTACTCTCAAAAACCCATGAAAGAAGTCAGTGAGAATTCTTTTCAGTGACTGAATAACTAACTAACTTAGGACAGCTTCTTATTACAGCTGGACATATTTCATTTCTTCAGGTCTGACAGATTTGCAGAAAAGCCTCTGAGTAATCTCACCACCTCAATTGTGAAGAAAAACAAACAACAACAACAAAAACTGACATCTAATGCAATAGCATATATTTATCTGATAAGATTTACATCAACATGAAAAATGTTATAGTCTATAGAAAATCACAATGCTATAGTGAATTACACACGTTACTATAGTGAATCTTAATGCTGAACTAATTTATTTTTCAGGTCTTTTATCAGCAGGAAGGAGCTGCTGTCACAGAAGCTTCCATTTGCTGTGCAGCCTGTAGATAAGAAAGGTGCAGGTCTATGTCACTCAATCCACATGGGAGAAAAGCTTAAGCCAAACATACCTGTGCCATTTAGTTGTGCCCCATCAGCCCGCCTCCAGCTGAGCTCAGGAATGGGCACTCCTGTTGTCCCACATCGCAGCAGCACGGTGCTGCCCAGGATGGTCTTTACTTTGGCTACAGATGTATGTACAACAGGGCTTTGACACTTCCTTAGCTCGACTTGGCTGAAGAAGATTCCTGCAAGGCTGCGGGGGGTGAAGCATTTCAGCCTGGGCTCGATGAATGCTATGTTAGGAGACTGGAAATTTAGGAAATGAACCATTTCATACAGACTGCAGTCACACACCCAAGGATTGTCTTGCAAACCTGTCAAAAGAAACCAGAGCACTAAGTCACTCCAACAGCACTTTTTGTTTCTGTTTTTCAGAGGGACAAACCGCGATAGGCTCCTGGTGTGCCCCTTGCACAGCCTGCTTGTGGGAATGCAGGGAGGGTCATACAATAGCTCCCCGTTGCTGTTGGCCAAGGTTGATGCACCCCAGTAGCTGGTCAGTACGGGGTAGAAAATATGGCTTGTCAAGGTATCTCAAAATCTGGAGTCATGGGGATGGGTTCGTTTGGTTTGGTTCCCAGGAAGATACTACGCAATCTCTTCCTTACACAGTTTAGAAAATCCCTCTCACCAGGTATTTTTAAAGTATTAGCCAAATATTGTCAGGCCAAATGTCAGGCCTACAATAGGTGTATAGACACTTATTAGACAATACCTATATTAAGAATATACACATAGGAAGGGGTGGGTGTATTAAAGAACATACTCTTGTTTCAGAGTCTCACAATGTTTCTCTTTTTTGTGCTCTTTCAGTGTGTGCATATTGAACTCAAATTCTAAAATAAAAATAAACCTGTGAAGAATGGTACTGGAAAAGCGAGACTGGAGCTTGGAGCAATGCATATCCACAAAGAGAAGCTGCTGCATTCTGATTAAATCTGTGCGTCAACCTACTTACAAATATTTGCATTTGCCAGTCTCGTGGACAGTTTCTGGCCTCTAATGACTTTAGCTAGCAGCACTGGCACTAGGGATTTTAGACTGCCTGACGCCAGGTATGTGCTTGAAGCCTAAGACAGGAGCACAGTGTCCAGGCCTCCCTCCAAGGGGGCTTCACGCCCTCTTTTCTGCAGGCAGCCCAAGGACAGGGCTGGCAACTGCCTGCAAGTGAGGAGCACTGCTATCTATGTATCCCCTCGATTCCCAGCAAGCAGAAACATCTGCCCACACTACAGAGCCCACTTCTGCTGGCCCCTGGAGCAAAGCAGCAGTAGCCACACAAGCTCTGGCTTTTCAGAAAGACACAAGTTTTGACAAAAGCACAGTGGGTGCAGCACAAGGCTCCAAGAGCACTGAGACTCTGCTTGAATTTGCTAGTCAACAGAAACACTGGGTAGATAAAAACCCCTGACACCTCAAATAGTTTTAAAGATTCTGCTGACAAAAATCTCTTCCTGAGGCCATTGCACACCATCCTCCCCTGGCTTAGAAGGCAGTCTGAAAGTGGTGGGCCTTAGCAGGAGCACACTACTTATAAATGAATAAATTTACATATTAAGGGGATTAAAAAAAAAAAAAAAGAATTAAAAAGAAGAGTTTGGCTTTGTTATTTTATGGCATTTTTGCTAGCTGTTTACTTCTGACTTCGTGCACTAGATAACAATTTACTCCAGATATTCTGGTGAAATAATTGTTTTAACTTTCTTTGCTGCCACTTTAGTTACTGTGCAGAACTCATCATGGATTAAATAATCAGGAGAGCCATCCATCACAACACTTTACATTATTAACTCTGAGATCTACTTTTCCTCTTTCATAGGCGGCTCACATGGGCAATTCTCACACACAAAACCTTGCAGTCTTGGCACAGACTATCAGCCAGCAAGCTACTGCTGAAACTGCTTTCTCTTGAAGCAGTCTACAAGCAGTCCCTGAAGAGGATTCACAATGATGCAATTTAGATGAAGGAAGGGACTAAGCTGACTCTTTATTATTCATGGATTTTTTTATGCCTCCATGAGAAACAGTCATAAGCAGATCAAAGTGGAAACAGGCAGCTGTGGCCTCCCAATCCAATCCTGCAAAGGACATGTGTTTCATATGGTCCCTGTGGGTGTCAGCTGGATGGGACCTAGGAGGTGCCATGTCTATACATTATCGTACAAAGCTTAGCATTAAACTCATTTGCCCACATGAAATTTTTAGGATTCTGGAACAGGCAACCTGTATGCAGCTGGCTGTGCAAACACTCAGGTTGGCCATGAACATCAAATCATGATCTGTGCTTCCTAACAAAATACTCTTGTCATCCATATTGAATGGAATAATGCTTTTACATGTAACTTGACTCTGAAAAATGAACAAAGAAAAGACTATGATCTAGGCAGTGTCTTGATATGCCACAGATGAAAATGGGCAATCTCAAACAGCCAGCTTTGGCTTAAAGATCTTGATACCACACCTGGCACAACAAAACGGGGAAACACCTGCTTCTTTCCTGACACTAGTCAAATCTTAAACAACATCTGTTCAGGACACTAAAAGATTATTTTTTTTTAGTCCTGTATCTCTTTCCACTGCAGTCTAGTTTTAAAAACTGCACCTCCCCGAAATCTATCCAGAGAACATGATCAGTGGGTACTTTTGGAATGAGAGAAAACGTTTCTGATGAGCTTATCAGCAAGTGCCTGAACTCAGATCCATAGTTGTAGAGGCAGTTCCTGCAGCTGCACACACCCCATGGATCATATGCAGTCAGTGGAACTGGGTCAGCTCATGGCAAATGAAGACAGCAGATGGCAACGACTCTGAACCATCATCATCAACCCGACATGGATTTGAAATAGCATACTATGGCTAAAAGGCTGAGCAGTAATCCCCTGAACTAGTAAATGTACTAAAAACCTCATCTGGGGATACTGCAACTCAGAGGATTCAAGGCAGTCGCCTGTATTACCCTCTGACACAAAAATGCACTGTTGCCCTGGAGCCATACTTCTGAGGAGCCCAAAATTGCCACCAAAGAGTGGATTCTTGTTATTTTATACCTGTATTCGGAGGCAGCACTACATTGGTGGTTTTGGGGAGACTTGGGTTTAATTCTGTGTGAAGAGAGAAAAGAGACTGGAAGGAAGCACACGCTAGGGCAAACTGGCAGTCCTGACCCAGATTTTATGCTCAGCAGTATTCCTTTTTAATTTGGACTTAATAAGCATCCATCTTTTTATTTAATGCTGCATAAAACTGATCAACTCCATACTAGCTGTTACTAGAAAACAGCACATGAATGATGTGGAGCTCTAATCACATTTGTATGCCTGCCAAAAAAAGGCAGTGTTGATAAATAAAAAGTCTTGACAAAGGGTCAGTGGTTTTGTGTTAGAAAGACTCAAGCCAGTAATAAAGTTTAGGGTGTAATAAAGTGACTTTGTTAATGTGTAAATGCATTTTCACACTTTATATAGAGCATTAAATTAGCAGTGTATATGCTGCAGTAACCACAGCAGGTAAAAACGCTATGGTAAGATGTGGAGCTCTTATCATTTTGCTTCCTGCAAAATCAGTCACTTACCTAAGATGATCTTGGAGTTATCGTTGGGGAAGTAAGGAACAGCCTGCAGGTTGGCCCAGGTAGAAATGAGAGCCTGAGGAAGAGTCATCAGTTTATTGCTAGACAGGTCCAGGTATGTAATATTCTTCACATAACGAGCAGCGTCTGGGGGTATTGAGGTAAGTTCATTGTTGTGTAAATCCAGAAGCCTTAGCTGTGGCATGTCAGCCAGGGTTTCCCAGGGGAATGATATTAAGTTATTCCCATCTAGCCTCAGCTCCTGCAAGCGACGGAGACCCTTGAAGGTGATCCTGCTGAGACTGGCCAGGGAGTTATAGGGCATCCAGAGGTACTCCAGGTTGTGGAGCCCATGGAAAGCCTCCCCCGGCACCCTGCGGATGGCTGTCTTTTCTATTCGAAGCTTGGACGTATCTACAGGGATGTTCACGGGGGTGAGAGTCATCTCTGGGTCATTACACAGCACTGTCCTGGTGGGGAAAGAAACACAGATGCATCTTTCTTGTATTTTGAGACATTTGTGAAAGTTTATTACAATACAAGACTTTATCTGCCTTTTTTTTTTCACAAGCTTTATTCTTGTAATTTCTTACTTGCTGCTGATCTCTAAGCCATCGCCACAAGTACATCAGCTTGCAGTAATTCATATGTACACACAGCTTTTGACTGCAGAGATTGCAGCACTCTCCTGGAGTGCTGTGAATCTGATTCTGGCCCATGTAGTGTTCCTGCTTTTTTCTCTTTCCGTTTTTCAAGGGTCCTTATGATAGACAGCAGTGTCAACAGTCATGCACAACAGAGGATGCTAATGTATCTTAAAATACAAGGATCCATAAATTGAACATTAAAAGACATATGAAAAGAAGCCTTCACTGGTGCATAAAGTACGGGATAGGAGGAAGTAACATAGTCTAAATACAGCATAGGATCTCTGCTCATGAAGCGAGGATAAGAAAGTCAACTCACTGGTAATATACTACAGCAAGTTCTGCTTTACTGTGAAACTGGGAGATTTGTAGGGATGGCAAGAGTCACTTCACTGCAAGCATGTACAGTTTATGAGACTGAAATCACAGAAAATTAACTCTTTGGAAAATACTATACTAAAAGCAAGACAGCTTCACGGGTCGTAATCATTCCTTCCCATTTCACATCTCTAGAATGTCCCTGAAAACCCCATTGCAGTCTTCAAAGAAAAAATTGTGACTTTGACTTTGCTAAGATATGGGATTGTGAATAACCATGAGAAATGAAAGGAGACAAAATAGGTGTCTCAGACTGCACTTTAATATGCCTACCAGCAAAAAGAGTAAGGCAAGTTCTTAACAAAACACAAAACCACCTCACAAAAGGTAATAGGTTAGACAGGCATGTCTCACTCCACATGCTAAACAAAATACTTCAAGAAATGTAATGTGATCAGTCAAGTACCATTTTCTTATCACACTGCTTGGCTGATAAATAGAATTTTACAAAGCTGCCAAAACCTGATTGGTTTTGGCTGAAAGTAATTATTCCTCTACTATCAGCAAAAATAAATAACATCCCAGAGTTAAATGGTATTTGCGCCACCAGTTAGAATTATTAATTTATAATCAAAATATCATTGTCATCCAGCACTTTTATTGTGGCATTAAATCCTGCCCAGCCTCAGCTGAAAGCTGAGATTTTGAGAAAGAAAAAAAGACATCCAATAAGAAAAAGCCAGAAATTTTCTTTCAGTAAAACATTGTGTAGGCATGACACAAAGTATTTGATATCAGAGCCACTGTCACAGTATAACGGTGTGCTCTGATGATTCTCAGTGTTCCCAAACTATGTCAGTGAGCACTAAACAATTAATCTATAGGATAATCTCCTTTTATCAGTGAGAAATAGGAATCTTAATTAACAAAAACAAAAAACAAACAAAACAAAAAAAGTGACATTATGCTCCTTAAGGGACTAATGAGCATTTGTGTTGTTATGTATCTTACCAAAACACACTGTAGGTTTTTCCAGTCACTGAAAGGAAATTCCATAGGGAACTGTGACATTTACAGAGCAATAACAGTCTCTCCTGCTATCATACTCCCTTTTAACAATCGTAGACTATTTGCGTCTCTACCACGCTTCTTACTGGGAAAGTTTCTGGCATTGAATCTATAACACCATAAAAGAGATAAAAAAGCACATCCATTTCATAGGGATCCAAAATAAAGGGGACAGCTTTTCATTCCTGTACTGTTGTCTTGCCTAGAAAAAATATTTCTTCCAAAGGAGTTATCAAATACTCTGCCACAAAACCTTCTCTACTGTGAACCACACCTTATAAAAATGTAGCCTGTGTTTCATTAAGTCAGATCATTGCTTCATGATTACACTTCAGAAAGATTTTTTAATTACACTCCTCCAGTGAAATCTCTGTATAATGGCGCTGCATTCCAAGCAGGTGCCCTTCTGGTCTTATCTTTTTAACTGAAAGTTTCCGATCTGAGAACAGTCTTATTTTATTTTTATAACTATTATCTACCTTTTGTGTTCACTGTCATCTAGACTTGATCACTTTGCCTAAAATCTTCAACCAAAGGATTTTTAAGTAAATGGAAAGGATTGCAGTTGTTGGTACCCAATATAAACCAAATCTGGTTATACTTTAGAAACAGACCAGCAGAGCAGAATAAAGCCTTACCCAGCATATTCAACATACGGGCAAAAAAAATAAAACGTTGCTTAAATTTTATTTCTTTTTGCTGTTGCACCAGCAGTAATTATGTCGCTTCTGTTCTCACAGAGGAGATGCCCAAACGCTTTCTCTGAAATCAGCTTACTGCGTTTTCAGAAGCTAATCCTCTGCAAATAAAGCTAGAGCGCAAAGCAACTGGAAAAATAATGGACACGAAGTCTGGACACAATATTTTCTTCTCTAAGCATCCTTGCAGAGAAGAAATAAAACCCCCAACAGTCAGAAAGACAGCGGCAACCCCCTGGGGAGAATATTGGCATACCTGGCTTTCGTCCCCTCGCTGAGGCTGTGGAAGGCGCAGCTGCACTGTGATGGGCATGAGCCACCCACCCGCGGCAGCCCTCCGAGCATTAAGCAGCAGAGCAAACTCACCGCGATCCACATGGCTACCTGTGCATGGGAAGGACACCTGGGCACTAGGCAATGTGCAGGGTTTCGCCTATGGTATCCATTGACTGCTCACATCTTGTTAACTCCCTTTCGTTTTCAGCCGCGCTGTGATCTTCCAGCCCTCGCTGAGTCCATCAGATAAAAAAGGATAGGCAGGGATTAAGGATGGGGACTTGAGTTATTTTCATGAAGGTGCTTATTGCTTCCTGGAACTGTACTGACAGCATTGCTTCCCTCAGGAAGCCCCATCAAACCACACTCCTCAGGAAATCTGTGGCTCTTGCTTGAGAAAAAAGCGAACATAGTTTTTGGGGACCTGCAGAAGTGGTAAGATAACTGCTATCTGACCAGGAATTAGGAATAATGTACTTCCCCACAGTGACTTTGGGAATATTTAAGAACAGTTTCTTGTGCTTATGGAATATAAGCCTCGCATAGAAGAATATTGAAAATATTCTGCAGTGATACTATTCAAAACTTTTATTTTATTTTAAAAAATCTGAGTTTGACCAAACAATTATTGAGCTGTTGGCAACGTGCCTGATGTTAATAAACAATGAATAACCCACATAATTCAGTTCCTATTAGGCCTGCAGGGCTGAGCACAGTGCTCTGACATGCTGACACAGCAACGCCTGGATGAGGGACCATTTTGGGGAATGCCACCCAATGCAGAGCCATGGCACAGCTTCTGGAATAGGAAGATAAACTCAGCACTATCTTAATGACAACCCAGGTCTGGATATCAAACTACTTTGTCCTGATGGAGATGACCCATGTTTTCAGCAGTCTTCATCTGACTCCAAAAAACCCACTACGTGTGAGAAAAATGGAGCCTAAATATGCAAAAATGTAAAGCTTAAGAGGCTGCTATTTGAGGTAGGAACAGAATTCATCCTAGCAAGGACATCTCACGCTTACAAGGGCTATTATTTTCTGATGAGTGTGAACGTATGTAAATCACTCACACCACAAATGCACAACACTCCCTTAAAAGTAAAAACCTCTGGAGAAACTAATAGCTGATTACTTTCAACCGGATCAGATCGCTACTCCCCCTCTTCCCAGTCAGACTGCATAACAGCTTTGGCAGAAAAACTGACCCCTATGTCAGGCACAAAACAGAAAGCACAGGTTAAAAACATAACAGAAGTGAGGAGTGATTAAATGGAGCTGAACAGCTAGCAATAAAGCACTAACCAGACACAGCTCTTTAGAGATGCTTTAGGAAAATGTTTCACTTATAGTTCTGGAGTGCAGGAAAGCCACAGTGCGCAGCGCCATTCCAGGGGAGAGCCCCAGATGCCTCATTCCAGCACAGAACAAGAGCAACTCGACCAAAATCCTGGACCCCATTAAATCAATAGGAGCTCTGCTATCAGATTCTCCCAAAGAAATGGGGGGGTGAGATCAAATGTAGCTGGCTAAGGCAGAAACCACCTGGCAACCCATTGGCCTTTCAGCACCAGCCACTTCCTGCTTTCCCTCCTCTTCTTCACTTAAGGTCAGAGGAGAAAGGGAAAGAAATTACAACCACAAAGATTTTCCCTAAAGATTAGGCTTTCTTGGATCTTAATTATAGTCAAATTGATCAGAAAAAGTGCCCATCACAGATTCTTCTGCCCTCCTAATATAGGTGACTATCTAAATTCAGATTTCCCAGGGCAAGAACTACAGCTCTGCACTTTTTCAAAAGTCTGGTTGTACATACAGCTGCCCTTCTGCAGAGATGCATGGAAGAATCAAATCGCATGAACTGCCAAAAAAACAGGGAGGAAATAGGAACAATCTATCTCAAAATACATTTTATAAGAAGGGAGGGAGGGAGGGAGGGAGGAAGAGAGGGAGGGAGGGAGGGAGAAATTTCAACTGGTAAAGCTTCCACCTGAGAGTGCTATGAGAGACAGATGTGTTTTGAAGATCTGCTGTGGGTGTTACTCCTCAAAACTCAAATCTCCTTGCCAACCACGCAGATCTCTGTGTAGATTTTTTCTAGTCTTCCTAACTTGCAGTCCCACGGAGGAAAAGTAAGGCATTCATGCAACCCAACCTTGTGCAGCCATCTGAGATCCCTAACTAGGCTGACTGGTCCTAGGTAGCTGTAAAGATGGTCAGGATCTTTCAGAGCAAGTGCAACATGGACAACCTGAGCTGCCTGTTGCCGAAGTTGGTCTCTGTTCCCACTGGAAACATAAAATTGAAAGAGCCCGGTTCTTTGGCTAAACTGGCTGCAGAAGGCTACATGGTATAACTACCCTCAAGTCTCTGCCGCTTCCCCACCGCCACCTGCTCTCCTGCCTGGGCTGAGGATCCGCCTGTGCATGGAGGATAAACTAGCTGAGGTAGCTCCAGCTTGAGAGTTCACCTCCCACATGTCCTTTTCAACGCTGTTCCCTGTTGAAGACCTGTTGATTTGATTTTCCTTTCAAATACAGGAACAGAAGTTACCAGTCAGAAGTGCAGCAACCTGCACATACCTGTTGCAACGTACAAACTGCCCGAAAGTTAACGAGTATGTGAGTGTTACAGCAGCAGAATAAGGCATTGGTCCTAACAGAGGTTGCTTACTATGATTTTTGTCGTATTGTTGTTATGCAGAATTCATCCCGTGTTTTTCATTAGAATGAAATTACACTGGCAATTTTTCAATAATTCTGGGTAATGAACTCTCAGAGTTTCAAGGTAATCTAGATGTGGTTTGGGGCTAAATATTAAACAGACATTTTATGGTGCCATAGTTTCACATAAGCTTGTTTCACAAGTAACTCCAATAATTAATTAAGGCTTGTAGAAATCATTTACTAAGAGGATGGCCCAAAAGATTATTTGTCTCCATACTATTTTCACATTCTACATTTATTGTTCTTCAAAGAGATATTCAAGTGTCCCATTATTTATTTCTGAAGAGATAGGAATGTGATGCAGTGCTGCTCTTTAAATACCCATAGTTGTTTTCTCATCAACTTCCATTAGGTCCCATTTCTAGATTTAATGATTTCTCAGTTCCCCTAATGTTCTCCAAGCTCAGACCAAGCTCATTGGTTTTTTTAGTGCACTCATTGGTCAGTGTGCCTTGCTGCCCAGGACTGCCTCAGCTCAATATTTGCAGCATTGACTGAAACATCTCTCTTCCCACTGAAGTTAAATTCTACTTGAAAAAGCAATACCACATAATTAACCTTCTGCCTCTAGTGTCTTCGATGCATCTGACAAAGTGGTTTCCCTCCACTGCAGCTCTGGAATAACAACCTTGTAGATAGTAACCAGTGACTGTATGGTTAAGATTTGCTTTCATTAGCCTTAATTTTGCCTCACAAATGAAACACCTTAAATTACAACGAGATACTGGGAGCAGAAGTAAACTTAATTTATAATAAACAAGAGCAAGCAAGAAAGCATGCATTAGCAACTGCTAATGCCATGTACTTTGTCAAGAAAGCTGCTATTTAGGTAACACAACCGACTTGCCTCTGAACAAGAAAGAGAAAGACCTGGTGGTAGGCTGAAAGATTAGTAAAACAAGATAAATAAAAGTGATAATATTAGCATGTTTCTCTCACCTTGGAGTGTATGTGCAGGTATGTCACAGACATGTAGAAAAGGGAGAGAAGAGGACCAGTCAACTAACAACATAGTTCTGTTTTATCACACTTAAGGTCTTCCTCTCCATTTGCTACATTCCCCTATATTCCTTCACTGGCACATGACCACTATGCAAATGATGGGTTACACTTCAAGCCATGGATACAACCTCGTTAGCCTTGATCTGAGTGGTCAAGAGAGTAGGATGGGCCTCACCACAAGGAAACTACAGAAGTTAATCAGGTGAGGCGATGGCTGTTCACTTCCATGGACATGGTTATGCTCTCCAATTGACAGAAATAGTTGTCCTTGCTGCTACTTAGGAAGTAAAGAGTTTCCTCTCTGCTTCAAGCTAAAAATATGGTTTAGAAAAAAAAATGTTCTAAGAAGCAACAGATGTCATTCTGCAAAGGTTTAAGAATTTGTTTTGCATTCACCAGAGAATGGCCAGATCCCCTGCTTAAATTTGTGGTGTCAGTAAATTCAGAGCAAATGGGGTCAAAACCTACTGCCAGTAACAGTCAGAGAAGTTCAGCACATGGCAATCCTTCCTGTCTTTCAAAACTGTATGGGGTGTAATTTAGAGAATAGTTTTGGTTTTGTTCTTAGTAAAATTAATTACCTGATATTACAGTTTACACTTTTTCTCCCCATATAGATTTTCTGAAACCAGAAATGTTTTACCAGTTGATTTTGCTCAGGAGCTCAAGAGCAACACTCAAGTGACAAGCTCAGCATGCTCTACTGAGTTATTCTTTTTTAATATGGCCACTGGACAGAATTTATTTCTTTCCTCCATATACTCAGAGAAAGATGGCATAAAGCAAATAAAACAGCATATTTTATCATAAATGAAAGCCATAAAATACCTTATTATCATGATTTTGTCTGAAAGGTTTTATTAGCAGGCAACACAGGCCAGATGCTAAATCAATTTCATTAGGTAAATGCATCTCCAAGAAGCTTCTGGCAGGGCATATCTTGTAAAGTGGAAAATCCTCCCCACTGATGCAAGTCAAGAGCATGTTAATGCATTACGTCATTCTAAATTGGATCTTGCACTTAATGCCAATGAAGGCAGCTTCTCCAGACGTATAGGACTGAAGTCATTAATAGATCCCTAGGCTTGCTGAAGAAATAAAAGAAACCTAAACGGTTTCCAGCATTGGGCAATAAAAGTCTTCTGGTGGTGTTTCTTTTGTGTATGTTTGCCTTGGGTGTTATGGCCAGTACAGAGCAGCAGAAGTGAGCACAGACCTCAAACCCAAGGGGGACATAAACATAGGGGGGGACCTCCCTCATGAAGGCAGCATTTGACCCGTTTCTGTCTGTGCAGAAGCCGCTTCACAAGGCCACATCGCAACCAGCAATGCTCAGTGAAGTGAACTCCAGCAGAAGATGGAGGGACTCACCAAGAAACCTTGCATCTCCCCTTCACTTTGCATCCCCCCCTTCACTTTGGGCTCGCACACCTAGGTAGGTCTTGTCATGACATA